AAGGGTTTCCCAGCAGCCAGGAGCTCCAGGATTGAGTGGGCAGTTGAGGGTCCTCTGGCTGAGTACCCTAGTGTCCCACATCCATATCATGGGATCATAGTCTTGGAGAAAAGGGTCTCAGAAAAAAAACACAGTTGGCTTTCTCCTGGGGCCTCTTTGATTGTTGTAAAATGTGGGAAACGGGCTCCTGGGAGATTTACCTGGAAGGAGCATGTAGAGGATTACTTGCAGAGGGAGATGGGATCTGAGCATATCCTCATCTCAGCCCTCTCCCAAGCCCTATAAGCAATGGGTCAGACAAGACCCCAGATTCAGGGCTGGCAGGATATCTGTGGTTGCCAGTCAGGCCTGGCCTGTGACCATCTGTTCAACAACAGAAGGTCTGGTGGTTTTCCCTACTTAAGAGTTCACTTTGGTTGGGAGACAGGTTTCCTAGCACCTCTAGTGTCAAAAGGCTGTCTTGGGGTTGTGCCAATTAATTACCAAACATTGAGCCTGTGGCTGTGAGTGGGAGTGTTACCCTGTGAGCCTTACCGCAGCCAGTGACCTTTCTTGACGATAGGAGCGGCTCCCTCTCCATCCCTCTCTCTGTTCCCTTTCCCCCTCCTCTATTCTTCATCTGCTGCTTTCCCATTCTTCTTTCTGGGTGGCAGGGCTAGTCTCCCTGCTCAGGAACACTCCCTATTGGGTATAGGAAGTGCCTACAGAAAGCCTCCTGAGCCTGAAAGCACTCCAGGTAGGGAAGTGGACAGGAGCCACTGGCCAAAACCAGACAGAATTCAGAGAGCTCATAAAGTTCCACTGGGAGTTTTAAAGAGATCAATGTAGCAAGATTTTTTTTTTTTTAAACAAGCTAAAGATTATTTCAGTAGTATGTGAGTCATACAACAGCCAGAGTACTATAACCAGGATAAGCTGCAGCCCCTTCCTGGGATATGCTTACTTTCTTTTCCCTTTCTTAAAAGACATAGGAAGATGAATTCTAAAATGGTCAGTGTCCAGCTGAAAGAACACTAATCAGATTTCAAGGCCCCAGACTTAGGGACTAGACCACATGAGCTGAGGGACCTCTTGCCAGCTGTGTGTAGTCTGTGGCTGAGCAGATATAATGACACTACTGCCCTGGTTACTTCGTAGGATGTGGACAAACAGCAGCAAATGTTTCTTTCTACCCCCCAACATGATGTCTTGAACCTGTTAAATTAAGTCATTGGATTTTACTCTGTTCTGTTTACAGTTTACTATTTAAGGTTTTATAAATGTAAATATATTTTGTATATTTTTCTACGCGAAGCACTTCATAGGGAGAAGCACTTATGACAAGGCTATTTTTTAAACCGTGGTATTATCCTAATTTAAAAGAAGATCAGTTTTTAATGATTTTTTATTTTCATAGGATGAAGTTAGAGAAACTATTCAGCTGTCCACACAAAGTCTGGTTTTTTCCTGCCCAACTTCCCCTTGGAAGGTGTACCTTTTGTTGTTCCGTGTTTAGCTCATTCATGCCCGTTGACATAAATGTTCTCTGGGCCTGCTCTTTGCGGTAATGGAGAAGGAAGGTCACCCGCTCTATTAGGCACTGCCCTCCATTGCCAAGGAAGCTCCTAGAGGCTACAGTACCTTGGCACACCAGTCTCCTGCACTGTCCCCTCTCCCTCTGGATGGAGCAGCGCACTCCATTTCCCTCGCCTTTTCTCTTTCAGAGTTAGCAGCCATCAAGTTGGCAACCTGACAATTGCCCTCACTGTCTGCCTCATAAATCATCTCCTTTCCTTCCTCTCTGCCCACCAAGTCCTTGTTCCTCCTACAAAGAACCCACTGACCACCTCGTGCCCTCTTTGGGGGCAGCCTGTTGAAACTGAAGCACAGTCTGACCACTCGCGATCAAGCAGATCTCTGCACCTGCCACAAGGTTTCAGGGTAGTGTAGTCCAAGTAGAGGGTGGGGCATCCTTTTCTCCTATGGAAGTCAGCAAAGCAATATGATGCAGCCCAGCACTCTCTGCCCAGGACTCATGGCTCTGCTGTGCCTTCCATCCTGGGCTCCCTTTTCTTCCATGATCTTAAGAACTTTGTCTGGTGGCTTTGCTGGAACATTGTCACTGTTTCCACTGTCATGTGGGAAGCCCAGCACTGTGGCCAGGATGGCAGAGACTTCCTTGTCATCATGGAGAAGTGCCAGCAGGGGCCTGGGGAAAGCAGTCTACCCAGACCTCACCTCCCACCCTCCTTTTGCTCATGAACAAGATGCAGTGGCCCGAGGGGTTCCACTAGTGTCTGGGTTCCTTTCTTATTGCACTGTGTGAGGTTTTTTTGTAAATCCTTGTATTCCTATTTTTTTTAATGAGAAAAATTGAAGCTGCATTTGTTACTGAAACGATTAATGCACTGACGGGTCATGCATTCACCTTAAGAGAGACCCAAAGGCCAGTCAGAGGGTGGGGGAAACTCAGCTGACAGACCTAGTTACTGCCCTGCTAGGCCATGCTGTACTGTGAGCCCCCTCCTCATCCTCTCTACAACCCCAACCCCTGAGGTCAGGGGAGGAACCCACCTTTCCTCCTCCTGCCAGCTGCAGATGGTTTACCTTGCTTCCCACCCACAGTCAACCACAGAAGCAAGCAATCCCTCTTTCAGCTCAGCCTTGAGTCCATTGCCAAAATTCAGCATACCTGCCAGCAACTTGGGGGATAAGCCAGAGTCTCCCCACAAGAGGGATAGAGGACAACAAAGCAAAAGGCACAGCTGTCTCCAAAACATGTCTGACTTCATTTTGAAAGTGACCAAGAGAACCTCCGCACACAAGTGCAGGTTGAGGACTTGCATGGTGGGTCATTCCCGAGAGTCCCTCAAGGGGCAATCCACATCCCCAGGAGTGGCAGCTGCAAACCTCATAGGTTCTCAGAGCCAGCTCACTTACGGCTTTGCTGCTAGAACCTGTTGTGGCTGCATTTCCTGGTGGCCAGTGACAACTGTGTAACCAGAATAGCTGCATGGCGCTGACCCTTTGGCCGGAACTTGGTCCCTGGGCTCCTTCATTGTTATCCATGTCCAACACAACCCCTTTCCCGTTTTTAGACCAATCACAATTAAGGGGGAAGCCCTGGTACCTCTTAGGTTTTCAACCCAAACTCCTTTGCCAGGACCCGGCTCACCTCTATCAAGTCTCGGCCAATCCAATGAGCACCATGCAGCAACCTTGATTTAAAAAAAAAAAAAAAAAAAAAGGTTAAAAAAAATGTAAAAACTTAAAAAAATACAACACACATATAAAAAACAAAAAAAATATTTTAATGAATGTATCTTTCTAAAGGACTGATGCTCAATCAAATACCTGAAAATACTAAAGGTCAGAGCCTCATCAAATGTTAACTTTTTTTGGATTTGGGATTCTTTTTCATAGAAACCAAGTTGGATTTTTTTGTTTGTTTCGTTTTGTTTTGTTTTCAAGGAAAAGCGGGTCATTGCAAAGGGCTGGGTGTAATTTTACGTTTTCTTTCCTTCATTTTAAAGCAATACAAAGTTATTGAGCAGATAGTTTTGTGCCGAATCATGAAAAATCATGAATACCAGTCAAGTCTCACACTCTGAAAACTTGCAACCTTTTTGTTTGTTTGTTTGTTTTGGTTTTTGAATAAATATAAATAAATATATATATATATATATAGGAACTAATATAGGAATGCACCATTGTAACAAAGCCTAGTTCAGTCCATGGCTTTTACTCCTCTTTAACACTATAGATAAGGATTGTGTTGCAGTTACTAGTTGAGGCAGGAAAATGTCAGGCTCCTGGGGCCTCTGGTTCCTACTCAGGAACCCCAACCACAAAAGGATGACAGACGCCCGTCCCCAAGATCAGAGTGCAATGCAGAGATGGTGTCACCTGGGCTCTTCCTGCCTGTGAATGTTGCCAGTTGGTACCTGTACTCCTCATTTCTCTACTTTTGGTTACGAATGTTGGGATTACCACCTGCATTTAGGGGAAAATTGTGTTCTGTGCTTTCTGGTATCTTGTTCTGAGGTACACTAGTTCTGTCTTTCAACCAAGAAAATAGATTTGTGGTGTTTCTTTTCTTGAACTTTACCAGTCTCCTTAGCAAATACAGGTAGTTGAATAATTGTTTCAAGAGCTGAACAATGACAAGCTTCATTTCTAGATAAGACATTTCCCAGCAACTGTATCATGTACAATGGATCTTTTGGGGATTGTTTTGCTTTGTTTTGTTTTGTTTTGTTTTTTTTTTTTTTTTTTCTCCCTTGTGTTCTTCCAAGCTTCTGGTTAGAGAAAAAGCGGGGGTGGGGGAGGAAAATGTGTCTAAAGTCCATCAGTGTTAACTCCCTGAGACAGGGACGAAGGAAAGTACTTTAATAGTTCAAAAATAATAATGCTGAAAGCTCTACGAAAGACTGAATGTAAAAGTAAAAAGTGTACATAGTTGTAAAAACAAAAAAGGAGTTTTTAAACATGTTTATTTTCTATGCACTTTTTTTTATTTAAGTGATAGTTTAATTAATAAACATGTCAAGTTTATTGCTGCACTCTGCTTAGCTTCCTTTGGCCTTGGTGGGGAAGGGAGGGAGGGAAGGAGGGGCTTGTGAAAGAGTTACTGAGTCCCTTCCAACTTCCCTTCTTTAAGATAGTTCCTTTGCCCAGAGTGCCCTCCCCTGAGCAGTGATGTGTATCCAGGACCTTAGAGGTTCTGGATGGAGGGACTTCGTTTCTATCTACCAACCTCTGATAGGAAGTTAGTGGTTTCTAAACCAACTATAATAAAATGAAAGCATTTGGTACCTTTGGTGCACCACTCCACCTTAAGGCTGAAACAGGGTTTGTTTATTCTGTTAGAGGTATGGGTTCAGTTGGGAAATGCTGTAAAACCACCAGGCCAGGTCACTAACCCTGGCCTTAGAGGCTGAGCCAAGGACTGGAAGACACCCTTTCTGACTTGGGGGCGGTCCCCAAACAGAATCACCTCCATTCACAACAAGAGCCAGCTAAAAAGCCCCACCCCATTCCCTACCATCTTCCCTTGTTACCCGAGTTACCTTGGGACTTTGGAGCTGGGCACCATGGGGACTCCAAATGATCAGGCAGTGCTGCAGGCCATCTTCAACCCCGATACCCCATTTGGAGATGTCATTGGCTTGGACCTGGAAGAAACAAAGAAGGAAGATGAAGGTAAGTCTTTGGCTTTAGTGTCTACCTCTCCATAGGCTGTCTGGTAGGCCCTTGAGCTCCTACAGGATGTTGTGACACGGGACCCTTCCTTCCACCCTTGCTGATGATGTCAGATTAGAACCAGAGAAGTCCTCTGAAGTTCAGTGTCTAAGGTTGCCAAGAGAAGGCCAGAGTTTGCCTCTCATTCAGTCTACCACTAAAGTTTTCCTGTGTTCCAAACCTAACTGCTGGCTGAAGTCAAACTCTCAAAGCTTTGACTATGCCTCAGTTAACACACCCTGACATAACATCAGAGCTTCATTTGTTAAGCACTATTACAAGCCAGGCACTGAGCTAGCTAGCTCTTCCCCGGAGGGAGCAGCATGGTCCATTGCCTGATGATGTTTGGGGCTTTGCTTTTGCAGGAGTGGAGCTTGGGCTTTACTGAAAATCTGACAGATTTCAAAACCTGGGGCTGTTATGGTTACCTTTGTGTCAGGCAGTGTGTAAAGCAAAATGAGGGTAAGCCAAAGAAAAGCGTTCAAATCTAAGCTCCACAACTTGAGACTGTGGTCTAGAACAAGTCACCAGTGCACAAGTCCTCATACCCTATCCCTTTCTCAGGTCTCTTAGCTATTGCTAGTCCCCTGTCTTAGTGACCTCATCTACTCCTCTCCTTAACTCAGCAAGTTGCTTCTGTTGTGATATCTGGTTCAGGTGTCATAATGCCTAAGCCCAAGGTGGCTTCTCATTTTTCGCCTACTGTACACATCCCCACTTTGTTTCCTCCCTGGTACAGATGGAGTTTTCCCCAAAGCACAATTGGAACAGTCCAAGGCCCTGGAATTGCAGGGAGTGAGGGCAGCAGAAGCTGGGGACCTCCACACAGCCCTGGAGAAGTTTGGTCAAGCCATCTGCCTGCTACCAGAAAGAGCCTCTGCCTACAACAACAGGGCTCAAGCCCGGAGGCTCCAGGGGGATGTAGCAGGTGAGGAGAAGACACCAGAGATCCTCTACAGAAAGAATCCCTTCCAGGAAGGGCAGAGATGAGTTGCTGTGGGGAAAGAACATAGGAACAGATGCTAAATGCCCTGACACCCATGTTCTTACTTAGAAAATCCAAGACAGTATAGATTCTGCTAGCTTCGTGAGATTATTATAAAAATCAAGAGGCTGCCTACAGTCATGGATTTAAGGAACATTTAATAAGAGCCTTCGAGGCAGCAGTAGACTAGAAGAAGAGGGCATGCAGATAGAACATTTATGTAGCAGTTCCTGTGGACCAGGCACTATGCACTCAACCAGGCTGTACTAACAATCCTCATGACCACCCTAACAGGTATGTGTTGTCATTTCATTGTAAAGGTGAAGAAAAGCATACAGATGTTAAATAGCTTCCCCACACTCCTCCAGATAAGGAGTGGCTGAGCCCAGATATGAACGAGGTGGTGAGGCTCTAAATCCCATGATACTGCTCCCCAAGGAGCTCATAATAACTAGGTTAACAGCAGACAAACTAGAGAGAAAGCAGTATGGGGCCTCTTCCTGAAGGGCAAATTCTGAAGGATTAGTTGATAAAGTCTCTAGGAGCCTAGAAAGCATTCCTAGGTCCTAGGTTCTCCAGGGAGGCTGAATCAGGCCCCGTAATATGGAAAGCTGAGCCTTGCAGAGGTATACAGAGACCCAAGGGTGACAAACTTTTAAGTGTCAGACTAAGAAGGTGGTTGTCACTGATGGATTTAGCTTGGGCAGGGAAGACAACTGGATCAAACCTGATGTATTCAGGTCACTGTGACTAGGCTGGGATCTTGCAACAAAGAGGAAGGACTGGAGGCCAGGTGGGTGTGAAAGTGTAAGCTAGAGACCTAGTAGAGAACCAGGCCATAGGTAAGACTAGTTGGTGAAGGTGTGCCTAGAATCTAAGCTAGAAAATCCGGATTCCATCCTAATGACAGTAGAAGATACTCAAAGAGCTCCTTTTGCAGGCGTGTCTGCCATAGGCTGTTGATGACAGCCTGCAGAGGGAAAGCAGGGAGGTTCAGAGCTGACCCTACCTGTAGAGACTTGGATTCTAGCACACTAGCTGTGAAGAGGGAAACTGAGCAATGCTGGGTCCCAGAGCCGCTCAGTCTGCAGTCTAGCTCCATTGTGTTTCCTGAACGGGATCCACTGACCATGGAAGCTCAGCCTTTCTCCAGGGTGGTGCTGGCAGCCACTTTAGGAGACTAGAGAACAGGGAGGGATTGAAGCAGGGTTCAAAGAAAGCAGCTGGTGGACTTCATGAAAACCCCAAGCTGGCTGGCTGGCTGGCTGACTGCCTGAGGCTCTGAGTTCCGAGATTCAAGCTAAGTACATTCCTCTGAGAATCACAAAAATAAAACAGTGCAGCCAGCCAGCTCTGGCTTCACAACCTTCTTCCAATGAAATTAGATACAGGGTAATGAAGACCATGGAGATAATGAGGAGGAACTGAGAAGAGTGCCACTTTCATAGCCTGCATCGGAAAAGGGGGAAAGGCACAAAGAGGAGATGGAGTTTATAGCAGGAAACAGTTGTGTAGCTGATATGTTTTTAAACTTTATTTTATGTGCATTAGTGTGAGGCTGTCAGATCCCCTGGAACTGGAGTGACAGACAGTTGGGAGCTATCATGTGGATGCCGGGTCCTTTGGAAGAGCAGTCAGTGCTCTTAACCACTGAACCACCTCTTTAACCCCTAATGATGTTTTTTGAACTCTAGGATTCAGAGTGGGTCACTAAGCACTCAATAGATGCTTGGCTACTTACTGGCGGTGTGAGCTACAGCTATTTGGCAGTTAGCAGATTCCCTAATACAACGACCAAATCCTCTCAGCAACATTCACGTTTGGGTTCATCACTTGGCAATACGGCCAGGGCACGCCTTGGACTTTAATCTCAGCATTGCCCTTGGGTGGCCCCCAAGCCAATTTTACCAACCTTTCATGCCTTTGTTAGGAATAACAATCCCTCTTGGCTCAAAAATTTACTACACGAATGTGGGTTGTGAATTCCGGGAATGGGTTGCTTGGAGGGTGGGCTGGGGCTCGGATGCCCACACTCCGCGCTGACCTGCGCCATCTCCCGTCGGCCCGCAGGAGCCCTGGAGGACTTGGAGCGCGCAGTGACGCTGAGCAGCGGCCGGGGTCGCGCCGCCCGCCAGAGCTTCGTGCAGCGTGGTCTGCTGGCGCGATTGCAAGGCCGAGACGACGACGCCCGCAGAGACTTCGAGCAGGCGGCGCGACTGGGCAGCCCGTTCGCGCGGCGCCAGCTGGTGCTGCTCAACCCGTATGCCGCGCTGTGCAACCGCATGCTGGCCGACATGATGGGGCAGCTGCGCGCGCCCAGCAATGGGCACTGAGCATGGCCGCTGGATAAAGGAGAGGGGACCCATGATCCAACCAGTACCCAATAAAACTTCTGGGACTGCCGACTGCGTCTGTTTTGCGTCTGCTGGTTTACCAACAGCCTCAGGGTGGGAGCCGCGGCGCGGGCGGGACAGGACGGGGCTGGAGCGGCCACCTGCGCGAGCTCGGGCAACGATTGGTCTTGCCTGGCATGGGCCCCGCCCTTGCAGAGGACTGCGACGCTCCCCAGACTTAACGCGATTGCAGGGGCAATGCTCTGGGAGGGAGCCAGGTGAGCCCGGATGCTCTGAAGCTAGGGATGCTCCAGCGACCGCCACCAGTTAGCTCACCGCCCCCACCTCGGCTCCGAGATGCTCTCGTCCCAAGTTCATCCTGAGGAGCCGAGATTGGGAAAGGGGTGCATGGCGACAGATGGGAAGGAAAGCCAGTCCAGGAGGGGACCCGGTCAGGAGAAGGACAATCACTTGGGGGGAAGGGCACGTGTGGACTGAACGTGTGTGTGTGTGTGTGTGTGTGTGTGTGTGTGTGTGTGTGTGTGTCTGTCTGTCTGTCTGTCTGTCTGTGGTCACCTACTGTCAGTGCTGGCTTCTGTGCCCACAGTGTCTTTTCCTTTAGGTCTTATTGATTGTGCCTGTTTGTATCAGTCTACACCAGTACATGGTATATTCTTGGGGAATTGCTAGGCCTACCTAGCTGGTACCAAGGCTATATACCCTTTTCTCAGCAGCCTAGAGGCGGATCCCTGACCACCATGGAATTGCCTCTGAGCCAAGCAACCCTCCGGCACACGCTGCTGCTCCTGCCAGCCCTCTTAAGTTCAGGTATACCCCTGTTCATACTTTGGCCAAACATTTAAGGGCCAGAGCCCCCTCTGCCCTGCTTGCTTGCATCTCAAAATATCCACTCCAGCCTCCTGAGCTGGGTTCCCCTGGGATCCCCACTTCCCTATCCTAAGTCCAGCCAGGTCCTGATGAGAGAAACCAGCTTGCCTGTCTCTTGGCCTGCTGTAACGGGACCTCTGTAACGGGGACCTCTGTAACGGGGCCTCTGTAATGGGACCTCACCATGGCCTGTCTAAGCCCTTTCCAGAGGCTGCCTGCTGTGTTCCAGGTCAAGGGGAGCTGGCACCACAAATTGATGGTCAGACCTGGGCTGAGAGAGCACTTCGGGAGAATGAGCGCCATGCCTTCACCTGTCGGGTGGCAGGGGGATCTGCCACTCCCCGATTGGCCTGGTACCTGGATGGGCAGCTACAGGAGGCCACCACCTCAAGACTCCTGAGTGTGGGCGGGGAGGCCTTCTCTGGAGGCACGAGCACTTTCACTGTCACTGCCCAGCGTGCCCAGCATGAGCTCAATTGCTCCCTGCAGGACCCAGGGAGTGGCCGGCCAGCCAATGCCTCTGTCATTCTCAATGTGCAATGTAAGTATTCCTGAGGCAGGCAGGGAAAGACATTCCTGGACCCCCAGTAGAACAGTTTTGAGTAGCATACCAGTAATCTCAGCACTAGGGAGAAATTTTCAGGTATGCATGACACATTCAGCTTTAACAGGGCATTCATAAACAAACACTTTGCAAATGTAGCTTGCTTTATCCTCATTAATCTTATAAGGGAATTTCTTTCTTTGTCCCTATTTTGCAAATGAGAAATTGAGGTACAAATATGTTAAACAGTCTGCCCAAGGTCATACAGATGTTAAGAAGCAGGGCAAGGATGCAAATCTAGATCCTTTGCCTGACCTTTCTGTTTTTTAATTTTATACTTTGAGACTTTCTTCAAACCTACTATGTAGCCACGGATGACTCTGAACTTCTGATCTTCTTCTACCTCCCTAGTGCTGAGACCCTAGGCAGGTGCCATCATACCTGGTATGAGGGCTGGACTCGGGACTGTGCATGGTAGGCAAACACTCCACCAACAAAGCCCAGGCTTTTTAAATTTTGAAAGAGTCTTGCTAAGTATCTAAAAGTAGCCTCAAAGTGGAAATCTACCACCCCACCCCTAGTCTCAGCTTCCATAATGCTGAGATTACAGGCATGACCATCACACCTGGTTTTATGCTTTGCTAGGTATCAAACTCAGGGCTTTCTGCATGGCAGGCAGAAACACTCTACTGACTAAGCCACATCCCCAGTCCCTGACTTTCCATCTTAATCACAGTGAACTAATGCTGTGCCAGCAGGCCCAGCTACCTATTCCTTAATGATCTGAGATTCCTAGGCCCTTGCTCCCCTCCACATTTGGGAAGAAAGGGCCAGAGTGGGGGGCTGTAATGAGAGTGTATTGTTCTCTGTTCTGCTCTAGTTAAGCCAGAGATTGCCCAGGTTGGGGCCAAGTATCAGGAAGCTCAGGGCCCAGGCCTTCTGGTTGTCCTGTTTGCTCTGGTGCGGGCCAACCCACCTGCCAATGTCACCTGGGTTGACCAGGATGGGCCAGTGACTGTCAATGCCTCTGACTTCCTGGTGCTGGATGCTCAGAACTATCCCTGGCTCACGAACCACACAGTACAGCTGCAGCTCCACAGCCTGGCACACAACCTCTCAGTGGTGGCCACCAATGATGTGGGTGTCACCAGTGCCTCACTTCCAGCTCCAGGTAAGCAACTGGCTTGGCAAACCCTAAGGTGGGTACAGGGGTCCCAGAATGGAAAGCGGGGACTCGTTGCCCTGTGGTTGGTCTTATAGATGAGTTGTCCCCAGCCACCTTGGGCAGGGACAGAGTAGATGGAGCTACAGCATGTCAGGTTAGGGGTACTTGCAAACTAACCAGTGGACAATCCACAGGGCTCCTGGCCACCCGAGTAGAAGTGCCATTGCTGGGCATCGTCGTGGCTGGAGGGCTTGCCTTGGGCACTCTAGTGGGGTTCAGTACCTTGGTGGCCTGTCTGGTCTGCAGGAAAGAGAAGAAAACTAAAGGTAGGGAGGGCCAGAGGCAGTGGAGGCCAAGGGTGGTGAAGTTGGGGTGAGCAGTAGCAAGGGAGGTGGGCAGACTGGGGCAGAGCCAGCCTTCTCTGACATGTGGCGGAGTACTTGAGGGCAGGGGTGAATGGCATGCACTGTAGGCAGCAGGGATAAGTACTGGAGCTGTCTCTGGTCCCAGGGCCAGGCCTGGGCATTCCGGAGACTCTTGGGCAGGGGGCAGAGCTCAGCATGAGAGGGCACACTGACTCTGTGGCATGCTTTCTTTGTCCTCAGGCCCCTCCCGGCGCCCGTCTCTGATATCTAGGTAATGTTTCCTGGGGCTGGGCAGATGGGCTAAACTAAAATGCAAGGCACTACATTTTAAACTAAGGGACAGGTGGTAACCTGAGGCTTCTGGGAGGTCTGGATTGAGCCTCAAAGCTGATGCATACCTGCTGGTACCAGGATCTGTCTTAGCCTTTGTCTGTCCTGTAGTGATTCCAATAACCTGAAACTGAATAATGTACGCCTGCCACGGGAGAACATGTCCCTCCCATCCAACCTTCAGCTCAATGACCTCACCCCGGATCTCAGAGGTATGTCTGGAACCAGTTCTTTCCGTGCTTAATCTTTACAGCTTCTAAGAGAGAGACCCTGGTTCTTAGACAGAGACATGTCCCCTTAGGCAAAGCCCTGTCTCCGGCCCCACCTCATTTGTCACCCAACAGGGAAAGCAACAGATCGGCCAGTGGCTCAACATAGCAGCCATCCAGAGCTTCTAGAAGCAGAGCCTGGTGGCCTCCTCACCAGCCGAGGTACTGAGCCCTGCTGTCCTCCCTACCTCCTCTTCACACCCCTGTGCTTATACCCAGTGCCCCTTGGTGCTGGGAGCAGAAAGGGCTTCCCCAAGTTCCAGAGAACCAGAGTCACCAAGCATCTCTGACCCACAGGCTTCATCCGTCTCCCAATGTTGGGCTACATCTACCGAGTGTCCAGTGTCAGCAGTGACGAGATCTGGCTCTGAGGGTGAGGGCGAGGCATGAGGCCCAGGTGGCTTGTGGACTCCCAGGGCATCCCACTCCAGTGTTTCCTTCAAGCCTTCCTCTGCCTGGCCATGTTGTGATCATGAAGAAGCCATGCCACTGCCACATGGCCCTCTTGGTAGGGGTATCCTGTGGGTCATGCATGATGTATTTCATTGCACTCTAACCTTTAAGGCATGGTCTAGCCTTGGCAAGACCATTGATCAGAACTAGACCCCTTGTACTCAACTAAGTTGGTCCCAGGTAGATGGAACTCTGGCCTGTGTGTCCATGTGTCACCCACATGGAAGAGATGGGCCTACCATATGCTCCACAGTAGTATCCCCTGCACCTCATACAGTAGGCAGAGGGGTGTGTATGTGGGGAATAGGAGGGTCCTTGCACAGCTCAAATGTCCTTCCTATGCTATGCAGCTTTGTCCCCTCAGGGAAAACAGCCCCCTGCTAGCTGTTTAGAACCAAACTGCCCTTTGCTCAGGAACCAGCCCCTTGCCCAGGGTCATGGTCAAGCACAAATTAGTCCCTATTGCTGCGTATCTCTCTGCCCTTTTGTCCCCACCTCCTCTTGGGCATCAAAAGTCACACACTAGACATGACCTCCATTGGCTGGAGCCCCCAGGTGCTAGCCTCTGGTGTTAGCACAAGATGAGCATGAAGAGGTGATTCTGGCCCCCGCGGTGGCATGTAGCTATGTACTGTTTTGTACAAGTGTTCCTACTTTAAGCACATTCCCCAGGGAAAGGAGGGCCAGGGCCGCCTTAGGTTCCCCTTGTTTGGCCTTCAGCAACTCACTGAGTGTTCTGAGCACTCATGATTGATAGGTTCCCTCTCTGCATATCTCTACCCCACCCAGCAACATCCAGTCCCTAGCTGCCCTATCCTATTTAGGGGATAGTCACAATGGGCATGTAAGTCAACAGTGCCAGATTTAGGGGGACACAGAGAAAGCGGGAACGCACATAACCCCAAAGAACTAAGAGTGCTTTTAAAAAGCAACATGTGACTGGAGAGTACAGAGTATATTTTCCCTTCTTGGTATCTTGTTTTGTAATTTTTCTCCTGTTACTGGTTAGTGCTGCACACACAGTAAACTACCTTGACTGAATAAGGATGTCTTTGTTCATTTCTTCAGCAATTTTTAAAATCTGTGTTTGTTTTTGAGATAGGGACTCAGGTAGTCTAGGCTAGCCTTGAATTCACTAGTGGACAGTGGAGGATAACATTGAACATCTGATCTGCCTGCCTCCTCCTCTCAAGGGCTGGGATTACAGCCATGTACCACCATCCTGGTTTTCCAAGTATGTTTTAGAACGAGCCCTACCACCTTTCTTTTTGCTGTGCTGGTGACGGAACCTGGGGCTTCGTGCTTGTCACATAGGTGCTCAATTACTAATCTACACTGCCAGTGCATAGACAGCCCTCTCCCTCTCTTAACATCTCCAACAGTTTTATAACATAACACAGAGGATAATGCCCTGTTCAAAATACAGATTCAAACAGAAAAAAATATGGAGCACTTCATGAATTTCTGTGTCCCCCTTGTGCAGGGGCCATGCCATTCTTCCCTGTATTAAATGAGTTTTCAACCACACGGCAAGTACCTTAACCTTGAGTAATAGTGGCAATCAAGGTAGTTCTGTTCCCCGAAAACCTGAAGGAGGAGCTGAGCTCCAATCACAGCACAGCCCCTTCCTGGTGATGGGAAGAGACCAGAGTGCCTGGCTTAGCTGGTTTGAGTTTGTAGAAACATGAACTGTCTGTGTTTGTTGGTCTGTCAGACTGACAGTGGAACCTTCCCTTCGTGGTCCTACTTTCTTCCTGTCAGTACTTGGCTCCATTACCCATCCAGTTGCCAATGTCCAAGCTGCCTTTCTCTTCATCCCCATGTCTAGTCTATCACCAGGCATTGCTGGTTCTACCTCTATTGGCATGTCTCTCCAGAGAAAGGAAGACTGAAGGAGCAAACAGAGGGGCCTTGCTAGGTTTCCCTCCCTAGCATCTTAGCAATAGATCACACTCTTTGGGGCTAATCTTATTTCCACATGTTTGTCCTGGAGTCAGTCAAGCCTGTGCAATAATGAGGTCCCCATAAAAACTCCAAAAGACAGGGCTCAGAGCTTCCAAACGAACAAAGGATAATTCCTCATTCTTATGGTGCTGGATCCGGATTCCTGGAGTGCATTGGTGTCTGTCATGGGAGGAAAGGAGGTGGGAGAGGAAGCAACAGCTTTATTCAAAGTCCCTAAAGAGGTGGATGGGGCTCTGCGATCTTCCTTAGCCCTTTAGCATCTAGCCATAGCCAACTCCTGTCTTAGATAGCAATCTTTAACTTCTATATACTTCTTTCCATCTCCATTCTCCCTTCTGTTTTACTGGTTTCCCACACCAAACTTCTGAAAAAATTACGTGTATGTGTGTGTGTGTGTGTGTGTGTGTGTTATGTGTGCATTCATGCATTTATACATGTAGCTGCCATAAGTTTTGGTAGTTCTCTCCTGCCATGTGCATTCCAAGGACTGAACTCTGGTTGTCAGGCTATGTAGCAAACACCTTTACCTGCTGTGCCATCTTGCCAGCTTCTTCCCCATAATTTTGTAACCAATTTGTTGTGTTAAATATCCTTTGTTAAAAAACAGCTATAGTGGTTTCAGGTTCCCAAATGGACAGTAGCCAATACCACCCCAAAATAGTTCCTGAATCTATCCTCTACTTCTCCCTACTCAAGCAGCTTGTCTTCTAACCTGCCACAGCTAGGCTCCCGAAAGCCACATTCTCTGCCTGTGCTTCTCAACAACCAGTAGTAAGTTAGGCATCCCCACATCCTGCTCCTCAGCTTTCAATAGCTTGCAGAACTCAGAGAAATACCTTTCCCAGTTTCTCAAAAAAGATGTTAAAAGGATACAGGATAAAAGATGAACATCGGGCATGGTGGTTCAGGCCTGTAAACTTGGACCCAGGAGGCAAAGGGAAGAGGATAGAGTTCATGCTAGCCTGAGCTACATAGTGAACTATAGATCTCTCTGGGCTGTACAGAGACCCTGTCTAAAATAAATTAGTAAGATTATTTTAAAATTAAAAAAGAAATGTAAGATGTGTACCACTTTCTCAGAACCTCCCTGTTATGAAGGTCTCCACACCCTGACCTTTGAAGTTTCCATGGAGACAAAGGCATGGCTGAAACATGAACCACTATGCTGACATGTGTTTGGACAAAAATGGTCTGATCTAATGCTGTGGGTGGGAGTACGGGGGGAGTAGGGTCTAGAAATTCCTCAGTATTGCTTCCTTGCTAAGAAGGGGCAAGACCCCATCTAAATGAGGGTCTTGATCTATTAGCATCAGCCAAGCAGGCCAAAGGATTTGAGAATAAGCTGGGCTTGGTTGACTATGTCTGTAAGCCTCCCCTTTGGAAGGTAGAAGGGGAGGCAGGAAGATCAGGTCTTCACGACCAGCCTGCAGAGCCAGACCAAAGCCAAACTGGGCTACATGAGACCTTGTCTCATGCCCCCAACAAAAGAAACATGGAAGGATGTAAGACTGTAAGAGCAAATGTCCATGGCGTGCCTTGAGGAAGAAATTCAGTTTGAGGCCGGCTTGGAGAGAAAAGAGCAGGTGAAAGGGAAGCCGAGGTCAGAGATAGAAAGAACATGAGTCTAAAAGGCAGAGGCAAGCCTGACTTGAGGCCCCCAGCCCTATCCCAGTCACTCTGGAAATCACAACAGGGAGTAATGAGCCAGGAGCCATGGGTGGAAACCAAATATAAATTCTGTCATACCTGATGGAACATTTTGAGTGTAAAATCACTCCAGTTAACTAAAGAGTGTTTTGGAAGCTCCAACCCCAACCTGTGTCTGTGGCTCTCTGAAATCCATTCTTCCAACTCAAATGCCCACAGCAGTGGGGACACGTCCTTCCTTGGGAAAGGCAATGCACGGCAGGTGGAAGGAACCCAGTGGCAAATGTGTGTCCTGCTCTTGCAGACAGGCAGCAGCACCCGGCTGTGGAGCAGTCTGATGTTAAGCTGCCAACAAAGACCATGTCTTTATCTGACGTTGAAGCATACCCCTAGGAGGTGGCTCAGATGAAGGTCAGTGTCTCTGCATCCCCAGCCTGGGAGGCAGAGTTGGACGGAGGAGTGAATGCTTTCTTGCCTTCAGCGAGAGCTTTAAAATGCTGCCAGAAAGAGAAGACACAGTTTGGAATATACTAGTTGCTACATTCTAACAAGGATGACCACTTTAAATAATTATTTATTATATATAGTGTTCTGCGTGCATGTATGCTTGTATGTCAGAAGAGGGCACCAAATCTCATTATAGATGGTTGTGAGCCAATGTGGTTGCTAGGAATTGAACACAGGACCTCTGGAAGAACAGCCAGTGTCCTTAACCTCTGAGCCATCATCTCTCCAACCCGGATGACCACTTTAAAATCCCTTTATGCTAGACTGAGAAAAATGGTCCAGGCTTGTAATCCCAGCAGTTGGGAGGCTGAGGCAGGAGGATCAATGTGAGTTCAAAGCTAGCCTGGGCTATTATCATGATTTCGAGATCAGCGTTGGCCATAGTGAGACATATCCCCAAACATGTCCTAAGTCTACTTCCAAGCTAACACACTGGTTTCATCTTTGAAAGAGAGAGTAACGTACCCATCTTCAAAACAATCCCTTCTTCTATTTCCTTCCTGCCCACATTCATGGGCCCTGTGCTTCTGTGTGTAGCTCCTCACTAAGCTCCATCTAAAGCCCATCCTCTCTTACTTCTCCCATCTAGTCTCCTCTGCTGCTCACTTAATCATGGGAAGGGCACCGCGACCCCAAATGAGAACACAGTCACAGAAGGGCCCCAGACAGTGTTAGTAATCCTGCTGCTTGTCTCACCTGGGAGTTCTTGAATTCTGAGTAGAGGGAAAAGAGCAAGTGGAGGGACTGAATGCGGCTCTTGTAGAAAGGAATGTCCAGAATAGCTGTAAAAGAGAAGAGCTCACAGGGACAGAAGCAAACATGCTCTGGAACTGGGGGCACTTCTGTTTAGGATACGCTCCCCTCCCAAGTGGGACATGTTACTTTGGGGTTCAGTATTCAGCCCAAAAACCACCATAGAGAGCTGCCAACAGTCAAGACACTACTGTGCAGAGATCAGCAAGCCCTGCCAATGGCCTAGAACACAGCTACTAGAGACAGAGTTAGGAAGGATGAGGAAGAGCTTACCACAGATCATGTCAATGTAGTCAGCCAGGCTGCAATCGATTTCAACCGTGGGCAGACTCACCTGGAAGCAACATATGACAGGCCACAGTTAAAAGGCTCAAAAGGGCCTTGAAGCACAACACTCGAGAGACAGAACTCATGGGCAGATCACTATGACCAGGACAGCCTGGTCTAGATAGTAAGTTTCAGACCATCTGTGGCTACACTGTGAGAATGTCAAAAGCAAACAAACAAACAAAAGGGACAAGAAGCTGGACATTAGTGTGTAGGCCTTTAATCCCAGCACTTGGGAGGCAAAGGCAAGAGGATCCAGGACAGCCAAGGCTACACAATGGACTGTCTCAAAATAAACAAACAAACAAACAAATACTAAAAAAAAGGAGGACTAGGAAGAGGCTCAGCCATTAAGAACACACACTGCTCTTGCAGAGGATCCAACCAGTGGATAAAACATTTGCCTTGCAAACCTCATGGCTTGAGTTCAATCCCCAGAGGTGGAAGGAGAGACCAACTCCATGAAGTAGACTTTAACCTACATATATGTAGATTATGGCATATTTACATTCCCCCTACAATTATAATTAATATTGTGAAAATGGCTACACTAGTGGACATATTCTACAGATTCAATGCAATCCCCATCAAAATTCTGGTAACGTCCTTCACAGAATCAGAGAAGATATTTCTACCCTTCATATGGAAACAAAGACCATGGACCAAAGTAGTCCTAAACAAAAGAACACGGCTAGAGGTCTCACATTACCTTACCTCAAACTATACTAGAGAGCCACAGTAAGAAAACAGCACTGTAGTGCCACAAGACAAGACAATGGGACATAAGAGGACCTACAAAACTCATAGCCATGCCCCCCTAATTTCTGACAAAGCTGTAAGAGTGCACACTGGAAAAGAACCCTATGCGGTAACTAGTGCTAGCAGAACCAGATACCCACTTGTAAAATAGTGACATTAGATCCTTATTTCTTACCCCATACAAAAATGAACCTAAACTCATTTCCTTGAAAGTAAAATTACTTAGATTCTATCACACACCAGTCAGTGGCTATCATCAAGAAAACAAAAACAAACCCTGGCAATGATGTGGGAATAATGACCCTTACTCACTGCTGACGAGAATGGAAACTGGCGTAGCCACTTTAGCTATCAGTATGAGGGTTTCTCAAAAAACTAAAAATAGAGCCAGGTGGTGGTGGCACACACCCAGCACTCAGAAGGCAGACTCAAACGGATCTGAATTTGAGTCCACCCTGATCTACAGAGTGAGTTCCGGGATAGCCAGGGCTATACAGAGAAACCCTGTCTCAACACTAAAAAGAGAATGTCCATATATATGGTTCATCTCTCGCACTCCTGGGCCAAGGATGCCTACTACAGAGACACTCATCCATGATTATTGCTGCTTTATTATTCACAATAGCAAAGAGATGGATTCAGTGTAGCTGTCCATCAACACGTGGGTGGAAAATGAAAATGTTGTACCTATACACAATAGAATTTCATTTAGCCATAAAGAAATAAGAAATTAAATTTACAGGAAAATGGAAAGACAAATAACTTATGATCTCTCATATTCAGCCTCTCACTTTTAATTTTTGTATATATGTATTTATGTGAGAGTAAGTGTTAGAAGAGGCTAGGAAAAAAGAAAGAGGCCCTTGAAAAGGGAAAAATAAGAGTTTAAGGGAAAGTGGGAAGGGCCACAGAATACACATGACATGAAAGTGGAAGGGAGTTCACTGGAAGGACAGAATGACAAGAGAGAGGACTTGGGGAAAGGCTCAACTACAGGTAATTATGTATGAACAAGCCATAATGAAAGCTGATAGTTTGTATGCTAGTGAAAAAATTAAAACTCAAGTTGGTTTTGCTTGGGTGTGGTAGTTTATTCCTGTAATTCCAGCACTCAGGAGGCTGAAGTAAGAGGAGCACTATGGGTTAGAGGCCAAGTATACACAGTAAGAGCCTCTGAAACAAACAGCAGCAACAACAACAACAACAAACAGTTTCCTAGTTTTTTTTCTCTTGCTACAAAAATTAGAGTGCAGGGCAAAGAATGTAGCTTACTTGGTAAAGTACTTAGTTCAATCCCCAGGAAATAAGATAACTGTTAGACAGACAGTCAAGCAGACAGAAAATAGATGGAAGGATGAATAGATGAATGGATGGATTCATATGATTTAAACATCTTAGCAATTATGAATGAAACATCAGCTTCTTAGAGTAACAAAAATATCACCTCTAGAGAAAAGTGGCACCTAAAGTAATAATGTAGGTAGGGGATATTTATCAGAGGTGCCTGACTGATAGATAGAGTGTCCCAACAGCATTACTGCAATACATGGGAACTGGAAACTATCCAAATGCCATCACCATCAATTAAAGAACAGTATACAATTCATTTATGAAAATGGATAAACAAGGCATACAATTAACATGGATGAATCTCCCATCATGTAGAGAAGCAGAGGGTATGAAAGTATGTTTAGAGCGCTGATAATATGACTAGCTCAGTGGTAAAAGCACTTGCCTACCATGCATGAGGTCCTAAGTTAAATCTCCAGTGCAGAGGTGGAAAGGGAGAAGAATTGAGATTTGAAGGAAATACAAAAACAGGACAGTGGTCCCTTTGGAAAGGAAGAGCAAAGCAGAACCAGTTTTTGGAAGGCTAGCAGTATACCATTTACTAATCTAATGTGTTGGTTACATAAGTGTGTTCAGCTGGCAAAATGATCAAGCTTTAGAGTATGTATATATTTCTATCATGGGTTCCAGTTCCATTTAGAAGCCAGAGTGATAACACAGAAAAGAGAAAACACTGGGCCCTGGAAGGATACCACACTTACTCCTACTCCTTCCCACTCACCTTTCCCAGGAGCTCTTCAAACTCTGGGGACCACTCCTGCATCAGTGTGTCAATGTCAGGCATGGGCCTAAAAGTACAGAAGTCAATATAAAGAGGAAGCATTGACCAATGACATCAGCTATCTCTAAACCAGGTCCACAACTGGGCACAACAGGGTGTCAGGAGAACCAAATTTACCAGGGTGCAGGTTTGGAGTAACCAGCTAATTAGCGATGCAGAGAACTCTCATCTTTGCATCCGCAGTCTGTGCCAGCATCTGCCAACTTCCCTATTTCCAGATCAAATGAAGCACAGTGTAACTGTACATTTTCTAAGAACCTCAGGTTGATCCAATTTACCCTCTGGTTTTAGCCTTTCCTCAGGAGCAAAGGGTCACTATAAATTAGTGGTGAAGTCATATCTCTGCCATGTACGGTCATGCAGGAAGAGTACCTAGCAACTTCTCATTACCTGGTGTAGTGCACAGTAGCAGGGGGCTTAGAGCGGTGTAATTCAGAGATGCTCTCGATCCAGGTGTCAATGGCTTTGGGATTCTTTTCTGCATCTTCCAGGCTCTTTACTTTCATATGTTGCTAGAAAAATAAGGAGAATAATGATATAGATACATTGTGATGAAACCCATTATTTTATATAATAACTGTGTTGGTCATTTGGGGTTTGTGTGTATGTAGTGGTGTTTTATGTCATCATGACACAAGCTGAAGTCATCTGAGAAGAGGGAGCTGCAGGTGAGGAATTGCCTCCATTAATCTGGCCTGTGGGAAAGTTTGTGGGGCATTGATGATTTGATGTGGGAGATGTGCCCCTAAGCAAGTGATCTTGGGTGTATAAGAAAGAAGGCTGGGCTAGAGAGATGGCTCAGTGGTTAAGAACACCAGCTGATCTTCCAGAGATCCTGAGTTCAATTCCCAGCAACCACATGATGGCTCACAACCATTTGTATTAAGATCTGCTGCCCTCTTCTGTCTTGCAGGGATACATGCAGATAGACATCTGTATGTGATGTGTAACAAATCTTAAAAAAAGAAAGGAAGGAAGGAAGGAAGGAAGAAAGGAAGGAAGGAAGGAAGAAAGGAAAAAATGAAGAAAGGAAGAAAGGAAGGCTGAACAGGACAGGAAGAACAAGCCAGCAAGCAGCACTCTTCCATGGTTCTCTTCACTTCCTGCCTTAAGGTTCCTGCCTTTACTCCTCTCAGTGAATGGACTGTGACATGGGGTGGGTGAGCCAGATTAACCCTTTCCTTTCCAAGTTGTTTTTGGTCATAATGTTTATCACACCAATAGAAAGCATATTAGGACAGTAATTTAAAAATTAATTAGAAAAGAGCTATTTTCTGGGCCTAATGGCACATACATCTAATCCCAGCACTTGGGAGGTAGAGGTAGGTGGATTTTCGATGAATTCGAGGCCATCCTGCAGCCAGAGCTACATAGACAGATCCTATCTCAAAAAGCCAAAGAGAAGAAATAGTGCTGTTAGCTGAGCATAGCGATGTACACCTGTCAACTACAACCCCAGCACTTGGGAAGTAGAGGCAGAAGATCAGAAGTTTGAGGTTAGCCTGGGCTACCTGAGATTTTTGTCTCAAAAAGAAAACAAACAAACAAACAACAACAAAAACAACAACTGGTGGAGCCAAGGGGAGGATGCACAGTAAAAGGGAGGGTTGACCACAGCTACATCTGCTCAGATGGCTGGAAGTACAAGGGCCATCACAAGTGTAAGTTAGGATTTGGAGACACTTCAATTCTCATTCGTTGCTGGTAGGACTGCTACTAGTTCAGAAAACATTTTGGCATTTCTTCAAAATGGCAATGCAATCCTCCTCCTCCACATATATCCAAGAGAAATTATACATATGCCACACAAAGACTTGAATATTCTAGCTGCATAATTAACAAAAGTGGGAACAAATGATGGGCCTAATGAATTGTGGCTTATACATAAGAAGAATATTACTCAATCATAAAGAGGAATGAAGTGGTCACTAGAGTTTACAAAGAGAATGGTTGAAGGGCTTCTTTCTGATGAAACTCTGTAAGTTTAGCAATGACAAGCATATGACTCCAGGAATGTACTGAAAGTCAGTGAATTGTCTAATTTAGAATGGTGACCCCTGAGGCTGAGCTTCAGAGGCTCAAAGCACTGGCTGCTTTTATAGAGGACCCGGGTTCAATTCCCAGCACCCACATGGCAGCTCCAAGTATCTGAGGCACTGCATCCATGCAATGCACAGACATGCATGCAAGCAAAAGCCATACTCATAATCTTCAAATAAAAAGTGTGTGTGTGACTTTTATGGTATATAAACTATCTCAATTAAGCCATTACTAAAAACCTAGGCTGGCCTGAAGCCACACCCCCTTTTAGTATTAATGGACTATGCAGCCTCTGGCCTAATCCTGTGCTTCCCAGCTGAGCCCTGCTCTACACCAGCAGCTTACCGTGATGTTGTGCTGCTTGGAATTCTCTGTTAACCATAGTGACAGCACAGTAGGGTCCGACTGCTTTGTAGATGGTTCATCTAACACCAAGAGGCCAAGGTGGTCAGGCTTTCCATCCGGACGCGGCACCTGGTTCAGAGAAAGGTAAGCAGCACTGAGAGAAAATAGGGATTCACAGCAGAGCTATGGCTTCTGTTTCCCATAAACTGCTGGAAATTATTATTTATGGGAGTGAATTTCCAGTGGTTTGTGAACAGTAAAGAGCATACCCTTCTATTATACCAGACTATCTAGAATGAACCCACATGTATGGAGCATAAATATGGGGCTAAATTCATGGTTAATTAGGAGACAAACACACAATACTGTATCACATAACCCAGTGAATAGAATCTGAGGAGAGCACAAGATTAAGAAATCCAATGCAATGAAGACTATTAAGGCAGCCAATTCTCATCAGAGAGATTAGAAGAACTACTGGAATAAAGGAGTTGGAGCAAACCCCAGGAGAATCATTTTTAGGATGCACCATCTGTACCTTTAAAAATGCATCAATATCCCCAACAGCTGGGATAAAATCAGGAATGAAAGGTTTCAGTTTGTGGTCCAGATCGATCAGCTGAGGTGTGTACCTACAAGACACAGTTGAGGGAAAGTGGAAGCAGTCAGAAAATGTCTTTTGACTGGGCTAAAAAATATTGAAGGAGCTTAGTGTTGCTTTGAACTAGAGAGTGCAATGGCTTGGGCAAGGCAGGCATGGTAGAGTACAACAGATGCTTGCATACTTACCGGCTGATATACTCAAAGAGCTCCTTGATCTCAGCTGAGACTGGCAGATGCTCATAGTCTGCAGGATCATAGGCCCTGGGGAAGGAGACACAGGCAGGTCAAAGTGGCCCTCAAGGAGCACAGTGGCAGCCCATATGATATGCACCATAGAGATGTGACCTTGAACCCACCTTCTGCCTCTGCCTACTTCCCTTGTGGGCTTACAAAGAAACTTTGACATTGATTATAATTACCTCTCAATTACCTCTAACTAAAGGAAAAAGCTTCAGAAAACACACGTGACTTTTCTTTTTTATTTCATTATTAATTTTATTTATTTATTTGTTTGTTTGTTTGTTTATAGGTATGAGTTCTCTGTCTGCACACCAGAAAAGGGCATCAGATCCCATTATAAATGGTTGTGAGCCACCATGTGGTTGCTGGAGATTGAACTCAGGTCCTCTGGAAGAGCAGCCAGTGCTCTTAACTGCTGAGTCATCTCTCCAGCCCCACAATGTGCCTTTTAAAAATCTTTGAGTATGTGTGTGTGTGTGCGCACATGTGTGGTGAATGAATGTGATGATGCACATGTGTGTGCAGGTGCACAAGCTAGTGAATGCACACGGAGGTGAAAACTGGATATGATGTGCGAGTAAATAATGTGTATACAAAGGTCAAAGACAACTGGAAGGAGTTGTTCCTCTCCTTTCACCATATGGGTCCCAAGGAATGAACTCAAGTCTTTAGACTTTGTGCAGGTTAACTTTACCCTCTGAGTTATCTGACCCAACCCTTGGGCTTTTGAGATAGGGCCTTGTTGTATATTTAGCTCATGCTGGTCACAGGACTGTAATACTCTGGTTTCAGCCCCCTGAGTCTATACATTAAAAAATAAATAAATACACACACACACACTTAGTGCATGTTCACACACATGCATGCACACTGCAAAGGCCAGGAGAGGGCACTAGAGCCCCCGGAAATGGAGTTAACAGGTGGTTTTGAGCCAGCTGGCACAGGTGCTGGGAACTAAACTCAGGTCTTCTGGAAGAAAAGGAAGCATTCTTAACCACTTTTTTGTATAGTTTATTTTGTCTCAGAGGGTAAAAACTGTGACCAAGCCTGAAGATCTAAATTCAATCCCTGAAATCCATATGGTAGAAGGGGAGCCAACTCCCTTAAACTGTCCTCCAGATTCCATATACACACCCTCTCTCTCTCCCTCTCTCTCTCTCACACACACACACATACACATACACTCTCACACAACAACAACAATAATAATAATGGTAATAAAAATAAAACACTCAAGGGCCAGAAATGTAAATAATAAAAAAACTTTAACAAATGATGGTTCTTCCCTTTAATCCCAGCATTCAAGAGACTCAGGTATGAGGACTATACATTCTAGGCCAGCCTGAGCCACATAATGAAGTAACTTAAAATGCATATAGTAAGTTGTTTCTCTTGTGGCTTTCCACAGTTCTCCATGTCTTTCTGGTCTCTGGCGCAGCCTCCTTCCAGAGACAGTGTTTCCCACATACACAGAACAACACAGCATGAATACACTTTAAAACTCAACACCTTACTTAAAGCTGCTTAAGGACCATTTTATTAGGATTTGAGAGAAAAACAACAGGGCATTAGCTATGAATACTGGTAGCTGCCAGGAGGGAATGAAGAGGGAAAGAAAAGGTGATGTCATGAGTTAGGGCCCCCAAAAGCAGACATATTCAAAATGGAAGTCAGAAAGAGGTTGCATTGCGTGTGTGAGGGGGGATGGGGTAGGGGGGTGTCTTTAGACAACAAGTGAGAAAGCCCAGTACCTAGAAAGCAAGCCAGTACACCAGAGACACAGAAAGGAGGAAAAGGAAAAGCTATGCTTTCTCAGGTAAAGCTCAGAAAACTGGCAGGCTTAATGCTACACAGCAGAAGCTCTGCAAATGATAGGGTCTCACTATGTAGACCAGGCTGACCTCAAACTTGCATCAATCCTCCTGCCTGTCTTACAGGTCTGAGCCACTCTGCCTTTACTAGCATAGATAGTCATTGCATACTTCAAAATCTTTTTTTCGGTGTATGAGTGCTTATTCATTATGTATGGGCATCAGAGGAGGGCACTGGATCACCTGGAACTGGAGACACAGGTGCTGTGAGCCACCATGTGGGTGCTGAGATCTGAACCTGGGTCCTCTGCAAGAGTAACAAGTGCTCTTGACTTCTGAGCCATCTGTCTGTCCCCCCACAATACACTTTCTCCTTTGTTTATTTGTTTTTTGAGACAGGGTCTCTGTACATATCCCTGGCTCTCCTGGAATTCACTATGTAGACCACACCAGCCTTGAACTCAGAGATTCATCTGCCTCTGCCTCCTGAGTGCTAGGATAAAGGTGTGTGCCGCCACACTTGGCTGCAACAAACACTTTCAACAAGTAGACAAAATTTTGATTGGTTATTTCATCATTTAGTTCACTGGTAGTTTTATATAATTAACTATGTAATTAATTTTTGTTATACTTAATAGGTTTAAGATGAAGCCTTGCTGTTTCCAGGTTGGCTTTAAACTCCTGGATTCAAGAGATCCTCTTGGCTCAGTCTTCTAAGTAGCTGAGACTTTGGGTATGTGCCATTACACTTGGCTAGTAACTGTATTTTATATGTTTGCTTTGCAGTTCTGGGGATTGAACCTAGGGCCTCATGACCATTGAGCTATATCCCCAGTATAAATGGATGGTATTCAGAATACATGTTGATTATAACTTATAGGAGTGAATCATGACAGTGACAATGGGGCTGCAACAGAGTAATGTAGTGAGGTAGTCCTTCTGTAGCACTGACCACGCCCATTGCACTTTCCCGAAAATATGTTGGACACTGTTGTTGCTCCTGCTGGAGTTCAATCTCGCCTCAGATAATGGCCTGTTGGGCATAGAATTGCCCCCACCTTGACCACTGATTTGGACATGCAGTCCTATGTGCTTGCAGGAGACAAATATAGAAGACTGCTTGACCTTGCCAAGTCAGGGTAAGACAGCCATTCTATTTCCCTGCTGTTGTTGTGGTCTGTCAAGTTCTCTTGGCCTTAGCCAAATCTGGGTGTACCAACGTCGCTGTGAGACCTAGGGTGACTGTTCAGGTGGCTTGCTGTTTCTGTCCTTGCTGCACCGTTTGGAAGTTGTCCATCCGCATTTCCTGTCTACTCTAGTATTGTTATTTTCCTTCTCAGGTCTTGATGAGGTTGAAGATTAAACTATCACAACTATTATTCTCTCTTCCTAGTTAGATATATTAGGTACTAGACTTACATTTTCCAGCTTAGGACAACTCTATTGTAAACTCCATTATGCCCTCACCCTAGGACTAGATATGTAGGTCATTTTGTTCTCGATTTTCCTTTTCTTAGAGCACACTTGTTATTCACTGTTTTGTATATAGTTTTGTATTAAGCCTAAATCTTTTCTTTAGACTAAAAGGGGAATTGTAGTGAGGTAGTCCTTCTGTAGCACTGACCACGCCCATTGGGGGGTGGAGCGATGGGCGGAGGTGACCGAAGGAAGGAGGTCGGAGGGGGCCAGGAAGGCGCTCTCTTGCTGGCATGACTCGGACAGGAGAGGATCGGGTTGAATTTCCTGGTGTTCATCTGTCTAGGTTGTAAGTTATTTCTCCCTGAATAAACATCTATTCGGCCTATTTGTTTATCCTGATCCTTATTTACCGCAATAGAGTAAAATGGTTTTTGTTGTTTACTTAGCATCACCCAAGAACCCTGCTTCAATGTAAGGCCCCTGAAGCTCTTCTCTCCAGTCCAGGAAGGATCTCAGCCTAATGGAAGTGCTTATGTGCATGTAGTTTGCCCCACTAGACAGAAATGCTTTGGCTTTGTACTTCTTTCCCAAACTGGGAGCTCCTGGAAGGCAGAGGCCATGCTTTAGGTTAACCCAGTGATATTTGCTGAGCCCACAAATATTACCAATAGTTTAAGTGACATCACAGGCACAGATGAGGCAGTGGAGCCAGGAAGAAAACTCACAATGCTGGGCTCCTGAGATTTGAAAAAGTATAGGTTATCAAAAGATGCTGCAATCTATTCCCAAATAAGTCCTACTAACTGCCATCCTTGGCACAGGGTCCTTCCTACCCTTCCAGAGGCGCTCCATGCTCTTCATCATCATCATCGTCATCAGAATCAGTCTCAGATGAGTCATCATCATCATCATCATCATTTTCACTGAAGCCCCGCTGAGGTGTCAACTGTGAGGGCTTCTTCTTCTCCTGGGCAGGGCAGGCAAGGGAGAAACATTTATATAAAGAGAAATTTAATAATTTAATTCCTATGCCTGGCTCTGCACTGTTCTCATAATGCCCAGACCTCTGCCACCTAGTCACTACAAAGGTGGCATCATCCCTAGGGGCCTGAGAACCTTTCCCTGCTAAGCAGACTCACACTTTCTTCAACCATAGTTCTCTACTATAAACAGAGCACAATTCTACTCAGCTTATAGTTAGGAACCTATTACTTGCTCTCAGAAGTTTTGCATAAACTTTACCCAGAAGCTGCACTCCTTAAATTTAGGAAAAGGTGGTGGGGCTGGAGAGATGGCTCAGCAGTGAAAGAGTATCCAAATTCCATTCCCAGAAGCCATGTCAGGTGGTTCACAACTGCCTGGATTCCAAATTCCGGGGATCCTTCTGGATGTTGAGGGCACCTGCACTCATATTCACATACCCACACTCCCCTCCCCCACATGCCGGACCCACACACATTTATGCATAATTAAGGATAAAATAAATCATAGACAGTGGAAGAGAAAGCTCAGTGGCTAAGCGCATACACCACACTTGCAGAGGACCAGAATTTAGTTCCCAACACTTACAAAAGGCAGCTCACAACCTCCCTCCTATAATGCCAGTTCAAGGGGATATGATCTCTTCTGGCCTCCATGGGCACCTGTACTCACATATGCAGATACACAAACATAACTAAAAAAAGAATATACACTGGAAAGGGTAACAACTTGAGATTATTTGGGGAGTAGGAAAAGATGAAGCAGGGAAGACAAACTTTACAGGTTCATGGTACTCACAGAGAAACCCAGCATTTAATTTGTAAGAATGCTCACAGTAAGGGCTGGAAGCTATCACAAGAATAAAATAGATACTCAACCCTGAGCCTGGGTTCATACGTGCAGCTCTGGAGAGCAGTGATACCTCCTTTACAGAGTGTCTGGTTTGTCTGCAGTACCCCTCCCCTGTGACTTAAGTGCACTAACTATACACATTTCAGTTCAGGATGAGGGGCTCCTGTGGTCTTGGCATTATACCCTAAGTTTTTTGTTTTGTTTTGTTTTTTGTCCTTGTTGCTAGGGTTTTTTGTCTTGTTTTTTCAACACAGGGTTTCATACTGTAGTCCTGGCTGGCTGTCCTGGAACTCACTCTGTAGATCAGGCTGGCCTTGAACTCACAGAGATCCACCTGCCTCTGCCTCCTGTGCACTGGGATCAAAGGCGTGCACTACCACTGTCTGGCAACAGCCTACATTTTCAATTTCTGGCTCCATCCTACTCTCTTAAGTCCACAAGATAGGGTCTGGTGGTGTCTGCACTTGCAGAGAGAGTTGGGACAGGCTCCTTATCTTTGTCTCTGTGGCCTGTAGCCTGTAACGTGCCTTCCCGGACAGGTGGTCAATTGGCCTCCTTTAAAAGTAGTTTTTGGGGTCTGGAGAGTATTGTTAAAGACATGGCTTCAATTCCCAGCACCCACATGGCAGCTCACAATCATCTATACCAGTTTCAGGGGATGCAATGCCCTGGTCTAGCCTCCATGGGCACAAGGTACACACATGGTACACAGAAATATATGCAGGCTGGTGGGCATTTAATTTAATTTAATCCAGCACTTGGGAGGCAGAGAAGATCTCTGTGAGTTCATGGCCCTAATCTATAGAGCTAGCTCCAGGACAGCCAAGGCTACACAATGAAACCCTGCCTCAAAAAAAAAAAAAAAAAAAAAAAAAAAATACATGCAGGTAAAACACCTATATGGATAAAATAAAAATGAATAAACAAATAGTAAAAGTAGTTTTAAAATTATAGATGAGACTCAATTGGTAGAGTGTCTGTTAGCATGTAGGAAGCTCTTGGTTCAATCCCCTATACCACATAAACTAGACAGGTCTATACACCCAGCACTTGGGAAGGGAACAAAAAGATCAGACGTTCAAAGTCATCCTTGACTATATAACCAGTTTAGGGCCAGCCTGAGTTACATAAAATGTTTTCTCAAAATATAAAATGTACATGAAAGAGCTGTTCCTGAGGGCTAGCATGTATGAAGCCCTCTGTTCAATTCCCATTGCCACATAAATTGGAGTTAGAGATAGAAGAAGGAAGATTATGCATTCAAAGACAGCCTTAATGACAAGAGACCTTTGTCTCAAAATGCCACCCCCTCAGGAGGCAGAGGCAGAGGCAGGTGGATCTCTTTGAGCCTGGTCTATATAGAGTTAGTTCCAGGATAATCAGGGAAACACAAAGAAACCCTGTGTCAAAAAACCAAACAATAAATAAATAAAATAAATTATATATATATATATATATATATATATACACACATATATATATAAAAAGAGAGAGACTTATACTTTTATATCTATAATATTTCTAATAAATAAAACAATTTAGGATGTACTCAGTATACTTTATCAATATATTGGCATAATTGCTAAGAACTTATCCTTACATTTTATTTATTTATGGGAGGGTGTGCACATGTCACTGTGTATGTATAGAAGTCAGAGAACAACCTGCTGCAACTCTTCTTCTACCATGTGGGTTCAGAAGATCAAACTCAGGTCATCAGTACCTAGTGAATGGTACTGTCAGCTCAGAAGGCAGTTTTGGCAAAAGGCAACTTTTAAGAATATTGACTATCAGACTGGCATGGAGGTGCAAGCCTTTAATCCTAGCACTCAGGAGGCAAGGGAAGATGGAATGGACCTCTCTAAGTTCCAGGCCTGCCTGGTCCACATATCGAGTTCCAGGACAGTCAGGATTTTATAAAGACCTGTCTCAAGTGGTAGCACACACCTTTAGTTCCAGCACTTGGGAGGCAGAGGCAAGCAGATCTCTCTGAGTTCGAGGCCAGCCTGATTTACAAGGTGTGTTCCAGGACAGCAAGGGCTACACAGAGAAACTCTGAACAATGACAACAAAAAACAAAAAATTGACTGTCATTTTAGAAATTGTTCAAAAATAGATGGCTTCGTCTAATTACAGATGGATACTAATTGGAAAGATAAACCAGCCTTGACTACCATCCACTGCACGAAGCCTAAAAGAATATAGTGTGGCTCCACCAACTGTAGAGAACAACCTAGGAAAAGGGTTCACTTTTCTGGTTACTTCTTCAGAATCATGTTTTGAGAACTTCCTGACACAATGTCAGATGGCTCTCTAGACCACAAACACCTGGGAGACTCTTGTGTATAAGATGATAAAACAATGTACTAGCCATAGAGTGGGACCTTAAAAACCCACTCCCTAATGTTTTAACGTAGTCGGTCTGTATCACTTCAGGTTCTTGCATTACATAAATATTCCCAAAGTTTTTTTTTTTTTTCCTTTTTAATTCTATTTTATGTGTATAGGTATTTTGCTTACATGTATGTTTGTGTACAACATGAGAGTTTGGTGCCCATGGAGGCCAGAAGAGGTTGTTGCATTCTCCTGGAAATGGAATTACAGACAGCTGTGAGCAGCCATGCAGACGCTGTGTCCTCTGGAAAAGCGACATTGCTCTTAACTACTGAGCCATCTCTCCAGCCCATTTGTTTGTTTTATGGTGCAGGGGATTAAAGCCAGGGCTTTAGATCTGCTAGGCAAGTGCCAATCTCCAGTCACCAATGCCCCTGTTTAAAGGACAATAAAAATGTGGAGTTTGTTGTTTGAGACAAGGTTTCTCTGAGTAGCCTGGGTATCCTAGAACACTCTGTAGACCAGGCTGGTCTCAAACTCACAGAGATCTGCCTGCCTCAGCCTCCCAGTGCAGGGATTAAAGGTGTGTACCACTACCACCTGGCTGGAATCTGTATTTTTAAAAGCAAATATCCTAGTTGAATTTTATAATCTATATAGACTGAAATACTGTCCCATTTTAGATGAAACTCCTCACTAAAAGCCAGCTGTAGGGACTGGAAAGATGGCTCAGGTGTTAAGAGCACTGACTGCTCTTCCAGAGGATCTGGGTTCAATTCCCAGCACCCACATGGTGGTTCACACTTGTCTGTTACCCCAGTTCTAGTGTTTCTGACACCATCACACAGACATACACGAAGGCAAAACATCAATGAACAGGTCTTTTTAAAAAGGCAGCTGTAATGATAGTCTATGTGGGGATGGGCTCAAAAGTAAATGTGAAGCCACTAGAGGAGAATGCTCAGGAAATGTTACACCAACCACCCAGAGCCCAAATCCCTACAGAAGCCGTGGGCCATACCGCACCTTGTTGTTTTCCTCTTCGTACTCATCGCTGCTGTTATCCGCCATGGTCTTGTTAGGAAGACTGGCAGAAAGAGGAAGGCCTTACAAGAAAAGAATTTCATTAATTAATGTTTATGTGATTGCAAAACAAAAAACAAAATTAAGTTTACAATTTTTAAAAAATTTTCATTTTATTTATTCACTTTTCTTTTTCTCTATTCCTTTTTTTTTTTTTTTTTTTTAAGACAGGGTTTCTCTGTGTAGTTCTTTTTCTGGAACTCACTTTGTAGACCAGGCTGTCCTTAAACTCAGAGACCCACCCACCTCTGCATCCCAAGTATTACGATAAAAGACATGAGCCACCAGCCAGGTTTTGCTGGTACATGCCTTTGATCCCAGGACATGGGAAGCAGGGCAGGTGGATCTCTGTGAGTTCAAGACCAGCCTGGTCTACAAGAACTAGTTCCAAGACAGGCTCCAAAGCCACAGAGAAACCCTGTCTGGAAAAACAAAAAACAAACAAACAAAAAAAGACATGGGCCACCATGCAGACTAAATTTATAATATTTTATATACAAAGTTTATAGAAACATGAAGGGAGCCAATTAGATAACTCAGGTGGGGGGGAAAATCCCATTGTCCTTTAACCTTAAGACCTGAGTCCCATTCCCAAAAATCAGTGAAAAGAAAAAAAAAAAAAAAAACAAAATGACTTTTGAAAGTTGTCCTCTAGCCTACACATGTGAGCGCACATGATGTGTCTATGTGCACACACTCACAAATAAAAAACAAGCTGGGTATGATGGCATGTTTTAGCCCTAGGACCAGTGAGAGAGTGACAGGTGGATCTGTAAGCCCAAGGCCTGCCTGATCTACATAGTGAGTTCCAGGCCAGCCAGGGCTAGCTACATGGTGAGATCCTGTCTCAAAAATAAAATTCTAGTCATATCATAGTTCTGTCAACTCAAGACACTGTTATAAATATCCCTTTGCTTATGTATTTAGTTAGATGCTATATTAACTTATTACCTGAAATTATGACTAGAAACTGAACTGTCCAAGGGGTAAAGTGAGGTATGTGATGAGTAATGCATAAGAGTTCTGGGCTAACAGAAGGATCATTTGCATGAAGTGACTTACCCTCTCTGAGTATCAGTATTCTCTAAATAGGATCAGTTTCAGGATCAAGTGAAAAGCCTACCTGGAAAAGAGTGACCTAGAGCCTGGCAAATAGCAGCTAGTTGTAAATCTGAATTTGAATCAGGGCATAAGGGCAGTAAGAGAATCTGTAAAAATAATAGCATATCCCAAGATCAAAAATATAATTAGATGTAAGACTAACCAACATGAAAACATGTTAGATGAATTCTAAGTCAAATACATGCAAATGAACATTTTTTTGACTTATTAAATTACCTAGATGAAAATAAGTTCACAGTTGGCAAGAGCATAAATTTGTTCAAGTCACTGGGCATGGCAGCTTATAGTACTTGGGAGACTAAAGCAAGAAGGGTACCTCAAATTCAGGGCCAAACTGAGCTACATAGTGAACTCCAGGTTTGCCTAGGCTCCACTGACTAAAACCCTATTTTGAAATAAACATAAAAACAAAAAAACAGAAACAAACAAACGAACAAAAAACAAAAAACCTACTCATACACACAAAATTTTTTTAAAAAATAATTAAAACACAGCGAATCTGTGGCAGAATCTATACAGAGCAGTAACATGAAGCAAACAATGATAGGGGATGAGCTTGCACTCAAAGATTCTGTAATCTGATGCACTGATTTCTCCCTCAACGAGTGAGAAAACAAAGTCAAGTGCTTGACTCACATTGCTAACTCTTGCTGATACAACCTAAGAGCCTACTGTATACAAACATGAACCCAATCCGGGCTAGTGTTTTGAAAACCACCTCCCTTCTTATCTCTTTTCTTCTCTTACCTTGATGTCCTGGGGTTGGAGTGCTAATACTGGCAACCTCTTCTGAGTCGTTAATCTCTAGACGCTCATCATAAGTCTGGTTCTCAACAATTTTTGTCTAAACAAAAGGAGATAGGTTACTCCTACCATGGGCTATATACATTCAGGACTCCGCGTAGCGATGCATTCACCCCCAGCCCAATTTTCTCCAAAGGAAAGTTTCCTGACCCCAGAGCAAGCAGATAACTAGATTCAACCCTTATTTAGATAGCACTGGCTGAGCCGAGAGAACTGCAGAGGAAAACAACATCCAACCTGTTCCAGCAGCAAACCAAAAGCTACACGTAAAGATGCACTCAAGGGGAGTAGACTGCGATTGTCTCAGAGTTTGTCAGTTTCCGCACAGCTGTTGAGGCTTCTGGCGGGGTGAGGAGGGTTACAGGGACCGGACGGGACAGGACTATAAAGGTTCTAGAGTCTAGACTGAGTTCATTTAGCCTGTGAGTGACCTCTGGGCAGAGAAAGGAAAGATGTTCCTGAGGGAAGGCCGACTCCAGTCTCGGCCCCAAAGCATCATATCTACTACTTGCACACGTTTTGAAGACAGGATCCCATTGGTTTCTTGGAGAGCTAAGGATACAGGGTAGTTGGTTGGGCGCGGAGAGTGAAGAACGGCGATGGGGAGGGGAGAGGTCTCCTGGTGTGAGCACCAATTAATTACCTGTAGCCCCTCTGGATCCGTTTCCTCTATTTGGAAATAACCCCAGCCTAGGACTGGGGTCTCACGCTCAGGCCCGGCCACTTCAGGGATCCCTAAGTGTAGCAAACCTGTTGCCTAGCCGGTTGTCAGTCGCTAGGCAAAAAGATAAATAAAATAGAGCGAGAGCAAGGAGTAATAATCGCGAGACCTATTGCGCCACCCACTCAACCCCCGCCCCAACCCCTCACCGGTGATGGCGGAAGCAGGAACGCTGCGCTGGGATAGAGCGGCCCGGCATTCTAGGCGACCAATCAGCCGGCTTGTCTATGATTTCCCCAACTGAGTCAGTTGTGACATCTAGTGGCCAAATGTGGTAGGGCAATGTAGTGGATTTTCCTCCAATTGGAAACTGTCATCTCAAAGGCAAGGCTCATTTGGCATGCAGTTTCTCCCAGATAAGCCTAATTAGAATTTGGATACTCTTCAGGGAAAAGTCCAAGCATGTTTAAAAGTTCTTTTATAGCATCTCTATGATACGATAGCCTTTTCCCTCGCGGTGTTCTATGTCACATGAGCGTACTTTATTCTTCCTTTAGGGAGATTAGGATTTAACTCTTTCCTGTGTTTTTACTTGCTAAAGAAAACTATGAGCTGGGTAAAGTGGTGCACTTGAGATGTGGAGCCAGGAGGATTAGAAGAAGTTCCAGATCCGCTTTAAACTTGGTGAGCGGTCAGCCTGCAGTACTGAGGTCCTGTCTCAAAACAACAAAATACTGTGATTAAAAAAATAATAAAAATAAAAACACTTTATCTTGCTGAGCATTGGTAGAGTCCCAGCACTGGGGATGCAGAGGCAGGCCAATCTCTAAATAGATCCAGCCAGATCTTAAAAAAAAAAAAAAAAAAATGAGTTCCAGGACTACACACAGAAAGCCAGCCTTGAAATTCTCAACAAAAAAAAAAAAAGGGGGGGAGGGTCAGGAAGAGTAAGCAAGAAAACAATGTTCAGACTCCACATACCTGCAATTCCAACACAGGAGAGAGACTGAGACAGAAGGACCTCCAGGTTACGGTTAGCCTGGACCACACAGGGAAATCTTGTCTAAATAAATAAAAAGGAAATTTGGGGGAGGGGAGAGTGAGAAAAGAAGAAAGAAGACACACTTCTTTAAAAGAAAAAAAAAGATTGATACCTAAAAATTGCACAGATTTATGGGACAGTATTTCCATACATTGTACATTGCAGAATATCCAAATCATATCATTTCTAGATCCTTAACCATTTTCTTTTTCTTATTTGAGACAAGGACTCATGGTGCAACTCTGTCTGGCCTAGACTCACAACTCTACAGATGAGGCTGTCCTCAAACACATAGTGGTCCTATCTTTGCTTCTCCAGTGTCGCTGCTATGTATGTGTATCACCAACAGTTCTCATTTATTTTCTTTTTGTTTGTTTTTTTTATATAATTCATTTATTTTTATTTGTGCACTGGTTCTATGCCTGCATTTATGTTTGTGTGAGCATGACAGACAGGTCCCCTGGAACTGGAGGTGAAGCCAGTTGCCAGCTGCTATGGGGGTGTCCAGGATTGAACCAGGATCCTCTGGAAGAGCAGGAGGTGCTCTTAATTGCTCAGCCAACTTTCCAGCCCATTTGCTGGTTTTCAGGTTTTGTTTTTGTTTGTTTGTTTTGAGGCAAAGTTTCTCCTTGCAGCCCTGCTGTCCTGAAACTCACTCTGTAGACCAGGCTGGCCTGGAACTCAGACATCTGCCTGAATGCCTCCCAGTGCACCACCCCAAGTCAGTTCTCATTTCTTTGTGATTAAGAAAAAAATCAGGATCCTTCTAGCTTTTTCATAAAGATATACTAAATTATGTTGTGTTTTTTATAGTCAACTTTCCTGTGCAACAGAACAACAAATCATATTTTCTTCTTCTTCTTCTTCTTCTTCTTCTTCTTCTTCTTCTTCTTCTTCTTCTTCTTCTTCTTCTTCTTAAAAAAAGAAGTATTTCATTTGGGAGGCAGAGGTGAATCTCTGTGAGTTCGAGACCAGCCTGGTTTACAAGAGCTAGTTCCAAGACAGCCTGCAAAGCCTCCAAAGCCACAGAGAAACAATTGTCTCGAACCCCCTCCCCAAAAAAACCAAGTATTTGTTTTTTGTTTTTACTTTTACTTTCTATTTATGAGTGTTTTTCTAATTAAAAAAATTTACTTTTTAAAAATGTGCCACTTTCGTGTATGTATACATGGATGTTTATGTGCCACCTGCATGCCTGGTACCCTCAGAGTCAAGAAAAGGACATCAGATCTCTTGGAACTGGAAAGATTGTGAACTGCCATATGGTGCTGAGAATTGAATACCAGTCCTCTAGAAGAACAGCAAGTCTTCTTAAACTGCTGAGCCATCTCTCCAGCTTAGACTTTAAACTCTTTGATTCTCCTGCCTCCACCTTCCAAGTGCTGAGATCACAAGTGTGTGTCACCATGCCTGGCTTTATGTTAGACTAGGAGTGGCAGTCATGCTTTCAATCCCAGCACTCAGGAGGCAGAAGAAGGTAGGTGTCTGAGTTCAAGGCCAACTTGATTTAGAGTGAGTTCCAGGATAGCCAGGGCTACACAGAGAAAGCCTGTCCCAAAAAACATTTTTCCCCACAGAATGTTCCCCTGTATGTGTTATATTTTACTTTATCCATTCATTCAGTTAATGGACACACTTTGGGTCTAGCACACACTTCCTTGGCTGCTTCAGGTTAAAAATGAGATTGCCTGTAATCTTAACACTGAGAATGTGAAGGCAGGCAGATAGATTTCTGTGAGTTTGAGCCAGCCTCATCTACATAGTGAATTTTAGGTCACCAGGGTATACAAAGTAAGACTGTCTTTTAAAACAAACAAACAAACAAAAAAGCAAAATCAAAAACTGGGTTTAGTGAAATTGCAAATTTTTAATTTTTGTGACACATTATTGTCCATACTAATAAGTACATATTGTTGAGAAATTACTATGGCAGAAGGCTTAGTCTAATTTAAAGGCATGTGAGTCTAATTTATTTTATATTGTGTAATTTAACACATTCATGAAATAAGTGTTACCACTAGTTTATAATAACTGATACTTAGAGAGTAGTAACTTAACTAATCACTCAGTAAGTAATGAAAAGGGGTCAAACACAGGTCAGTCTGAGAGCTGTTCTGCTTTAACTCATTATGTTATAGGGTGGTTGGTGGAGCAAAATTGGTCTTCTACAAGAGCAATACAGGATCTTAACTGCCAAGCCATCTCTCAGAACCCTAACACAGAACAAAAAGCTCACTCTTTTGAAGTATGCAGTTCAGTACTGAAGAGATGGCTCTGAGTGAGAGTTCAACCCGGTCTACAAAGTGAGTTCCAGGACAGCCAGGGACGCACAGAGAAACCCTGTCTCAAAACAAAAACAACTTTACTATTATTGTTATATGTGTGTGCATGCTGTGTGTGTGAGAGAGGATGGAAGTGCAGGCACACTACCGCACATCTGTGGAGACCAGAGGACAACTTTCCAGAGTGAATTCTCATCCCACCACGCACATGGGTTACAGAGATGGCCCTTATATTGTTAGGCTTAACAATTGAGCCATCTTGCTGTCCCTAGATGCTATGCTATTATTGTTGTTGTTGTTATTATTATTATTTTGGTGGCGGTTGCCTCCCAATGTATAACAGATTGAGCTTTCACTCGATGCTGGCATTTAGGCTGTACTCCAACTTTTGATCTTCTTCCTCAGACTCCTGATTGCTAGAATCACAGTTATGGGGCCCATGCTGGCTTTATTATAGAGTTCTAAACATTCTTTTTGTATTCTGGATACTAGTTCCTCATGCACACGGATTACTTTATATATTCCATTAAATGGTTTTATGAACTGTAAGAAGAGACGTCGAGTAAACGCAGGTGAACACAAAGAAAGGACAAAAGGATGATGCTCCACAACTCAAGCCAAACTTCCTTCTAGTCCTGGGATAACGGAGTAAAATTCAAGACTGGTACCCAGGATTTGCCTGCCGGTCCCGCCCCCCCGCCCTTTGACCCGCGCCGTTTCCGGTTGGAGACGTGGCTTGGGTCCGCCATCTTGGCAAGAGGCGAAGCGGCGGAGGCTCCTGTCAGGGGCAGCAGGACCGGAGCGGCCGGTGCTCCGCTTCCTTGGGCCACAGCCCGAGCCCCAGCGGAGCCAGAGCGTGGTGCGCCCCACCTGCGGCCTCACCATGGTAAGCGCCGAGCCGGTTCCGCTCGCCCTGTGCTCGCCGGCCGGGCTCGGCCCGCAGGAGCCGCGCCCGGAGCCCCGCTGGCGGCCCGGGCTTGGCGCGGCCTCCGGGGGAACTCGAGCGAGCTGCCGCGCCCACCAGGCCTCCGCCGGCAGCACCGCCGCGTCCGCCCGACACTCCGACCCACCCGGCTGGGCTGGTGGTTGTCGCGTGGGCCTTCCGCCCTCACGTCCTGCCTGCCGGTTCCCCGGGAGCTCCGGGTCCGCAAGGCTGGGCCTGGCGGCAGCTTCTCGTCCTCTCACCACCTCGTCTCTTTCAGCTTTTTCTTTTTTTAAATCGGAAGGGGGAAGTGGAGGCACCACGAGAAGGAGTAACTTGGGACGCTCGTTTGTAGGACCCAGGTGTCCCCCGAAGCGTCTGTGCTGGGGTAGCGCGTACGTGTGTCTTTGGCAGCGAGGCTGAGTGGACAGTGTGTATAGAACATTGAGAAACTGAGTGACAGACACAGGTTTCTGTCTCCAAGGAACCTACTACTGTTCAGGTGGAGTGACATGCGTGTGACATATTGTAAAATAGGAGTTCTTGGGTGGAGTAGGAGGGGTGGGCTGTACTTGGGGACCTGTCAGGTGCCTTCGAAGGCGTTATCTTTCTGGACTCATCTGTTACCGAGATAGGAGAAATTAATGTGGGTGAGAATGGGAGAAAGCAGAATTGACTCCACCAGATCCTGCTTTATCAACTGAAATCTGGATATTCGTGAACTAGAAGAGATACTACGGTTTCCAAGGAACTAGCAATTTATCTTTGGAAGATTTTTTTAAGTACTTTGAAAGCATACCCAAGGCCTAATAAACTATTTTGGTACTTGTCATACTAAGTTCTAGTGACAACTCTTTCAGTAAGAACTTGGTCAGAGGAGAGATTCGTGTTGGATTTCTTTTCCAGCCTTAGGTGTACGAATTACATCAAGTATGCTTGCCTCCCCAATTTTGGTGTTAGACATATAATTTCCAAACCTCATATACCCACCCCAAGTCTCAATTCCACGAGGTTGTTTTTGTTGTTGTTTTTGTGGTTTTTCTTTCTTTCTTTTTTTAAGATAATGTTTTTAAAATAAAAACATTTTATGTGTATGAAGTGTTTTGCTCACAGATATGTCTGTGCACCACCTGCAGAGGGTATTGGATCCCCTGGAATTGGAGTTATGGACACTTGCCAGCCTTCCTGTGGGTGCAGGGAATCTAACCCAAATCCTCTGCAAGAACAAGTGCTCTTAACTGCTGAGCCATCTCTCCAGCCCCCATATTTTAGTGTTTAGACAGAGGGTTTCTCACTATGTTCAGCTGGCTGTTCTGAAACTCACTATGTTGACCAAGCTGACCTCTGCCTTCCCAGCACTGGAATTAAGTCGTTCACTACCTCTACTCGATGAGATAGTGATTTTTTTTTTCCATTTGGGGGAGTATTCATAGTGTATTGTTTTAATATTAAAATTAGAGCCCTATAAAACTAAATACAGATAATCTTTACCAAATCTTGTTTATTAAAATGTTCTTGGAACATTAATATTTTAATTCATTGATAATTGAGAAACAGGCCAGGTGGTGGTGGCTCACATCTTTGATCCCAGCACTCAGGAACAGAGGCAGGTGGGTCTCTGAGTTTGAAGCCAGCCTGGTCTACAGAGCGAGTTCCAAGACAGCCAATTGAGACCCTGTCTTGAAAAACAACCAAAAAAAAAAAAAAAAAGATAGTTGAGGAACATTAGAGCTGTATGTGTTAAGTGATAGGTGTGTATTTGTATGTGTATATATGTATATTTTTTGATTGTCCTTTTGATGTATATACATATTCATATAGCTGTGTTCTGTCTTTCTGAATTAGACCTAACATGGTCCAGGTATCTATAGACTTGTGTGTTGTGGAGAGCAGTTTGCCTCAGTACAATTTGCTCTGTCAAGTCAAACACTTGGTATTACTTTTATATAATTTCTCTAGGCCCTACCTACTTAATTTTAAAAAGGTCCTTGTGTCATAGAATTGCCCAAGTGGGGTGAAATTTTGATCTCAAAGTTGCATCAAAGTTTCTAGAAGTAGTTTTTCCTCAACATTTTATTATGAGCCTTTCTAACCTAGAAATTTTCAAGGAACCTTACAAGGACCAGTCATGTAACTACCAACTAGTTTCTCTTAACATTACACTATAATTATTTTATCACATACCTAATCATCATTAAAACTTCAGAGTAAGTTAGCAGGTTTCATAAACACTGTTTTTGAAAAATATATTTTCTTTGACTTTAGTTGCTGAGTATCCATGAAAAATGTCCTAGACTGCAGTTGCTATAGATGTATAAATGAGCTGTATAAAAGTGCAAAAGTGGCTTATAACATTAAGTACACAAGGAAATACTGTTTTTTTGTTTTTGTTTTTTCCCCCTTTAAGCAGATGTAGTTCAGGCTAGCCTGAAATTCACCATCTTCTTTTCTCAGTTTCCTGGAAGACTTGGCCACATTAGCTGAAATGCATCTTCTGACCCTTAATTTTCTTAATATTTGCCAAATACCAGTATGGTGTTTTGTTTTTTTTTTTTAAACCTTACATTTGAATAAACTTGGTAGTAAGGCCTGTGATATCTCCCATTTGTAAAATATGTTTATAGACCATTGTTCTTAATTATTAAGAAGATGGTGGGTTGTTTTGTTTGTTTTTGGTTTGGTTTGGTTTGGTTTGGTTTTTTGAGACAGGGTTTCTCTGAGGCTTTGGAGGCTGACCTGGAACTAGGTAAAAGACATATTACGATGGAAAGTACCTTTACCTACTGAGCCCTGCTGTGAAGTTTTCAAGACCTTATTAAATTCAAAGAGTCTATAGACTTACAGGACACTTAGTTAAACTTAGAGACTGTGTGTATTTGTGAGATGCAGGATATTGAGCATCCTCTGTGGCTCTCTGCCTGTCTCTGACCTGCAGTGCTGGGGTTACAGGCACTTGCATCCACTGCTGACTTTTTATGTAGTGATGGAATTCAAATTCAGGGCCTCATGCTGACAAAGCTTTGAAGTGCTATTCTCTACTGAGCCATCTTCCCAGCCTGCCTCTACCCTGTGGGTTTTTTTGTTTTTTGTGTTTGTTTGTTTGTTTGTTTGAGACAGGGTTTCTCTGTATTGCTTTGGAGCTGGAGCCTGTCCTGGAACTAGCTCTATATTCCAGGCTGGCCTCAAACTCAGAGATCCACCTACCTCTGTCTCCTGAGTGCTGGGACTAAAGTCATGAGCCACAAATGTCCCGCTTTTTTTGTCATGTTTTTATTCTTATCTTTTACATTTGTTTGTTTAGTAGAGCAAGGCAAGTTCTTTACTATTTCCCCACTCCCCTGCCTTTTTGTTTGTTTAATAAAGATTTATTTTTTGTGTATGAGTGTTTTGCATGCATGTGTGTATACACATACACACACATATATATACACATACATACACACACACACACACATATATATATATATGTACCACATGTGTGCCTGGTGCTTGCAGAAGCCAGAAGAGAGTATTGGATCTTTTGAACTGTAGTGACAAATACTTGTGAGCTACCGTGTGTGCTAGGATACGAACCCCTGTCCTGGGCAAGAGCTATAGCTCTCAATTGCTGAGTCATCTCTCCAGCCCCCTAAGGTTTTTGTTTTTTGTTTTTTTTTTTTGTTTTTTGTTTTTTGTTTCACCACCAAGACCTGCATGGTAGAATAAAAGAATTCAGGAAAGTTGTCTGCTGACATCTACATAACTCAGATATACATTCACACAATAAAAAAATAAATAAAACAGGTAAGGATGGGAGTAGTAGCTCAATACTAGGTAGAATGAATGTTTAGATAGAATGTATGAGTGTGAGAGGTATGATTCAATTCTCAGTACCAAAAAACAAAACCAAGTTAAACACAAATATGCACTGATATTTTGATTTTATATAAGTTAACTTAATACTTTAGGGTTATTTCAGTAAGCAATCAAGCGACTTATATTGGATCACACAATTAGTGGCAGGCAGAACAGAAGCCTAACTGCAAATTTCCTAATTCAAGGTATTTCTGACCCATATACATAAATATATACATATATTTAAAATGTGTGATGTGTATAACGTGTTCAAAGTGCCATCTGCAGAGGCCAGATGAGGACATTGGATTCCCTGGAACTGAAGTTAAAGTGGTTGTGAACTTCCTAATGCAAGTTTGGGAAACCAAACTCAGGTCCTCTGGAAGAGCAGTTAGCACTTTTAATCATTGAGCTGTCTCTCCAGCCCCCTGATCCATATATTAAACCTGTATAAATGGTATAATGAAACCATGTAAACATCTAAGTTGTTTGAGCTATGTGTGGTGATGTACACCTTTACTTCTAACTTTAAAGAGGCAGACCTAAATGGTGAGTTCCAGGACAGCCAGGACTTAACAGTGAGACCCTGTCTTAAACGGTTTGGTCTGCCAAACAATTATTTTCTCTTTGGGATGCAAGTGTAAATGTTGAGGCCAGAAGATCTTGGCTTTCTTGTAATAAAGACAGGTTCTCATGTATGTCAGACTAGCCTCAAACTCCTAAAGTAAATAAGGCTGGTCTTGAACCCTTGTTTTTGTTTTTTGGGACAGGGTTTCTTTCTCTTTCCTTTCTCCTCCTCCCCTTCTTCCTCCCTCTCTCTCTTCCTTCCATTGGTTTGTTTTTAGACAGGGTTTCTCTGAAGCTTTTAAGGCTGTCTTGGAACTTGCTCAGTAAACCAGGCTGACTTCAAACTCACAGAGATCCTGCCTCTGCTTCCTGAGTGCTGGGATTAAAGAGTGGGCCACCACTGCCTGGCTAAAAAAACCTTTTGAAAACCATAGTTATTAATTCTTTTTTAACTTAAAAATAGTATGTGTATGAATGTTTTGCCTCACATGCATGTGAGGGCAGAAAATGATATCTGGTCACCTGAAACTGGAATTACAGATGGTTGTGCATTGCTGCATGAATGTTAGGAATAGAAGAACCCAGGTTCTCTGCCAGAGCAGTAAATGCTCTTACCTGCTGAACTATTGCTAGGCATGGTAGCTTGCCTTTACTTCCAGCTCCAGCAGACAGATCTCTATGACTTCTCTGATCTACATAGTGAGTTTCAGGCCAGGCATAGTGAAACCCAAATGAAAATCATGGTAGGAAAATTCACCTTTTAATATTATACACTCTATTTCAGTATTGCTAAACTAAAGTAAAAGTGTGAAGAGAAGCATTACTGTGTTGAGGCATTTGAGAAGACATGTTAATCTTTTAGAGGGTAAATTTATCTTGTAGAGATGACCTTTCTAGCTGTATTAGTGATTAGAGACCATGTCACCTGCATGGACTCTGTGACTTCTGTCCTAGATGTTTGAGGTTTATCTACATTTAGTATAGGGAACTTTGATTCCTTCTTTGGTAGTCTTACTTGCTTATATCTATTTAATGAAATGACTCAAATAGAGTCTCAGAGTCTATTTGCTTGAGATATTATTTTACCCTACTGATTTTTTGTTTGTTTTTGAGACAGGGTTCCTATAGACCAGGCTGACCTCATACTCAAAGAGATCGCCTGCCTCTCCCTCCCTACTGATTTTTTTGTTGTTTGTTTTAGGACAGGGATTCTCTCTTTTTCTAAGTTATTTTATGGGTATGGATGTTTTGATTGCCTGTATGTCTGCACCATGGACGTGGCTGGTCCCTTTGAAGGCCAGAAGAGAGTTATTAGATTAGATACCTTAGAAGTAGAGTTACAGACAGCTAAGAACTGACTGCTATGTGTGTCCTGGGAATTGAACATGGGTTCTTTGGAAGAGTGGCTAGTGCTCTTAACCACTGAGATATCTAGTGTGATAATAGGTATTCAATAAGTCAAGTAGCTCTGACATTGTGGCATGTACAGATTATTTTAGCATTCAGGAAGCAGAGGCAAGAGGATGGAAAGTTACAGGCCAGTCTCAAGGAGACATTTTCTCAAACAAAGCAAAACAGAACAACAAAACAGGCTGGAGATTAGTGGTAAAACACTTACTTAGCATGTACATGGCCCTAGATACCAAGCTGAGATAAGGTAAATTCAGTATAGAGCTGATAGAATCAGAGATGCAGGAGAATTAATGTTCTAAATCTAGCTTTTTCTAAACTTTGGTCCTTATTTGGGAAGTAAATCAGTAAAAATACAGATCTGTTTGGTGGATGGATCTTACTTGTGCTGGATACAGATGAAATACTTTGCAGTAAGAATTGTTGATATATGTGTCTAATTATTCTTTATCAATAAAAAATTTGGAGTCAGATACTAGAGCAAGAACCAGTGGAGAATCCACTAGTGTGACCTATCTCTTTCATTCCTCTGTTACTACTTCCTATCTCCTATCTGTCCTCAGTCCTCCAAAACCTCTATGGTTAATTTTGGTCAGCTAGTGCTTAGCTCCACCCCATGACTCAAAGCAAACATTATTGTCAGAGTATGATCAAAATATCACAACAAATTGTCTATTTGGGATTTGGAGGGGGTTATTTTGTTTGAAACAGAATCTCTATGTAACCCCAGATGTCCTGCAACCTGATATATAGACCAGATTAGTCTGATTGCAGAGAGATCTATTCTACCTGCCTCTGCTCCTAAGTGCTGGAACTATAAGTGTGTGCCACCACACCTGGCTCAATATAAATTGTTTTATTCTGCTGCTTAAAAACAAGTATGGTGGTAATTCTCTTCCAGATACCTTAACTAGCTGACCACCACCCCTGTAACTCTCTGTGTCTCTGTCTGTCTCTCTCATAGCCTACATTGCCTTTGAACTCAGTATGTAGACCAGGATGACCTTGAGCTTCTGATTCTCCTGCCTCTACCTCCCAGGTGCTGGGGTCATGTATTCTCTCTGGATACTGTGGCCTTTACATATTGATTACAAAACTGTTATTAATACATTGAAGCTGAATGGTTGCACATTTGTGATCCCAGCTGCTTTGGAGTTTGAGGCAGAGAGAGTGTTAAGTTTGAAGGCAGCGAGGAAAAAGAGGTAAAATGTTAGGGATATATAACATGCTTGCCTGTTATGCTAGATAGAGGGAAGCCACTATGAAGATTATTTAAATTAACTGATACTTGTTTTTCAAATTGCTCATTTGTAAGGGACAGGTTTCTGTAAAGTTGAAAAGTTTAACCAGGATTTGTTGTTTAAAAAATTATATCCTTGCCTGGTGTTAGTGGCACACGCCTTTTACTCCCAGCACTCAGGAGACAAAGGCAGAGGCAGGCAGATCTCTAAGTTCGAGACCAGCCTGGTCTGTCTACAAGAGCTAGTTCCAGGACTGTAAGGAGTATGTTTTTTCGCCAGCCTGAACTCACTACGGCAGCCTCCAAAGCCACAGAGAAACCTTGTCTCCAAAGAGAGACAGAGAGAGAGAGATTCCATCCTAACAGTGAGTCTTCCCAGACTAACAGTGTGTCAGTCATTTGTTGTTTGTGTGTGTGTGTGTGTGTGTGTGTTGGATCCCTATATTAAAGAGGCCATTAGAACACAGTTTAGCTTTCTTACTCTTCCTCTTACATTTGTTTTGTTAAATGGACAATATCAGAAGGTTGTTGGGTCTTAATCATTGCTCAGTGTAAAATTTATGTGAAATACTCGATTATGTAGGTTTTCTCTTTACAGCTTGTTTGCATGAATGAGATGGGAAAGCTAATCAAAGGACAGATCATCTGAGACTTAATAAAATAAATTGGTTTCATAGTCCAACTAAAAATGAAAAGGAAGTTCAGGGGCTTCTTATGCACCTCTTTGTTTCCTTTTGTGGAGACAGGTAGATATCGGGAGCTGAGTACTCTGAGTGGGAGAATTAGGCATGTGTTACCATACTCAGATAGTGCTCTTATGAACTGATCTGCCTCATTAGACTTCTGCTTTGATGTGAAAAATCTCTATACTTTTTAAAGAAAATTTTGATCTGTTGTGTATAGTTGTGCCAAAGCAGAGTGCAACCCAGCTCTGAGTCATAATTGACTCAATAATTTGAGTATAAAGTGCTGAGGATGACTCAGCCAGTGAAGATACTTGCTACCATGCCTCACAAGCTAAATTTGATCCCTGGAACCCTTAATAGAGGGAGAGAACTGACTCCCTCAAGGAATCCTCTGGCCTTCACATAGGTGGGCATCACATGTGCATACCCAACATACACATGATCAATCAGTATAAATAATAATTTAAGTGTAGACTTTGGAGAAAAATTGCTCCATGTATGTTTGTGTAGTACTGACGATTTAACCTGGCTTTTTGCACATTCTAGGCAAAAGTTTTTTAACTAAAAAAATTTTTTTCAATTTTAGGTATATTATAGAATAATTGCTTCATTTTCTTAACTTTGTCTTATAAATCTCACACTGTAATTAAAGAAACAAGTATAGTTTGAAAACATTCTAATGGAGTCATGTCACTGAATATGCTGTAGTATGGAAGCTCTCCTGAGGTGCTAAGAAAAGAAATGTAAAAATAAGTAACGAGTACTTACTTATATGTATGTTCTTGGCAGGTGCTGTTGGCAGCAGCAGTCTGCACGAAAGCAGGAAAGGCTATTGTTTCTCGACAGTTTGTGGAGATGACCCGCACTCGGATTGAGGGTTTACTAGCAGCTTTTCCAAAACTCATGAACACTGGAAAACAACATACTTTTGTTGAAACAGAGAGTGTAAGATATGTCTACCAACCTATGGAGAAACTGTACATGGTATTGATCACTACCAAAAACAGCAATATTTTAGAAGATTTGGAGACTTTAAGGCTCTTCTCAAGAGTGGTAAGAGACCTGTACTACTAGAGTACACTTTGTGGTGTTTTATGTTTTTTTGTTGAAAGTAGTTTTGACTATAAAAGTTGATGCTAACATCAGCTCTTGTCAATGAGCTATACCCCATCCCATACAGCTCTTTATTCATTCATCAGCTACTCTTTGGGTACTTTCTTAGGCTTATACGTATTCCAAAAGAGAATGCAGAATTGTTCTTCATATCCCAGTTTTTTGGGGGTTTTTGTTTTGTGTTGTTTATGTGCATTGGCATGAGAGTGTCAGATCCCCTGGAACTGGAGTTACAGATGGTTGTGAGCTGCTATGTGGGTACGGGGAATTGAACACTTGTCCTCTGGAAGAGCAGCCAATTCTCTTTAACTTCTGGGCCATCTCTCTAGCCCTTTATATCCCAGTTCTTAACTAATTTAATATGTCCACGTTTCTGAAACTTGCTTGGACTCCCATCCTTGTGTGTGTGTATGTGTATCTGTCTGTCTGTAGGTGTATAGGGTCTCAACTGTGTAGCTCTGGTTGGTCTGGACTTTTCTGGGGTAGATCAGGTTAGAGCTCATAGAGAACTGCCTGGCTCCTGTGTGCCAGGATTAAAGGCATGTGCTACCATGTTCAGATTTGGAAATGTGTTTAGATTAAGACTACTGATATAAACAAACACCCTAAAACTTTATGCCAAAGTCTAGTTTGTTTGTTTGTTTATTTATTTACTTATTTATTTTTATGTGTGTGGTGTTTTGCTTGTGTGTATATATATGTATTGTATGTGTGCCCAGGAAGGTTGGAAGAAGGCATCAGGTCCCCGGGAACTAGAGTAGGAGATCTGCCACATGGATACTGGGAATCAAACCTAGGTCTTTGCAAGAGCAGCCAGTACCTTAATCATTGAACCATCTCTGTAGACCCACAAAGTCCTAATTTAAAAGGAAAGGCTGAAGCTAAGAGAGGATTCAAGTTTCTGTTTGTTTTGTTTTTTAAATGATTTATTTTATTTTGTATGCTTTGGTGTTTTGCCTCCATGTGTGTCTGTGTGAGAGTGTTAGATCCCCTGGAACTGGAGTTACAAGCAGATGTGAGTCACCATGTAGGGGCTGGGAATTGAACACAAGTCCTCTGGAAGAGCAGCCAGTGCTCTTAACTGCCGAGCCATCTCTCCAATCCCATTTTTTTGTTTTGTTTTGTTGGATTTTTTTGTTTGTTTGTTTGGTTTTGAGACAGATTGCATGTAGTCTAAACTGGCCTTAACTTGCTATGTCGTGGAAGATCACCTTGAACTTCTGATCCTCCTTTCTCCACCTCTCAAGTGCTAAGATTGTTTTTGAAATTTATGTTTAAAAGATAAGACTTAGAAACATAGCTGCTTTGAAATTCTTATTCTTTGTTTTTTGTTACTGTCCATGATTAGATTCCTGAATATTGCCGTGCTTTAGAAGAAAATGAAATATCTGAGCACTGTTTTGATTTGATTTTTGCTTTTGATGAAATTGTTGCCCTGGGATACCGGGAGAATGTTAACTTGGCACAGATCAGAACCTTCACAGAAATGGATTCTCATGAGGAGAAAGTGTTCAGAGCAGTCAGAGAGGTAAGTGAAACCTTCTGAGACTGCCAGTTTGAGTGTCTTCTTAGCCTTCATTAATCCAGTCTTCCTGGTTTTACTTGCCACACATACAAGTATGTTTCTTTCCATAGACTCAAGAACGTGAAGCTAAAGCTGAGATGCGGCGTAAAGCAAAGGAATTACAACAGGCCCGAAGAGATGCAGAGAGACAGGGCAAAAAAGCACCAGGATTTGGGGGATTTGGTAGTTCTGCAGTATCTGGAGGCAGCACAGCAGCCATGATCACAGAGACTATCATTGAAACTGATAAACCAAAAGTGGCACCTGCACCAGCCAGGTATCATCTAGTGTATTTCCAGCAACCCTTGGATGCAGAGGAAAGCTCTGTGTGTGTTTCGTGGGAGTGATACTTGGTTTCTAAGTTGACTCGAAATAATGAGAGACTTACTGAAGTAATCTGATACCAAATTTGGATACATAGAAGACAGTCATAAAGGAGACATCTGTGTTATTTTTCCTTTTTAAAAGAAAGGTCTATAAATTATGCCATGAATTTTTTCACTTCTTATGACAGTTGTCTTGTGTGGATAAAGAGGGGGTATTTAATAATTTGTAGAATATGGATTTTTCTTTTGGTTTTCCAAGACATAGAGTTTCTCTGTGTAACAGTCCTGGCTGTCCTGGAGCTCATTTTGTAGACTAGACTGGCCTCAAACTTACAAAGATCTTCCCGCCTCTCTCTCCTGATTGCTGGGATTCAAGGCATGCGCCATCACCACCCAGCCTGGATTTTCCTTTTTAAAGACGATTTTATTTGTATGACTTCTTTACCTGCGTGTATATTCATCATATTCTTGCCTGATATCTGAGAGTCCAAAAGAGGGTGACAGATCACCTTGAACTGAAGTTATAGATAGGTGTGAGAAGCCTTATGGGTGCTGGGAACAGACCTCAAGTCCTCTGCAAGAACAGCAGGTGCTCTTGGAATTAGAGTTTAAAAAAAATTATATGTACATATATGCACCATATGGCTGTCTGGTGCCCACACAGGTCAGGAGAGTACATCAGAACCACAGTTAGAGATGATTGTGAACTACCATGTGTATTCTGGGAACCAAATCTGGGACCTCTCTAATAATAATAAGTGCTCTTAACTTCTGAGTCATCTCTCTAGCACCGGAATATGGTTTTCAGTCTTAATGTTTAAGAAGAATCTCTGGGCTGCCTGATATACATGTAAAATTTTTTGTGCATAGTAACAATTAATCTGATTAGAAGATGTTAAGTTTTCATCATATCATTCATGACTATAAAATAATACCTTTGGTATTTGGGTACTTGATGCTTACATATTAGTAACGTCTGTCCATTTGTGCATGTTCATATTATACCATCGGTGTTCTAGTTGTCCACCAACACTAGGAAACAGTCTTTCCTCTTATGGTCTTCATATTCCTTCAGAGAGGAATCTTTGATGGTAGATTAACTGATGTTTGGGGATTTTTGCATTTTTATCATATATTTACTTGTTTTCTATTCTTCCTCTTAGACCTTCAGGCCCCAGCAAGGCTTTGAAACTTGGAGCCAAAGGAAAGGAAGTAGATAACTTTGTGGACAAATTGAAATCTGAAGGTGAAACTATTATGTCTTCTAATATAGGGAAACGTACCTCGGAAGCAACCAAAGTGCATGCTCCGCCCATTAATATGGAAAGGTAATGATGACTTCTTCGAAAACAAGCAATGTAATTTTTAAAAATTGTCTTTTTAGCTAGGTGGTGGTGGCGCATAACTTTAATCCCAGCACTTGGGAGGCAGAGGCAGGTGGATCTCTGGAGTTCCAGAATAGCCAGAGCTGTAACACAGAGGAATCATGTCTCAAGGGGGAAACAATTGTCCTTTTAAATTTTTACTATTGTTTCTTGTTGGGTTTCACTCTGTAGCCCTAGCTGGCCTGGAACTCAGCTGTATAGACCAGACTGGCCTCAAATTCACAACAGATCCTCCTGCTTCCACCTCCCAAGTGCTGGAATTAAAGGTACTCTGTTACTGTGCTTCGCTATTTTTATTGTTTTTAGTTATGATTGTGTCTGTGTGTGGGTTTGTACAGTACAGGTGCCTGAAGAGGCTACAAGTGTTAGATCTCTCTGAAGCTGGAGTTACAGGTGGTTGTGAGCTAACTTGATGTGGGTGCTAGGAATCTCCTCTAGAAGAGCAGTATGAGCTCTTTAAAATTCTACCAATTCTTCTTGCTTGCTTATTTGCGTATTTATTTATTTTGTGCTAGGGATCAAACCCAGAACCTTACATATACTGAGTACACTGTTTGCCACTGGGCTGCATTTAGGCTAGTTGAATATTATTGATTTAAAATTTTTGTTTAGAACATATTCTAGATGTTAACTTAAGGTATTTTTTTTTTCCCCACTTTAAACATGAAAACTCTCAGTCACTTATTTCCTATAAAGTTTAGAACTTGTATTGGCTAATTTAGGAAAGGAAACTTTATGCCTACTGTGTAGCTTGTCTCTTAAAAGCATGGCATGGTGATACATGCCTGTACTCCCAGCATTTGGGATGTGGAGGTTGGAAGATCTGGAGGTCAAGACCAGCCTTAGCTATATGAAAATCTAGCTCAAAAAGAAAAGGAACTTGAATTACAGGGCTAGAACTATATTTAAATTTTATTTATATATTTAGTTAGGTTAGTTAGTTCTTTTGAGACAGGGTTTCTCTATGTAGCTTTGTAGACCAGACTGGCCTCAAACTCACAGAGATCCGCCTGCCTCTGCCTCCCTAGTGCTGGGATTAAAAGCATGTGCCACCACATCCTGGCTTAACCCTATATTTTATGCTATCTTTTTTCTATTTAAAATTATAAAGGAAAGTCAGTCTTTAATATGAAGTTTGTAAAAGTCTTTAAAGTAAATTAACATGTTATCTTATAAGTATTTGAATCCTTATTTGATTTGTCTCTTATCTCAGGCCTGAAACAATAGTTGGTGATGTTTTCTTTTTAAGTGATAGGTTATTCAAGTTCAGATAACCAAGACGCAAATGTCTTGTCCTTAATCCCAGACCTACTGTTACTGATAGTTTTGAGGTCATCTGAAAGATGAGTTTATCAGGTGTTTGTAAAAGGGGACTGTTTACTCTTTTGTGTTCTAGTCTGTTAGAAGTGAACAGTTACCTCTAGACAAATCTCTGAAAGATGAGTTTATCAGGTGTTTGTAAAAGGGGACTGTTTACTCTTTTGTGTTCTGTTCTGTTAGAAGTGAACAGTTACCTCTAGACAAATCTCTTCACCCATTGATGTACTTGTCCTATTTTGGCAGGGACAAGCAAATCTCTGTGAGCTTGAGGCTAGCCTGGTCTACAGAGCAAGTTCTGGGATACCCAGAGCTACACAGAGAGACCCTGTCTGGAACTCCCCCACCCCCAAAAAAAGAATGATCAAGGCAACATTTAAAATAAAGCGTTTAATTAGGAACTTGCTACAGTTTTGGAAGGTTAGTTCATGATCATCATGAAGCTGGGAGCATCATGGCAGGCAGGCAGACATGGTTTTGGAGTGGTTAACTGAGAGCTTATCTCCTGGTCCTCAGACAGCAGGCAGAGAGGAAGAGACTAGGCCTGCTGTGCTTCTGAAACCTCAAAGCCAACCCCAGTGGTGCACCTCCTCCAACAAGGCCTTATCTCCTCCAATTGTTCCTAAACCAATGATTTTCAACCTTTCTAATGCTACAAATTAAATATTTTTGGAGATAGAGATTTGCCAAAAGGGTTGCAACCCACAGGTTAACTACTATGACCTAAAAACTGGGAACCAAACATTCAAATATATACATGTACTGGAGGCCATTCTCAGTCAAGTCACCACAACTAGATATATTTTCCAGTTGCATTTTCCCCTCTAAATTATAAATAATGAGTAACTTACGTATTTGAGGGCTAGGGAAGCTGTTCAGTAGTTCTTGCCTAACACTTGCAAGGCCCTGGCTTCAATTCCTAGACGTATAAAAGAAGAAAACACAAGAATTTACTTACATGAAACTATGTCTAAGTGATATCTAAATGCAGTGCTTTACCCTGGTTAGGATCTTGTACTGTAGCTTGTGATAACAAGATAGTTGACATACTGTTGGTAGGTTGAATGGAAGTATTAATTCAGTATAAATTTATGGAGCTAATGATGGCATTAATACAGTTATATAAGGAACTATCCTTATGCATGCTAGGCAAGCATTTTGATACCAAACTATACCCAGTATAAGAATGTCCTTGTTCTTATAAAGTAAGAATAAAGTGTTTAAAGGTATGGGTTATGGTGTTTGTCTTAGTTAGGATTTCTATTGCTATGAAGAGATACCATGACCACACCAATTCTTATAAAGTAAAACATTGAATTGGGGTAGCTCACAGTTTCAGAGAGTCTTCATTATCAGCATGTCAGGGAATATGATGGCATTTAAGCAGACATGTGCCGTTATAATAGCCGAGAGTCCAACATCTTGAAGGCAACAGTAAATCAAGAGGCACTGGGTTGTATCCTGAGCATAGGAAAACTCAAAGCTCACCTCAACAGTGACACAATTCTTCCAACAAAGCCATATTTTCTAATAGTGTCGCTCCCTATGAAGTTATTGGAGACATCAGTGGTAGGTAGGTGTGTGTGTGTGTGTGTGTGTGTGTGTGTGTGTGTGTGATTTAAAGAGTGAGTATGAAAGTAGAGACAATGAACCAAATGGGATATGATATTAATTAACAATAAGCAAACCTTGGTAAAGCATATATTTTTTTTTAAATTTTATTGTTTTAGAATATCTCATATGTATTTTTTTTGACAATTTAATACATGTATACACAGTATCTTGATCATACCCACCCCAAGGTTCTCCCTCTCACTTCCTAGATGTCCTCCTTTCACATTCATGACCTCTATTTATTTTTCCCCTTTTGTAAGTCATTGAATCCAATTACTGATGCTTGCTAAAATGTTTACTAATCTTGTTGGCTTGATCTTGACCACATAATCATAACTGCAGTGAGTTCATGAGTTCAATAACCATATCATGTCCAGAAGACGGCGTTCTTGAAACTCTTCCCCATTTTATGGCTCTTAACATTGTTGTACTCCTCCTTCTGTGATGTTCCCTGAGCCATGGGGAGGAAGGTATTAATAAAGATGCCCCATTTTATGGCTGAGCCCCATTATTTTCAGCACTTTGAAGAGTTAGGAGTCTCTGCATTGTTGCCAACTGAAGAAAGAGGCTTCTCTGACCAAGATTAGGAGCAACACCTATCTGCGTATAAACATCAATAGTTAGGAAGTAGTATGATAATATGTCCATTTAGCAAAACAACAGTAGTAGATTTTCCACTAGGGTCTATGACCTACCAAACCTTGGACTTTGACCATGTATATAGTATCAGGCATGAATTCCTTCTTGTGAAGTATAAGCCTCATATTAAACCAGAAAGCAGTTGGTTACCCCCATAACCTACATGCCATTGTTGTACCATTGGGCATAACTTGCCTGGCAGATCAGTATTATAATGTTTTTAAGTTTGCTTACCAAGTAATGGATCACTATAACTTTTATTTATTTATTTATTTGAGACAAGGTTTTTCTCCGTGTAACAGTCCTGAACAATGTTTAGAAGTTAACTCTCTCTTCCCACTATAGGTTCCAAAAATTGAACTCAGGTCACTAAGCTCTATGCTTTAATCCACTGAGCCATCTTGTTGGCTCCAAAAGCTTTAATTTGAGGCAAATCACTATTAAAGTCCAGAGTAACATTGAGTTCTGGTTTCTTTTTAAATTTTATTTTTAATCTTTTAAAATCATGTATAAATTTGTATTTGGGGAGGGTGGTAACGTGCACATGAGTGCAGGTACATAAGGATTCCAGAAGAGAGCATTGGATCTCCTGGAGCTAGAGTTACAGGTGATTGTAAGCTGCATTGTTTGGGGTACTAGGAACCAAACTTTGGGTCTTCTGTATGAGTACTGTGTTCTTAAGAGCTGAGCCATCTCAACAACCCCTTCTCTTTCTTTATAAGACCCCATCTTGTAGTTCAGATTAACCTTGAACTCATTATGAGCCAAGGGTGGCCTGAACCATTCTCCTCCCAGTCATACCTCTCCAGTGCACCAAAGTAGTACCACCACAGCTGGTTTCATATGGAGCTGGGGATCAAGCCCAGTGCTCTTGGCATGCTAGACAACCACTACCAACTTAATTACATCTCCAGCCTGTTTCTACTTTCCTGACAAAACCTTTGTTTTATAGTGTGCATATGAAGATTGAAGAAAAGATCACATTAACCTGTGGGAGAGATGGAGGATTACAGAATATGGAGTTGCATGGCATGATCATGCTTAGAATCTCAGATGACAAATTTGGCCGGATTCGTCTTCATGTAGAAAATGAAGATAAGAAAGGGGTGCAGCTACAGGTATGTAGAGGCTTTTTATATTGAGTACTTAGACACTGTCTACCTAGCATATTCTTTTTTCTGGGTTTATTTGTTTGTTTTTGCAGTACTTGTAAATGGAACGTAGATTCTTACTCAAGCAGCTTTATACTCAACTATATAGCCTTGACTTTCACTTTTGCTTTTGTTTGTTTGAGATGGCATATTATTGTGTAGCTCTGGTCTAAAATCTTAAGTCTTTATAGAATGTACATCTTTCCACAAAACTAAAAAGAATTTATTAGGAATCCTATTTGTGGGCTATATAAGCCCAGACAGGTCTATGTAACAGTATGACCTTGAATTTCTAATCTTCTGATCCTCCTACCTCCGACTTCAGAGTGCTAGGATTACAGGCAATTACTTTGTTAGGCATGTTAGGCAAGTACTTTGCTAACTGGACTACATCGTCAATCTCCTATTTCTTTTTTCAATTTTATTTTTAGCCCATTTATTTATTTACTCTGTGTGTGTCTGTGTGTGTGCACACTTGTGTATATGTCTGTGAGGGCATGCATGTGTCTTGTTAAGTGTGTAGAGGTCAGAGGATAACTTTCAAGAGTGTTGGTTTTCTCCTCCTGTGGGACTGAACTCAGGTCATTGGGCTTAGCAGCAAGTACCTGCTCAGTCATTTTGCTGGCCTGGTTCACTTGTCATTCTGAATTTCAGATTTCCTTCTCTTATTCCAGACCCATCCAAATGTGGATAAGAAGCTTTTCACTGCAGAGTCTCTCATTGGCTTGAAAAACCCAGAGAAGTCATTTCCAGTCAACAGTGATGTAGGGGTACTAAAGTGGAGACTACAGACAACAGAAGAATCTTTTATTCCCTTGACAAGTAGGTGCTTCTGATGGGTATGCTCGTATTTTTATTGCCATAACAATGTGACTGTCTTCGAAATGGAATTGCTGCTGTATTTGGAATAGTTTAATTAATCATGTTTTTCATTGTTTTTGTTTTGGTTTTTTTTGTTTTGGTTTTTCGATACAGGGTTTCTCTGTGCCTTTGGAGGCTGTCCTGGAAATAGCTCTTGTAGACTAGGCTGGTCTCAAACTCAGAGATCCACCTGCCTCTGCCTCCCAAGTGCTGGGAGTAAAGGCATGCGCCACACACTTCCCAACTAATCATGTTAATTTTTTAAAGGTTTATGTCTATGTGTGTCTGTGTGAATGTATGCACCTATGAATAAGTGCCTGTGAAGGCCAGAAGAGGTCATCAGATCACCTGGAACTGGAATTACAGCCGGTTTTATGCCATCGTTGTATATTTTACATTAATATGCTATAGGCCTACATTTGCCAGTCAGCTTGCATTTGCCATCTTAATATTTTTACACTCTTCTATACTCTTGTTTTTCTTCTCAGTTAATTGCTGGCCTTCTGAAAGTGGAAATGGTTGTGATGTCAACATAGAATATGAACTACAGGAAGACAATTTAGAGCTCAATGATGTGGTCATCACCATCCCACTCCCGTAAGTGAAATTCTAATAATCCTCTTTCCTTCATGGGTTTATAGAACTACTTCCTGGGATCTGGGGAAATGTTTATTTTTTTTTTCCTGCTGTGGTAATTCCAATTAAACCTAGAGGCTTAAACACAGCAAGAGCTCTACCACCGAGGTACATTGCTAGTCCTTTTTTACTTTTTTTTTTTTTTTTTTTTTTTTTAGTTTGAAAAATAAAACCTTTTTTACTTTTTGAGATAGGATTTCACTTAATTGCCCAGACTGGCCTTGAACTTGTATTCTCCTGTCTTAGTCTCATGAGTAGCTGGGATTATAGGCCTGAGATACTAGACATGGCTGATACTTGCTTCTTTAGAAAAACAGTTGTGCTGGACATGGTGGCACACGCCTTTAACCCCAGCATTTGGGAGGCAGGGGCAGGCAGATCTCTGAGTTCAAGGCTATCCTGGTCTACAGATCAAGTGCCAGGACAGGTTCAAAGCTATACAGAGAAACCCTGTCTCAAAAATAAATAAATAGCTGTATTACCAGTGTTCCTATTACTAGGATTAACCAACACACCTGTAGTTTCAGTCCTTGAGAGGCAGAGACAGGAGAGTTATGATTTCAAGGATAGCCTAGGCTCTACAAAAAGCCCCTGTTTTGAAAAAAGTTAAATAGGCTGACCAACTTCACAAGTCGATTGTTCCTCCAGAACAATAAATAGCTACCTTGGAGAGTGGTAGGACCTGGGGCACTGTTGATAGGTGAACTCTGTTGAGATTTATTTTACTAAACTATTTTAGGATGCCACACTTTTTAGGCCTCTCTGCCTGCTCTATAATTGTGGCTTTGGTGGTTTCCTGTGTCTTTGTTCAGTTTTTCGGTGGCCTGGAGAAGAGATCTTTGGAGAATGTTTTACCCCAGTATCTAGAGCTGATCAGATTAGAAGTCACAATTGGAATTGGAGAAGAGAAGGAACGAGCACTGTACAATTGATGGGAAAGAGTTAAAATATTTTGCAACCCTTAAAGTAATCTTTGTTTTCCTTACTTGCCCTGCCCCTAATATAAGTACCAAGTGTCACTGGTGAATTAAAAGAGGGTAAATTTAGAATGTGTAGGAGTAGGTGACACTGCCTGTCAGCCATTTGTGGGAGTACAAAGTACATCCTCACTAGCCCTGATTCTTCTGTGACCAAAAACAACTGTGTGTCTCTCTTTCCAGGCTATTTCTATTTTGGCCAGACTTTGTTGTTATGCTTTCACTTCTCATTTACCAACTGAATTCACTAGATTATAAATCAGATAAATTTACTAGCATTGACTTCAGTAAAGTTTGAAACATTCTGAATTCTTTTGAAAACAAATCTTCTCAAAGATCCATTTTCACCTCTGTTAGTGGTATGTAAAGTCTCCCCCTACTGTCAACCTGCTTTACTTTTCATTTTGTACATTATTTAAAAAGTCCTTAACAGGCTGGGCAGTGGTGGTGCATGCCTTTAGTCCTAGCACTTGGGAGGCAGAGGCAAGCAGTCTCTGTGAGTTCAAGGCCAGCCTTGTCTACAGAGTGAGTTCCAAGACAGGCTCCAAAGCTACACAGAGAAACCCGATCTTAAAAAACAAAACAACAACAACAAAAGAAAAAAACATCCTTAACAGGCTAGCAAACCATAAAGGGATTTTTTTTTTTTTTAAAGATTTATTTATTTATTATGTATGCAGCATTCTGCATGCCTGCAGGCCAGGAGAGGGCACCAAATCTCATTATGTATGATTGTGAGCCACCATGTGGTTGCCAGGAATTGAACTCAGGTCCTCTAGAAGAGTGGCCAGTGCTCTTAACTGCTGAGCCATCTCTCCAGATCCCATAAAGTAATTTTTACATTAAAACATTTTTAGATATTTGCAGTCTCAGTTACCTGCTAGCTCCCAGGCCTAGTTAGTCCTCAGAACTGTGTCCTAAATACCCATTGTTCTACAAAGGAAGTTAAGTGATCTCCTTAGCCAAGGTATTAGGGCTTTGATCATTAAAGTTACTAGCAGCATAATTTTTAGAAAAATTGAGGCAAATTTTAAGATATGTAATCTTCGGGGTGTTTGCTTGTTTGTTTGTCTAAGACAGGTTTTCTTTGTCTGGCCTTGGCTATTCTTAGAACTAACTGTGTCTATAGACCAAGCTGGCCTTGAATTCAAATCCGCCTGCCTTTGCCTTCCAGTGCTGGGATTAAAGGGGTGCTCCACCACTGCCCAGCTGTGAACAAATTTGGGGTTCTATTTCCTTTCCTTGTTGGAATTCTCTGAGCTCTACATAACTACAATGACCAGATGTTTCTCCTGACAGATCGGGTGTTGGTGCACCAGTGATTGGTGAGATTGATGGGGAATATCGACACGACAGTCGGCGAAATACCTTGGAGTGGTGCCTGCCAGTGATCGATGCCAAAAATAAGAGTGGCAGCCTGGAATTTAGCATTCCTGGGCAGCCCAATGACTTCTTCCCTGTTCAAGTTTCCTTCATCTCCAAAAAGAATTACTGCAACATACAGGTACTCTGTTCCAACAGAAGACAGATGTGGGGAAAGAGGGGCAAGTGTAATAGGTAGCATACTTTCACATCAAGGCAAACATCAAAGGGGCTGGAGAGATGGCTCAGCAGTAAAAAACACTGAATGCTCTTCCAGAGGACCAGGTTAGATAATGCCACAGCTGTGAGTGTGAGTGGGTGGGTTTTTTTTTTGTTGTTGTTGTTGTTGTTTGTTTGTTTGTTTGTTTGTATTTCTAAGTTACTTTAGCTGCTTTTAGAGAATTGGATGTAATCTTGTAGGCTCACCGTCCTTTTTCCTTACCACACTCCTTTTGTTTTCCTAGGTTACCAAAGTGACCCAAGTAGATGGAAACAGCCCCGTCAGGTTTTCCACAGAGACCACTTTCTTAGTGGACAAATATGAAATCCTGTAATACCAAGAAGGGAGGAAAGCAGAAAAAGAAGGATTTCAGATTAATAAAGAAGAAGCCAAAAGTGGCTGAAGAGTTTTTTCAAATTTACAAGCCATTGGAGACCCCTTTTTCCTGATACAGTGTACATCCTCTGCGCGCAAGGACCCTCAACTCATCCCCAGCATTCTGGTGTCACAAAGACATTCTTTGACAAAGAAATGACACTAACATAAAGGGAAAGGCTGCTGATTTCTTTGGCAGATTTTACTGGCCAGCAGGAAAGCATGCTCTCCAGGGAATGTCCCTAAACACCTCTTCTGCCTTCATATAAGTTTCCTCTTTATTTTAATCCCTAAATATAGTTATATTTCATACTTCGTTTTAAAACATTTTCTCTATAGATTTGAATCTTTCATACCTCTCAATATTTTTTTCAGTATACTCAGTCATGCACTGGGATCATCTCTTTGTAGATATTGTGTTTGCCACTCCTAGAACAAGGTTATCTAACCCATTCTTGACTTTAGACAGTACCAGTGAACTGCTTAAGGGATGTAGAGTCTAGAAGTTTGAAATACAATGTTGTCTTATTTTCTCTCCTGTGTCCATCCATTGTTCCATTTCTTTGCCAAGTGGTCCCCTTATAAGACCTGCCTTTCCAGTTGCAAGCAGTACTGTGAATCCCACTCGTGTCAATTATTAAAGGTAGCTGAAAAGCAGCTCTCCGATGAACATACCTTTTCAAGATGCCTAATAAGATGGCTACATTCATTTCCACATGGAATCATGTCTGCTGCTAGTACTACACAACTTCCATTCACCACGTGGGGCAGCACTGTATTACTGCATAGTCATTCATAGTGTCATAGTCCACTTAGATTCCTCATGTTCATCTACCCCCTTCTTCCAGATGTTCTTCCCTTTGTCAGTCTTCTTTCCAGCAGAAGTGAGTGAGGCTACTAAGTCTGTGCCATTTCCCATTAGCCCTGAACCATCGAGGAGACCCCATCTTCACCATTAGAGTGGTAGCATTTTGAGAGGCAAGTGATTATATTGATATGTAGAGAGGGGTTACTCAGATATAACCCATTTCCTTTCATCTAATCAGACATTTTTTGACCTACCTATCTGTCCCTATTTCTGAAATCCTTTTTTCCTCCTCTCAGCCTTTTTTGTGTCATCATGTAGTAATTGTTTTTCAGCTGCATTTGCTCTATTGCCTTTTTAATGGAGGCTGAATCACCCAGTCCCACTAAGCATTGCACTGGGTGGGTGGATGATGATTGCTGTAAGGCTATGGGAAGCAGAAAATGACAGTAGATGACCTCCACACTCTCAGGTGGCTGGAGAGCAGGGCTCTCATTCTGAACAGCTGGCCCTCCATGGCAAGAGTATGCTATCCATGAAGTAGAGTAGTCACACAAAAAGTGGCTGTGGCTAGATGGCTTGCCAAAGAAAGTTCTGGCCTTTCCCTTTCCCCTAAACTGCATCAGGGAAGAATCCTTATCTCCAGCTTGGTTTTTATGTGAGGTTTTCTGAGAAAGGGGACTGGGATAAGAAGTCTGTCATGTAGTTAAGTAGACAAGAAATCTTATTAATCCAGTTGTATTTCAGAGTTGTTTGTCCCTATGATTTTTAAAGTCAAGTTTAATTTCACAAAGACTTTTTTCTGAAATTACTTTTGGGGTAATATTTAAAATGAGAGACATTTTGTAACCCTGTAAAATACATAGGGAATATAACATTCCAATGTACACAACGAAGGCAAATTCTTTAATCAAATAAAAGAGTATTATAAAAGGAGACGCTTACTGGACTCTTTGATGTCTGCTTGTTGATTCATGATACTGTAATAGGATCTAAGATTAAAGATTAATGATATGTTTTTTTTAAAAGAAAATAACCTATCCAAGTGTATTCGTTTCCTTGTCTCTTTTTCCAGGTAGATATTGTGCCTCTCTAATGTTATGTGTATTTAAGCACACACACTCTCACTCTTGACAGCATGATTTCTGAGTAGGATTAAATAAAGCTTCTTAGAGCTTTCACCAGCTCCAGAGCCGTCACTTTGTCAGGAGCAGTTTAGAGTCAGACAAATTACACAATCTCTCACTCTGTCCCTCCTCCCAACTCTCCTGGTTTTCCTATACAGGGTTTCTTTGTGTTAGCTTTTGAACTGTTCAGAACCAGCTCTGTAGACCAGGCTGACTTTAAACTCACAGATACCACTTGCCTCTGCTTTCTGAGTGCTGGGACTAAAGGCATGCATCACTACTGCCCAGATTTGTTCATTAGTTTTTCACCACAGGATCTCTGTATAGTCCTGGCTCTCCTGGAACTCCCTCTGTAGACCAGGCTGGCCTCAAAGCTCAGAGATCTGTCTGCCTCTGCCTCCCAAGTGCTGAGATTGAAAGTGTGGGCCATGAGACCCAGCTAATTGAAGAGTTTTTTTAAACATTCTGCAGTACACTGGAGCCTGCCCCTTGCCAAACAGTGGTGAGCAGATAAACCAGGAAGATATGGGGGTGTTTTAGAAACTGGTTATTCCCTCTGGGACTGCATGGTATCTGCACTTAGCAGTTCTTTCCTGTTGGTGTGTTCAAAAGACAGTGCAATAGAAGGAATTCACTATCTTGCATCATTGGTTTCTTTGCTTTGTACATGTTAAGCCTGGTAATTTTTTAAATTTTATTTATTACTTAATGCGCCTTGGAATTTTGCCTGCTCATATGTGTAAAGGTATTGGATCCCCTGGAACTGGAATTTACAGACAGTTGTGAGCTGCCATGTGGGTGCTGGGAATTGAACCTGTGTTCTCTGGAAGAGCAGCTAGTGCTCTTAGCCACTGAGCCATCTCTCCAGTCCCAAGCCTGTTATTTTTAATAATAGTTATTTTAATTTTTTGAGTAGAAATTGATTATTTCCTCAAAAGGCTTTCTTAGTAAACATGGTGATGCATACCTTTAATCTTAGCACTTGGGAGGCAGAAGCAGGAGGAACTCTATGCCGTTGAGGTCAGCCTGCTCTACATGAGTTTCAGGCTGGCCAAGACAACATAGTGAGACCTTTCCTCAAATAAATAACTTTTTTATTTGGAAAAATCCATTGAATGTGAACAAATCATTTGGGAGACAGATTCTTTTCCCTTATAAATAGTTAAGTGTCAGGAATGACAAAATTTTTGTGATGAAGGCTTAAGATTTTTTTCCTTTGATTTTACTTAGGTGGGGATAGGGCACATTTGTGCCACAGTACGTGTGTGGAGACCAGAAGACAACTTTAAAATCAGTTCCAAGCATTAAACTCATGTCCCCAAACTTAGTAACAGACACCTTTATCCACTGAGCTGTCACCAGATCTCAATTTGTATTTGCTTTTTTTGAGACAGTGTCTCACACTGTAGCCCAAGCTAACCTGGAACTCCTGTTCTTTCTGCCTCTATTTCCTATCGCATCAACTTACCCAGACCTAAATAGCTTTTTTATTTGGGGGTGGGGGTGTCAAGACAGAGTTTCTCTGTGTAACAGAACCCTGGCACTTGCTATGTAGACCAGGCTGGCCTAGAACTCACAAAAATCTGCCTGCCTCTGCCTTCCAAGTACTGGAATTAAAGATATGCATCACTAAGCCCAGCGAAATAGCTTTTTATTAAATTTTAAGTCTAGGGGCTGGAATGATGACTCAGTGGTTAAGAGCATTTAGTGCTCTTGTAGAGGATCTAGGTTTAGCGCCCAGAACTCATATTGTGGCTCATTGTACCAGGCTTTTTCTTTTGGGCCACCAACCAGCTTCCAAATTATGACAGAAGCTTATTAGTTTTGAATGCCAGACCTAGTTTAGACACATTTCTAGCTAGCTCTTTTAAGTTAACCTATTTCTCTTTACCTTTTGCCTCGGGGCTTTTTATGGTGTTTTTTGTTTTGTTTGTTTGTTTGTTTTTTTGTTTTTTTTTTTTTTGTTTTGTTTTCCTGTGTACCTTACATTCACTGCTTCTTGTGTCTGGCTAGCATGCTCGAGCTATCCCAGTCAGCTTTTTATTAGACCAATCAGGTGCCTTAGGCAGGCAAGGTGAAACAAATACAACACATCTTTACATAATTAAACAAATGCAGTATAAATAAATGTAACATGCCTTACACAGTTAAAGTAATACTCTGCAGCAAAAGCAAATGTAACACATCTTTGCCCAGTTAAAATAATATTCCACAACAGCTCACAACCACAATTCTAGTTCCAGGGAATCTAGTGCCTTCTTCTGCCCCCCCCCCTCCCGTGGGACCAGTGCATACCTTTAATCCCAGTACTTGGTACTTGGGAGGCGGAGGTAGGTAGATGTCTGTGAGTTCCAGGCCAGCCAAGATTACATAGTGGGACTATCTTTTAAGAGAGAGGGGGGCTGGAGAGATGGCCCAGTGGTTAAGAGTACTGGCTACACTTCAAGAGGTCCTGAATTCAACTCCCAGCAACCATATGGTGGCTCATGACCATCTGCAATGAGATCTGGTGCCATCTTCTGGCCTGCAGGCAGACATGGAGGCAGAACACTATACACATAATAAGTAAATAAATAAACAATAAGTAATGCAAGCAAACAAAGCCTGGCAGTGGTGGCACATACATTTAATCCTAGCATTTGGAAGGCAGAGGCAGGTGGATCTCTGTGAGTTCCAGGCCAGCCTGGTCTACAGCCAGGATTTACACAGAGAAACCCTGTCCCCCCACCCACCCCCCAAAAAAAAAAAAAAAAAAAAAAAAACAAAAAAACAAGAGAACCTTGAGGTAATGGTAATATTTTAGAACCAAATAAACCATTTAATGAGAGAGAGAGAGAGAGAGAGGAAAGACTAATGTAGGTTTTCTTTCATTGTAAGCTCAGAAACAAAGCCTCAGCAGTGACTCCCTCACTGTACACGTTTCCTCACAACCATGCCCCTCCATTCCTGTCTTTGCACCCTTTTGTAAACATACTTGCATTTCTAGAGCTTCTTCAACATAATAGGAAGACAATCCACAAATCATTGGTGGCTGTGAAGGCTGTTATCCAAGGATAGGTAGAATCCCTAATGTATGTCTCATTTTGTACCCGGGAATTTGTGATGCACACAAAGTAAACCTGTACAAAAGCCAGACACCTTACCCAGCTAAACTTTTCCTGCTCACAAACAGAAGTCAAGCTACTTCGAAGTTTTAGAAGCATCCTGCCCCCTGCTAAAAAGGGAAAGTCTATTACCTTGCTACCCACTGGGCAGGGACTAAGTGATTATATGATTGAGAAAGCTATGTGACCCAACAAAACCATAAACTTACTAGAAATATGAATGTTTTGGCGTTTTGTTGGGCTTTGAAAGTTTATTTTAATAGTTTCAATAATGTGTATGTGTTTATATGCCTGTGTGTGGGTAGGTGCACATGAATAAAAGTGCTAGCAGAAGACAGAGGCATCAGACTTCCTTGGCATTAGGGTTACAGGGGGGTTGTAAGTCACTTGATTTGGGTGCTGGGAACTGAGTTCAGATCCCACAGAGCAGTTACTTAATGGAGCCATCTTTCCAGTTCCATCTTTGTTTTTTAAATGATTTTTATTGTCTTATACTGCTTTAATTTTTAAAAAATATTTCTGGAGAGAGAGAGCTCAGAGGTTAAGAGCACTGGCTGCTCTTCCAGAGGTCCTGAGTTCAATGAAATCTGATGCCCTCTTCTGGTGTACAGGCAAATATGCACATAGAACACTGTATACATAATAAATAAATACTAAATCATTATTTTATGTGTATGAGGGTTTAACCTAAATGTATGGTACCATGTTCATGCCTGTTAACAACGAACCAGAAGACGGCATTGTATTCTCAGATACTAGAGTTACAGACAGTTGTGAACCACCACGTAGGTGCTGGGATTCAAACCCAGGTCCTTTAGAAGAACAGCCAGCGGTCTTAACAACTGAGCCATCTCTCCAATGTCCCCACATATACCCTTCAACTCAATTACATGGATCTTGAGTGTGAGCTTTACAGATGACAAGTTGTATTATAATGTCAAATAGCTGGAAACACCTCATAGTCCCTAAATGTCCTAATCCAATTCTGGGAAGCACCTGGATGTCCTCCATTTGATCAGGTTGATTAACAGACCAAAACAGGAACTGTTTGAAAGAGTGGTCCTGCAAATTCAAGGCAATGAGAGAAATAGAACTGATTTTACTTCCCAAATAAGTGTGCATTTGGTACTGGGGACGGAACGCAAGACTCACATACCAAACAACATGCACTCTGTACCGGGGCTGCACACTCCAGTGCTGAGTGTGTGTACTCTTGTGTTCATAGGCAGAGCCGGAGCCCCACAGGTGGACAAGACCAGTTTTCAGTCCTGGCCAAATTTACCACACAGTTTGATTGCATACAAGGGTGGGTTGTGCAAATTCTCTAAGATCAGCTGATAAAAAAAGAGCTGCTTTGCTATGGTTAAGGTAAAGTTTGGGCAAGTTTTCCACCAAGTTGGATGCAGTGAAGAGGTATTTGGCATCATCACTGCTGCCACACTTCATCAATGATGTGCAGGACCCAAAAAGGTCACTGAGGTGTGTTTGACAAAACTTTTCCTGGGAAGACACAACATACATGTCTACTCACCCCAGAAAGGGAACTCATGACAGACCAAAGTATAGATACCACCAAAGTTCAACTTGGTGAACTAATGAGTTTGATTGGGGCTACTTATAGGAGCAAAAGTGACTCAAAGACAGCTACATCACAAGACAACCCCAGCACACAGACAGCTTACAAGAGCTGGGAACCTGGCACACAAACATTGCACAGCCTGCAGGCTACTCAACAGTTTGGAGAATGTCCTTTCCAAGTGATTCAGTTGACCTAAACCTTTTCCATGCAGCCAGTCTGGTCTCCAGAGTCTTCTCTGCAGTTCAGCTTGTCCAAGGACTCTCCGCCTTCATTGCCTACGGAGGCCTACAGAATCTTGTCAGTTTCAGGGACTTCCTGAAGCTGTTTTGAGTTGTTTACCTTTCTGCTTAAAGAACTTCCCAGCTGGAAAGAAAGTTTCAGTCTTGAGGAAACTGTTAACAGGGATAGCTTCCTGGGAGAGGGAGTTGACAGCAGAGGCTGCTGGCCAAATGAGTGACATCCACCCTCTTCTGGAGCCCAGAGGGAGCACAATTTGAGAAGAGGAACAAAATGGGACATGTGCCAGGATAAAGACAGGAGGGGTGTGGAAATCCACTCCTGACAGTCACAGGCAAGTGCAGAAGGCTTTGAAGAATTCACCCCCTTCCGTCCACGCCCAGCCTTTGCCCTCTCCCCCTGCTTCCATTTCGGAAAGTCTGAAGCATGCTTGGAAAGCTGTTTGCTACTTTCTTCTCTTCCTCCCCCTTTTCCGAGCTCCCAGCTGCTCGACCTCTTGCATAACTGTGAGAGGGAGCACTGAGCTTTTTGATGGGCTCCAGATGTGCAGTGGGATGAGCATGGAGGGGTGGGGGCGGGAGGTCTTTAGTCCCCTGAGTGCTGTTACTGTGGGAACATAGAGGCTGGACACAGCAGGAGATAGTACAAATTTCACAGCCTTGACCATAGGGTCAGCTGGTCCCTGCACTGCCAGGACACTGCGAAAAGTTAGGTGTTTTTTAAACCCCCTGCCTCAGCATTATCTGCCTTCGGCAGGTTTAATTATTGCTTGACAGTCCTCCTGCAATGTCAGTAAACAGTGACCAGAGGTTAGGAAAAAGAATGAAGAGTCCGATACACCCCAGGATGAGCCCCCTCTCCAAATGCTAGGTCTTCTCATATGGAATAAGATAATTTTGTTTTGTTTTCTTTTTGCTCAAAAACACTGCAACAGCCTGGAAGTTACTGTGGTGATGTGCCTCAAGAAGGTTAGCTGGAGTCGACATTGTTCCACGAGTCTCTAATATGAAGAGAGAAAGAATCTTGGGGCTTCTTGGTGCCCACAGTCTATGTCTCACCTCTGTTAGCTGGAGTAGTGGCAGGTGGGATTCTCTCCTCCTCCCTCTTGTCCATTGCTTGGCTGTCTCTCTTTCAGTTGCCCACTGTGCCTCCCCCCTCTCCCGCCAGCCATGCTCGTCCTGTCAATGAATGACCAGATTCCTGCAGTTCAGCCTCCTGCCATTCCTGGGTAAGGGAGAGAGAGCACAATGCAAAGCCACTGGATCAGAACAGGGCTTGTCTATTCCAAACAGAACTTTTAAAATGTTTCTCCAACCCATCCCATCTGGAATCTAGGCCAGACTTGGGGGCTTCCTGCCCCTTCCTTCACTGAGGAAGAGTGTCTGCCAGTCCTTTAGTGCAGGTTAAAAAGGCCCAGTCTAGTTGAGTTCAGCTCCCACAGGGCCGGCCTCCCAGCGGTCTCCTGGGAGGAGAGCAGGCTTTGCAAGGTAAGGCTCCAGTGTCAGCTTGGATTTCGTGGTGGGGGTTGAATTGGCCAATGACTTCAGCGGTTTGTAGACCGCTGCTCCCCTCGTTTCTTTCTCAATGGTCCCCACTCCTCAGCCAACTTGGTCTGGTGTCTTTCTACCCTGCCTCCAGCAGTCTATAACCCAGGCGGTCTGTGATGGAGGGGAATCTATGGGGGCAAGAGGACCACTCCATTCAGCTTTCTGAGGCCCTGTAGTTTGTGCCACATTTTAACATGCCTTTCTGATAATTTCTGAAGCCTGGTGTGAAATTATTAATTCTACTTACAAGTCTCTATGATGGGGCTCGGAATAGGAAGGGGAGGGTCTGACAGGGGAAAGACCTGGGTGCCCTAAATAGAAGTTCTGAGAGAAACGTCGAGATTCTGTGGTAGGACTATCTACGGTAGGGCTCATTGGAAGTCAGTGGAAGATTCAAGCATCTTGGGTAGGAGTGGATAATAAAGAGCCTCGAGGCCCAGAGTGGAGGGTGGTCTAGGAGGGTCGGAAGGGGAAGGCAGGGGAAGAGGGTGTGTACGGTGGTGGCTGCGGTGGTGGAGGAAAACCCAGCTGTACAGATGAACAAAGCGGGCGCTGTGCAGGCGGGGGAGGTGCTGCTGTGGGAAAGGCTGGGTGGGGGCCTTGGGCTCCAGCCCCACAAGGGCGTCTTCTCTAGCTGGCCAGGCGGACAGGACGGGATGGGGGCGGGGACTCAAGGGAGGGGGGCGGGACAGGCTCCCTCTCCTCCTACTCAGCTGGCTCCTGTGGAAAAGCAACAGTGTCCTCGTCAGCCGGAGGCCGCTGCGGCCCAGCCGGGAAAAGGCACCGGTGTCCCCCCGAGGCTCCCCACAAGGTAAGCGCGCCCCTCCCAATACGCCTGGGGGTTCCATTCGCCGTATATAGCTGGCTCTGCATAAGGGTAAGTCCCGGGACCAGACGAGATCAGTTCTGGCCCAGAGAGCTGGGTAGGAAGGTTAAAGAGGGGCCAAGCCAGGTGAGTGCGTCGGCGGAAGGGGCTTTGTGGGCCGCTCTCCGAGAACGACTTGCTTTTGCCCTCCAGAGTCGTTGCCAGCGCCACCGCCAGAGGGGGCCCTGGTACCCTGCGGAGGGACCCCCGAGCCTTTCGGGATCTCGAGTCTCCTGGGGGCACCCCGACGACTAGCGTCCTACACTCGCAGTCTCGGGTGGGGTACGCGCGAGTGTACTTGCCTACAGCATCCCACATGGCCTTTCTCCACAACCGAAGGACCGTAGGAAGGGGCATCCCCTGGGCGTTTCTACTCTTGTCCTGTCCCAGGGCCAGCTTCCTGGATGGACTCAAAGACGTGGAGTCCCCCTCTGCGGCGTGGGAGTCAGGGAGGGACCCTGGGGTTTCCACAACTAGGGTCTCCTGGGCACGCCTCCAGGACCCCCTTGTCTTTGAGGGTCCCGGGAGGCTCCAAGGGCGACCCGGGATGACTGAGCCACAGGCTCTCGCTCCGCCTCCGCGATCTGGATCCAAGTGCGGCGTGGAGTTCCCCCACAGAGGCCGAGCCCCGTCATCCGGCTCCCCCGGGACGGGGAAGCGCGGGCAGGCGGCTGGGTGGGGCCTCCGGGCGCGGGGTTGCCCAGGCGCCGCGGACGCTTCCGCCCAGGCCAGCTCAGCGGGGACTTGGCTGAAGACCGCGCGGTGCGGCGGGGGACCCAGGGAACCCAGGGTGGGGCAGCATTCTGGGCCCGTTAGCTCAGCGGTCCCGGAGGCTCAGGGGGGACTGACTCATCGCGCTTCGGGCTCACCCCACAGCGATCACACAAACAAGACTGGCCACCAACTCGAGCATCTTCACAGCTCCCACGCACAGCATCCCATGTCTCACCTCCGTGCACCCGCAGCCCAGTGTCACACCAACCACCAGTGCTCATGTGAATCCCTCACATGAACCTCGACTTCACCACACCCTCGCTCGCTCGGTACACTTTACACCACGCACTCCACGCGCGGGAAAGCTTTGCCTGGGCAGGCGGCTCCACTCACACGCAGCCTCCCTGCACATACCAGCCCGCTTCGTGCAGCTGCGAGGCCGCCCCCTTTCCCTGCCGTGCAAACAAGCGACTTCTTCTCCCCTGCCCTGCTGAAGAAAGGCGGCTTGTCCCAGGACCGGGAGGGCGGGCCAGCTGCAGCAGGCGGCCCAACACTGCAGCCTTGTCCCACTCGGTGGCCCGGGGGGGGGGGGGGGGGGGAGCAAGCCTCTAGTGTGCGGAGATCCACGAAGCCTGCGGAGAAGTGCACCTTCTCAGCATCTCTCCCCAGTACCCCCAACCCCAACTACTCTTTCTTCCTAGCTGTCTTCTCTGCCCCCCCCCCCCCCCCGGTTGTCCAGGTCTCTTCTCTCCTGCCTTTGGCCTTTGGGGCCCCTCCGCCCCACTATTTCCCCCTCCAAGATGCTCTGAAGCGCCTAGTTCTTCCTCTGGCACCTTTTCTACATGTGGACTATAACCTTAGTCATGCACGCATGTGCGTGATTCTCTGGGGGGGGGGTGTCTGGGCCTCCCCTACAGTCTCCTCTGAGCTCACTGTCTTGTCCCCAGCTTTGCTGTTATTATTTTTATTTTATTTTATTTTATTTTTGAGACAAGGTCTCATGAAGCCCAGGCCTAGGCTGGTCTTGAATGTCTGATATTCCTGTTGCCACATCCGGAGTAGTGAGAACTGGGTTTACAGGCATGCACCACCACACCCGGTCCTCCCAGCCAGCTTTTGGGTTTTCCTCCCCTCTTGATTTCACACACCAAAACGCCTCTTTGCTTCCAGAGATCCCCTTTTCTCTCTATTTTTCGTATCTCTAATTTCTTCTCTACATGCCTAGTCAGTGAACACTCGCCCCGCTCTCCTGGGCAACCTGCCCGCCCAGCCTCAGTTTCCTTCCTGCCCGGACTCCTTCCTCTGCCTGTGGCTCTTCCTCGAGGGCGGATGTGAGCAAGGAAGACGAAAGTCACCATGACCCGAAAGGCCTTGGCGTGCAGCTGTGCATTGCCCATTGCGATCCACAGGCTGGCCCTGTGGGACCCTGATGAGAGCGGGGGGGGGGGGGGAGCGGGGGCTCCAAGGCTGGCTTTGGACTTTTCCTTTGGGGCCTTGGAAGCCCAGGACCTCCTGTCACTGTCTGCTGGTGCCGGAGCTGGTTGACTCTCCTGGGAGCCAGACCTATGAACAGGTGTCAGTGTTGTTGGCTGTAGGCACTTTGGGGATGGGGCTGGAGTTACCTGTGGGAGTCCCCAGCTGATACTCCAGGGCCTCATTCCTTAAGTTCATAATATTCACACAGCCAGGCCCCTGCCACCTTATTGGCTAGGGGGCTCCTGGATGTCTACATCTGGGTGCGGGAAGGTTTGCAGAGAGCCATGCCCGCTTTTCAGCAGTGGAAGCCACACCACAAAGGCCTTTTTGTTTGTTTGTTTGTTTGCACCTGGGCACAGATGGTTTCCAGAGAAGTGCCCTACAGAGTGGGTAATTACAGCCCCAAATAATAGCCTCCTGGTGGGGACCATAGCTGAGCCAGCCAGTGGAGGGTATCAGGGGACAGTACTGCTTCTCCAAGGGACAAGGGATTAGGGTCAGAGAAGAGAGCACCTGGGCCACTGTGAGATCCCCATATCAAGGCACCTTCTGAACCGGGGTCAGGTTGGTCTGCTGTGGGTTAGGTTTCTGAGTTGAGGCTGTAGCCTCACACCTTCCAATTGCTATGTGGTTTCTTATCTTCTCTACACCTCTCCTTATCTCTCTTCTCATTTCACCTTCTTATTCCCTCACTAACCTAGTTCCTTTACAATCTTTATCTCCACTTGAATTTATTCAGTGTAAATAAGTAAGTGCTTCACAGGGTGATAATGACAAGTATTCCAGCGTGACAGAAAAGGAAACTGAGGCCCAGACCTAAGTGCCTTGCATAGCTAATCATAGCTGCTATTTTTAGATTGCTTTGTAGTTCATAGAGTGTGATTTAGGATACTGCCTGGATCCTCAGATAATCTTTATTTTTTAAAACAATTTAAATTTTTATTTTATGTGTACCGTGTTTTGTTTGCATGTATGTCTGTGCTCCAAGTATGTGTCTGGAGCTCACAGAAGCCAGAAGAGGGTGTAGGACCACTGGAACTAGAGTTACCAACACTCAGGAGCCACAATGTGGATGCTAGGAATAGAACTCCAGTTTTTTGGGAAAGCAACAAGTGCTCTTAACCAAAGAGCTATTTCTCTAGCTTCCAATCGCCTTACAGCTTTCTTGAGGAATAATCTTTATAGTATAAAATCAACCCGGCTTAAATGTGCAGTTATTTTTAGTGCATTTACAGAGCTATGCCGCCATCCTTGAATCTTCATTTTAGAACATTCCTGTTGCAGGCTGGGAATGGGGCTTGCGTAGCCAGTAAAAAGAGTTGCTGCTCGAACGTGAAGACCTGAATTCAAATCCCCTGCATGAATGTCTCTAACTCCAGAGCTGAGGGTGGGGAGGAGTCAGGAAGATTGCTGGGGTTTGATAACTGCCAACCTAGTTCAGATTCACTGGGATATCCTGACTCAAGGGAATAATTCAGAGAGAGACACAGCAGAGACCCAGCATCTTCCTCTGGCCTCTGCATGTGTGTTCCTAGACACATGCACACGCATCACACCCTCACACACACAAAAAGAACATTTCTGTTGCACTCGGTGCCTCAAAAGTCTTGGGCCTGTTCAGTCTATCTCTGTTCTACTCCTAGCCCCAGGCAAGCGCTGTTCTAGACAAGCCCTGTTCTGACTAATTTTCTTTTAATTATTATTATTCTGGTTTTATAGAAGATTGGCTTGACAATGAGGGAAGTTTAATGACTTTCTAAATCCAGGCCTGGTGGCTTACCCAACTGGTCTGTAGACACAGCAATTGGAAGGGGGAAAACAGGGTTCTAGACCAGTCTGGCTACATAGTAAATTCTAGGTCAACTATGGATTGAGACCCTGTCTAAACAAACAACAGAAAACCAACCCAGGATCCTGGGGACATAGCTCATTTGGTAGAATGTTTGCCAAGCATACAAAAAGCCCTGGAGATGTCCGGTGGTGACACATGCTTCTACTCTTAAAAGAAAGAGGAAAGACAGAGAGGCAGGCAGGCAGGCAGGCAGACCTATAGCACTCTGTCTTTAGAAACTTCCCTGTAGTCAGTGCTTCTGGAAAGGGGCTAGACTAGTGGGGGGCTTTGTGTGTGTTGGTGACATGTCTTCCCTCTTCACAGGCAGGCCTGGGGTGGGTCCCAGGCACTGTTCCTGCCTCTTTTCTGCCAACTTGGGTGGAAATGGTGACAGAGATGATGAAGGCCAAGCCAGGAAGGGTGGAAGTTGGGAGGGTAAATTTAGTAACTCTGTGGCTGAGGGCCTGAGAGACCCACTGACAGGATCCACCACTCCTTGGAATGTCGGCTCCTGCCTCTACTTCCTTTGCAAGTCACCTGTCCCATAGCTGGAAGAGAAAGCGGAAGGGAATGCTGATGAGTTGGCAACATGTTCATACAGAGAGGTCAGATACTAAGAACATAAGCCTGGGAACCAGGAGTGGGTAGTGGTCATGGTCAATGCCCTAGACTTCAGGGTTACACAGTTCATAATAGATGTCATCTCCAGAGTGCTTTGCACCTCACAGGGTGCAGTCTAGTCTACTACTTGGTCTTCAAACACTATAAAAATGTAAGGAGCAGGTCTATTGAGGTATAATAGAGGCAGGGGATTCAAGCTTTTCAAGCTTGGGCCTCAGGAATCTGCTTCTGGTTCCTCAAACATCAAGTGAAGAGCCCTATCGTCTTCCACTTCTGGTAATGAGCTTTTATAGCTGATTACATTAGGAGAGGTAGTTTCCTATGAAAGAAAAAGTACAGACATGAGACACACAGACATGACAGCAATGGCTGGGTTTCCTCTCTCTGTCCCCTTTAAGAAAACGTTCTATTGAGACCCTTGGGGAAAGGGACAATGGGAGAAGAGGAAAAAGAAAGGTTGGGGGAGGGGTTGCACTCAGATCAGCCCGGAACCCAACTGGCTGGTCTCTGGCTATCATTGTCCTTGGAGGGGCTTCCTTGGACTTTGGTAGACCCTGCCTGCTCTGTTTAAGGCTCCAGATGGCTAGGGGTGGGGTGGGAGTGCCCGTGTCCTCTGCTGCTAAGTCCTAGGATCTGGGGAGAGTAGATGGAACAAGAAAACACAGAAACATGGATTAGCTCTATACGGCTGTTTGAGCTTGGGGTGGCAAGGATCAAGACTGCCATGATGTAATGACCATGCCGTAGCTGGGAACCACATAGAGACAGAGGGCATGTCCCTCTGTTCCCCCCTCCCCCAAACTCCTTAGCTTTTCTCCACCTCTTCTATGTGTGTACTGGGGATAACAGCGGCTGGTGCTGGCTTTGCCCTGAGAACCCTACTACAGAACCCATTTCTCTCCTCCTTCATCCCTAGCCTTTCCACTTACCTGTGTTTTACTGTGTTCCCAGGAGCTCTGAAACCCCAGGACCATGGATACTCTTAATAGGAACCAGATAGGCCCTGCATGTAAGACTCAGGCTGTGGTACAGGTAAGTGAGGCTGGGACCCTAGGGTAAGAGGGCTCCTGATGAGGGTGGGTTCCGATCTTTTCTTTTTTAAGTTTTATTTTTATTTTAAATTATGTTTATGTGTGTGGGAACGTGTGTGTGTGAAGCACAAGTGCCCAAGGAGGTCAGGGGACTCAGATACCCCTAGTGCTGGAATTATAGGGAATTGTGAACCTTCTAATGTGCTGGGAATTGAACTTGGATCCCCTGCAAGAGGATATCACATTCTTCAACCACTGAATCATTTCTCCAGCCTTGGGTTCACCTCTTTTACCTGTCAGTTGTCCATGGGTGTAAGTAGCAGTATTTTGCCTGTTTCCTGCTGCTAGTTGCAAGCCTAGTAGCAGCTCAGTGTTGATCTGAGTTGGGTTAATTGGTTCAGCCTGAAATGCCTCTGGGAAAGTCTGAAATCGGTGTACAGAGTCCCACTGGCGGGATCACTCTCCTGGTTCCACCCTCCCTTGTAGTTCAACTTATCAGGGACAAGGCACAGCCATGTGGTAGCTGTGACAAGCTTGCCAGGAGCTAGACTGGCCCTCCTCTACCACGTCTCTTCCTACTAAGTACAGTGCCCCCTCCTTGTTTCAGTTTTAGTAACAAAAGGCCCAGTTGAGCCTAGGCTTGAGATTAAACCCAGCAGGACAATCTAGCAGCCCAGATTCAGATGTAATTAGAATTTGGTGCAATAATGCTGGGCATAAGATTTTTGGGCTTAGACTTTCAGCCACCTTGGAGCCTTTCAGAGAGGGCCAAGGTCTGGAGGGCCTGTTGGTGTGACTGGGAGTAGGGTGCTCAGGTCTTGGCTTGGAGTCTTTTTCAGTCTCACCTTCCACCCACTTTACCTGCAGAAAGGTCCATTGGATCTGATTGAGACAGGTAAAGGACTGAAAGTGCAGACGGACAAGCCTCATCTGGTTAGCCTGGGCAGCGGGAGACTCAGCACAGCTATCACCCTCTTGCCACTGGAGGAAGGTAAGCTAAGCGCTAGCAGGGCATGGCACCTGCCCTCGCCATCACCAAATGCGTTCCTGCCCTGGAGGCTGTACATGTGGGGGCCCTTCTTCCTTGTGCAAGCCATGCTTGCCTTGCCTCTGCCTCCATGTCTGTCTGCCTTCTTTGGCACTGAAGATCAGCTTAGAATTGAGGATGAGTAATGGAGGGGGTCAAGAAGTGAGCTGCCACCCTGACCTCCCTCCAGGGTGATGCCTGGCAGGGGAGACGACTATGTGGAACACGAATAGATGGGAACCGAGGGCATATGTCCTAAGAGGAAGCCCTGGCATGGCTTTTGCCGGCCCTCCTCCTTTCCTGGCTGCACCTGTTGCCTGGGTGATACTGCATTCCCCACATTCTCCAAATGCCAGTCTCAGGGGCTCTACCAGGGAGGAATGGAGAGGAAAGGATAGGAGGGAGGGGGAGGCTGCTGGTGACAGAAGGACCAGAGAGAGGAGGGGCATTTCTAAGAAGATAGGGGAGTAGGCAGGAGGAGAAAAAAGAGAAAGCACAGGGAGGCCATTAGGGGAGCAGGGGAGATTCGCCTTCTCTGCTGCTGGATGTCTGAATTCTGTGACCTCTGTCTGGATCATCCCACCCAGACAGAGAGTTTTCTGCTTGGGAGGAGCTCCTACCACTTACTGAGGTAGAAATAGACTTCCACAGCGGTCCCCTTGCCCTCTCCTTGACTTCTTAGCCCAGATGACCATTCTGACTCAGTTTACCTCCTGTCTGCAGGGAGGACAGTGATTGGTTCCGCGGCCAGGGATATCTCACTCCAGGGTCCAGGCCTGGCTCCAGAACACTGCTACATTGAGAATCTGAGGGGTACTCTCACCCTGTACCCTTGTGGCAACACCTGCTCTATTGATGGGCTCCCTGTTCGGCAGCCGACCCGGCTCACTCAGGGTAAGGTTTGAAATCTCCACACCAACAAGCGGCGGGGGGTGGGGGTGGGGGGGTGAGGGGTGTCTCTGTTTCATAGCTTGTGCGTGTTAGGTAAGGGGGAAGCCTGCCGCAGTGGCTCCCACGTTAGCCAGATGACTGTCTGTACTCAGGTTCGGTGCAGTGTCAGAACATCTTGAAACTCGCCCCACTGCCACCCCACAGCAGCATCCAGACTTTCCTAAACATTTTTCTTCTTTCCTTTCCTTTTTTTTTTTTTTTTAAACTCAGTCTTCATTCACCACATGGAAAAAAAGAGGTTTTAATCCCTGCTGTCTGTGGGCCTGGGTATGGTGTGGCTTTTGGCGGGGAGAGCAAGTGGCTCAGCTGTGAGAAAGGGTCAGAGATGCTCTCTGATGTCAAGAGGGAGCTGCTTTGAGATGCGTTGGAGGACAAAATCTCCTGAGTGGATGGGGCAAGGGCAGAATCTGATGGAAAAATCTGAGGATGTGCCTGTTCCTGCTGCACAGTAGCTTGGGGTCATGGATGTGGATACCCTTTTGCTTCCTAAGGCACCACACCTCAGAGAGGCCCTGGTGTGTAAAGTTCCCTAATTACCATGGTTACTAGGCAGGTAAGGGATGGCTACATGGTACTTTGAATAGGCCAGACATTGTCACTGTGGAAATAGGCTGTAAGCATCATTAGTTCATTTGTGAGTCTTTTGTTTTGTTTTTTCAAGACAGGGTTTCCCTATGTATCCCTGGATGTCCTGGAATTAACTTTGTAGACCAAGCTGGCCTCGAACTCAGAGTCCCTCCTGAGTGTTGGGATTACCTGGCCATTTGTGAACCTTTCTATTAAGGAATTGAGAAAAGGTGATGCATACTTTTAATCCCAACACTCTGGAGGCAGAGGCAGGCCACTCATTCCACTGTCTCCCATGATCTATGGGGGCCTTAAGTGCCACTTTCTTCACCTCTCCCATAGGAATTAACCAGGCCCCACTCATCCCTTCTGCTCCTGAGGTGTGACAGAGCATGCATAACATGTTTCAGGGAAGAGGTCCTACAGAGGCTGAGGGCATACCTGTCTTCCCTTGAGGTTCAGGGTCTCTCACTGGGAATGAGAGGGGTCCTCCCAAGCTAGGGCTTTGGCTGTGATGCTGTCTGGTCCTAGCAGTCTTGTTCAGGGTCAGGGAGAGCATCTGTTCCAGGATTCAAGGATGTGTAAGTGGGACACAGAGCAGCAAAGGAAGAGATGGGGCAAATTCTAAGGCCTCCCAGCCCCTATCTTGTATCCCCCAATGCCATCATTTCCCTAGAGTAAAAGCCTTCTTGCCCTGTGGATAGTGAGTGGGCTGGAGGTATCAAGGCTGTGTTCATCTTCCTAGAGCATCATTTAACTCTTGAGAAGCCAGAGGGTCTGAGGCCACGATGGCATTCTTAAACATTTCCTGTGGCCCTAGTGACCCCACCTTCCTGAGCCAGAAGCCCATCGAGTATGTACCCTCCTACTTAACTCTTCTGACCCTAAACTCTCTTTGCCACCCCCAACCAAGCCTTCTTGTCTGGGCTCGCCAGTTCCTGAAGCTCAGCAGGGTAGGCGGAGGCACAAAGGAATGGGTGTTCTTCCTAGCCCCCCACCAGCCCCCCCTGGCTTCCAGGAGCTGAGGGTTTCCTTGTCTCATCTCTGGAGCAAGGCACCAAGCCCAGCCCCGCCTGGCCCCGGTCCGGACATTCTTGGGAGTGCGTTTCCTTGGATACTGGGTGGTGCGGGGGTGCATGTGCTATCTCTGTGTGTCTGTGTAACTGGACTGTGTTTATGTATCTACGGATATGTTTGTGTCCCTGGGCCTTGTGTATTTTGGTGTTTATTTGTGGCTTTCCTTGTGTTTACAGACCAGTGTGTTCAAATGGGTGGTAGGTGAACTCAGAACTGATGGCACCAAAATGTCTATGTGTGTATTTCTGTGTTGTATATAAGAACTCTGTGGCATGTCATGTGTACAAGAGGATCGCATAGTAGCTCAGCAGTACAGTGCCTAGCAGCACAAGGGCCTAGGTTCAGCATGTGCATGTATTCCCACCCACAGGCGCGCGCGCACGCACGCGCACACACACACACACACACACACACACACACACACACAAACACACACACTTTTTCCTGGCATATTGTCTACTCTGGCCCTGTGCAGGGGATCCTCTTTGACAGGTAAAAGGATATCTTGGGAATAGCAAGAAGCCTTCTTGGGTTGAGCCAGGCCTTAGAAGACGCATCTTTCTGGGCACTATGCCCAGCCATAGGCAACTTGGAATGACTCACTTCATGGCAAGCAGAGATGGCAGTGACAGGCTCTTCTAGTCAGGAGTGTGCTTGGGCCAGGGGAGGGGGAGGAGACCAGAAAACAGATGCCAACCTTTAGCCTAGAGAAGTGAACATGAGAGGGAGCCACCCCTGTACCCAGGCATCTTGGCACACTGCATGCTGCCCTCTTCTCTACAGAGCAAGGGGTGGAGCTGGGGGAGGGACCAAGGAAATGAGGTTGTGGCATCTCAGTCTGGGGTCTAGGCTGCTCCACCCTGGGACCACAGCACCAAACCACATAAAAGATTTGGGAGGGGACTAAGGAAGAGAGATTCCAGAGAGCCATACAGCTCAGCGCCTGGGCTGTCTAGACAGTCGGTCCCCCATCAACTGCTACCACTAGCTGCCACTGTCTTAAGCGTCCTTCCCTTCTGAAGCCTCCCACTGGTGGGAAAGAGTTCCAGGATAGCCAGGATTCCTGGGGTGCCAGCCGCCGCCCAGTGATCCAGGGCATCTGAGTCTCCTTTACCCTCTGGTTATATTACTCCTTCTGTGAACTGTGCAGGGAGCCTCCGAGCTTTTTGTTAAGACTGATAATGATCTTTACTAGTAAAACTCAAGGGAAGGAGGGCAGGAGTGAAGGCTGGGAGCTTCCAGCTTCCTTGTGTCTGCCTCTTGCAGTGCTTCCCACTGGCAGCATCCCCCTGTCTGTCTATGTCTGTCCAACTGGCCAGCACAGTTTCCAGACCTGTGACTCACTCTTCCTGGGGAGTCTTTGTTTTTCAATGCCTACCTTCATTTTACATTTGACCCTATATGGTTCTTCCTTTTTTTTTTTTTTTTTCTTTCTTTCTTCAGAAGGGAAATACGTTTCCTGTGTACATGTGAGTGTGTTTGTGTGTGTTTGCATGTGGGCATGTATAGTATGTCAGTCAGTCAGTGGGTGAGGCAGTGACCTATTCCACAAGAATGGAAAATTTCCTCATTATTTCTGTAAGGAAGTTGGCTTTTTATTTCAGAGTCCCCCCAGGGGCTGATTTGAAAGGCTAGCTCTGCTCAAATAAGTATATAACTAAGAGGGGGCTGGGGGCTGGAGAAGCGAAAATGTGACGATAACTGTGTGTGATAGAGCGTGTATAACGTGGATGTTTGTTTGGCTCAGTGTGTGCCTAGCTGAGGGGATGTCAGTGTGTCTGGGCAGGGTTAGTGTGTATTGGAGGTGGCACTTGGAGTTTCCTGGGCTGCTAAGCACACAGTGTGTCTGAGAGTGTGTGGGGGTTGTCTTGTGAGGGTCTGGTTTCCCCGGTCAGGTCCCTAGGTTAAAAGCAACTCCCTGGGACCCCTGCTAGGTGGTATGTTCCAGTCTGGTTCATAATGTTTGTTTCCTTGACCTCTGGGGCTCCAGACAGCAAGGGTCTTAAATTAAACAATATATTATTTCATTTTATGTGTCTGGGTGTTTTGCCTACGTGTGTGTCTATATACCACATGTGTCATAGTGCCCACAGAATGCCCGGAAGAGGGAATGGATCCCTTGGAATTAGAGTTACAGACAGGTATAAAGTGTCATGTGGGTGCTGGGAATTGAACCCAGATCCTCTGTGAGAACAGCCAGTGATCCTAAACTCTGAGCCATCTCTCCAGTCCTAGAGAAAGGGTCTTTTTTTTTTTTTTTGTTTTGTTTTGTTTTGTTTTTGTTTTCCTGTTTTTTCGAAACAGGGTTTCTCTGTGTGGTCCTGGCTGTCTTGGAACTAACTCTATAGACCAGGCTGGCCTCTCAGATCCCCAGAGATCCTCCTGCCTCTGCCTCCTGAGCGCTGGGATTAAAGGCGTGCTCCACCCCCTCCCAGACAGAAAGGGTCTTAGTAGGGGTACAGCTCTTTGCTGCAGCTACCACAACTGCAGATTGTGGCTAAGAGAAAGGAGTTTGGCCTGTGGGCTGGCTCTGGAGGAGAAGTGTATTGATGCAGCCTGGGTCAATGGGGGTGAGCCCTGGTGGGTGAGGGCCAGAAGAAAAAGCAGCTAGGGTGCTGACAGGAGCCACAGAGATCAGTGTTGCTTGCATTGCACAGAACACTGCCTTGGCCTGAGCATTCAATCCAGGGTGACCTTGTCCAAGTGTTGGACTGAGAGTCATAGCTGAACCTAGTGATCCTAGCTGGATCCTCATGGATGGAGTCACAGAATGTTCTCTGATGTGACTGTGGCCATCCTCCTCATTCAGTGGATGTGAGGAATCCAAGGCCACCAGGTCAGAAGTTGTGAGTGCCCCAAGGTGACACTGGCCCCCAGGCTTCAGTCATAGGTTTCCTACATTAGAGAGCCCTAGGTGAGACAGCGCCTAGTATCACGTCGACCTCTGACTCTCCATCTTCTGGCCTCTGTTTACCTCTCACCTTAACTTACAGCGTCATCTTCTTGGGAATCTCTCCCGCCTGTCCCACTATCCCTCCAGCCCCAAGCGCGGATTCTCCAGCCCGCCGCCTGGTGGCATTCTCCCTTCCACCCCGCCCTCTCCATCCAGCTCCACACTCTTCTCCATCACTTCCTCTTCCCCTCCTCCTCGCCTTTGTCCCTCCCTCTCTGGCTCCCTTCCCCCGCCACTGGTGGCCGGCCCGCCCCTCCCAGGGCATTGGCGGCTGCTGGCTGCCTGGCTGCTTGCACCGCGCCTGGAGCCGGCGGCGCGGGAGGTCGGCCCGCCCCCTCAAAGGCCCAGGGTAGGCAGGCGGGCGACCTGCTGGGTCCCGGCTAGTGAGAGCGAACGGTCTGGAGGTCCGGGTTCAGTGGTGAGTCCTCAGCCGGGTCAGCCACTGCCCCAGGCAACCGGGCGTAGACGCTCCGGTTGGGAGGGGCGTCCTGGGAAGGGTGGGCAAAATGAGGGAATTGGGGTCCTCGCCCTTCTTTGGGAGCTTGAGGCTGTGAATCTGATGGTGTTTCTGCCCAGAATGTCTTTGAGTGGGGGTCCGAGTTATTGAGTGGCTTGCAGACCCCATCTTCCCCACCACTGGGCAGTCTGCTCCTTGGGACCCGCCTCCGGAGCCTGTTGAGGGGTCCTGTTTAGGCTGAGGGAGCCTGTGCTATGACTAAAAGGAGTCTCCGATAGGGAGAGCCACGGTCTTTCTCCCATCACCCAGTTTTCTTTCCTTTGGCCAGTCCATTCTATTTGTGTGGCCAGCCGGGCAGTGACTGTGGCTCGGAGTGTGCAGCATGTCTGCCCATATGGCCGTGAGCCTGTATGGTTTCTGAGTGTCTGTGTTTGAGCCTGCGTGGGGTGTTTCCCTTCTGTCTCTCACAAACAGGATCCACCCTCTCCTTTGCCCAGTGTTTTCCCTCCAGATGTGCAGCTCCTCCACCCACCTGTACACAGCTGGACCCTGAGTCCTTCTAGGCAGGGACTTTGACTCTAGCTGGATGGCCAGGGTTTCCTGGGATTCTGGAGAGAGCTAGTCCTGGAGATGTGGGGTCTGAGTGAGCAGAGAGGGGGCTTCCTAACATAGGCAGGTTGGCCAGGTCTCTGGGGGCAGTAGGTGCCAGAGCTGGAGCAATGCCTGGGGCCCCTGAGTACAAATAGTAAGTTAATTTGGGCCGGAGCTGCTCTGCTCTCTGTTCTGCTGCCCTCCTGCCCACTCTATTAATACAGCACCAGTGCCTGGCACCACTATTTATAGCCCAGAGCAACATGGCCACACCCCCTGTGGGGGGAAGGGCAGGACAGTGACTCCAGGCTGTAGGTGCCAAGATAGAGGGTCCCTAGACACTCAAAGCCAACTTGGGTGGTTCAGGCATTACCTGGATGGACTCCACCTCGCCTCCTCCCCACCTGCTGCCCAGTTTAGACTGTGTGGTCACCCACAATCCCCTCTCCCCCATCACCGTAGAGTTGAGTGAATCTGTCTAGACCCTTAAAATTCATCATTAATTAGACTGTTAAATATTGGACTGAAAAGGGAGGGGGCGATGGCTCTTTCTGAAACAGCTGTAGTTGTAATTAGGTGGATGGCTTGGGTGACTGTTATTTATCCCAGTTATGATTACTATGGGATTAGCTCCTCTGATTGGTGGCTTGGCAGTGAAGGCTTTCCCTATTCTCCCAACCACCCATCAGCCTTTAGAACTGTTGGTGCCGTCTGCCTGGGAGGGCTTGTGGGTGTGCCAGAGCAGTGGGTGGCTTTGTCCACTATAGTTTTCTGCTATGGATGGGCTTAGACTATTAGCCCCTCAATGTTCAGGGCCTGGGGATCAGTCATCTGAGCTCAGTAGGGGGTCCTGTCAAAGTACCCAATTGGCTTGGGATGTCCCTTGCCCTTGCAGCCTCCCCTGAACTAAACTGCCTCAACGTCCTGGAATGTCGACTTCCCTGCCAGTCTTAGCCCAGACTGGCATGAAGCATGGGGCACTGAGTAGCACCAGATTGGGTAGCCAGGAGGTTGGGGCTGGGAGTGTGGACAAATTGGAAGGCTAAGTAGTAGAGAGCCCTGGGGTTCTGGCTTTTCTTCCAGTACAGCATCTTCTACAAGAGCCTGGAAACACCTGGCATGGCCAGGAGGAGGAGTTCTGCCAGCCAGGCTTAGGCGCCTGTGGGCACACCTGCTGCTGTGCACACTCCTGAGCCCCTGGCTACATTTTCTGGCTCCCACATACCCACCTCCTTCTATGCACTACTTCCTGGGCAGGACTGGGCTTGTGTCTCTTGCCTGGGAATGTGCTTGGCTCAAGCTGAGCTCAGTGGCATAGAACTGGCTAGATTCTATGGGAGACCAAGAAACAGCCAGGGGATGCTTTGTCCAAGAAAGAGAAGAGAGCAGCGCTTTCTCTCTCTCTCTCTCTCTCTCTCTCTCTCTCTCTCTCTCTCTCTCTCTGTCTGTCTGTCTCTCTCTCTCTAGGTGCTCAGAGAGGGTGGTAGTCCTCCTGAAGTCGTATCATAGGAAGGAATTGGAGTGAATTCTGAGCCCCATTAGGGCATCTGACCTGTGGTATTTCATCTGTCACCATATCTTTGTGTGTGTGTGTGTGTGTGTGTGTGTGTGTGTGTGTGTGTGTATGTGTGTGTGACAACTCTGGGAGATGCTGCCTCTCAAACCCTTTTGTCTAAGAAGTAATTTGATGGATCACAGATACACATTGGTGTTGGTTCATTTTTTTTCTTTTTTTAGATTTATTTATGTGTAGTGTTTTGTTTACTTATATGTAAGGTTACCACATATATGCCTGGTGCCTTCAGACATCAGAAGAAGGCATCACAGCTCTTGAAACTGGAGTAAGAGATGGTTTTGAGCTACCATGTAGGTGCTGGGAACCAAACTCTAGTCTTCTGCAAGAAGGGCAAGTGCTCTTATCCCCCACCCCCATGTTCATTTTTTTCTGCAGAATTTTTTCTACTTCTGGAGATTTTCACATATACAGTCCTGTTAACCCTGGGAGATCTGGTGGTATCAAGTGTCCCATTTTTATAAGAGAACTAGCTTGAATGTAGAGTGTCATCACCTGAAGATTTTGTAGCTAGTGAAGAGCTAGCAGGAGGACTCTGATTTGGGGAAATTATCTGCCAGTAATCCTTCCTGCCCTGACTTTTGATGTGGGGCTCATCGCTGGGCTCCATTGCAGGGAGAGGCAGGTCAGATATGCACTGTATGGAAACTGAGTACAAGTGGGGTTGGCTCTTGGAAGCTGAGGGTAAGTGTGATAGTGTTGTGACTGGGATGGCTTCTAAGTGATTGCTTTCTCTGCAGGCTGCATGTTGTGTCTGGGTCAGTCCACCTTCCTGCGCTTTAACCACCCAGCTGAAGCCAAGTGGATGAAGAGTATGATTCCAGCAGGGGGCCGGACACCAGGGCCCTCCTACAACCCTGGCTCAGGTAAGTAGCCAGCTGGGACATGGGGCTGGATAAGTGGCACTGCTTGGACATGTTAGCCTTGCCCATTCCAACCACTCTTGGAGTATTAGGGCAGGACAATACCAATGATCTGGGCTTGCTGCCACTGCCATGGACTGGTGGAGAATGCTAGGCCATAGGGTCACTGGAAAAGATCCAAGGCAAGTGCTGCTTGGATCAAACTGGGAAGTTATGTTTCTTGAGGGAATATACAAGGTTTTGTTAGCCTGGCACTCCACTGCCTTGGAAGATGCCAGTTAGTGTCTGGGACCCTTGCCCTCTTGTGTTATCACCAGAGTGAGTGCGTCACTCAAGGGGACCTGAATATTATGATGAACCCTTAGTGGCTTCTGGGTTCCACTTGCTGGTGATCATGTCCTGAGGCACTATTCAACCCTCAGGCCATGCCATGCTGACCGATGACTCAGAAAGCAGCTGCAGCTTGTGTGTGAATTATTGATCCCCAGAGGAGAATTGGTGATTGTTCTGGGAGTCAACACAGGCCCCTCAGCCAGCTGCCTGGGGGGGGGGGTGCAGATGGGGACACTAGCAGTGTGTGTGCCACCCTAACCTCTGCAATGGCATTCAGATGGCTGTGGGCCTGGAAGCAGCAATGCTGGGGCTGTGGCAGGTGAGCATGTCTGTCAGGTTTAGTTGATGGAATGATTATTACTGACCTACATAGTCTGGTGGCTTCAGGAAAGACCAGTGGTCACTGGAAACACATGTGGACCCCGCTGACTAATTTAGGACCCAAGGTCAGTTTTGCAAACCCATTCTTTCCTTTACCTCTTACTTGAGTACTATGTCTTTCAGTCCCCTGGGGACTCACTTTACCCCCACCCGAGCCTGGCCATGTCACACTCCTTTAGCTGTTTTGGGTGTTGATTCTGAGGATTACTAAGTTCCTGGTTGGTTGACAAGGGCTAGGGCCAGGCAAAAGCCAGCTCTTGCTGGTGTAGTTTAATGAAATAATTGGAGACACTACGCTGGGCCTCGAGGCTCCTCAGCCAAGCTTCCAGGAACAAACCATTAGCAATCCCTCTGTGTTGGATTGGCATGGCTTTCACTGACATCTACCCAGCCTTTGACTGCCGTATTGAGAGGCTCTAGTGTCACCTTAGACTAAGAAGCCCTGCAAGTTCTAGCCAGCTCCACAGTAGGTCCACACCTCTTGCAGTATGCCCACTTGCTCTTCTAAAAGAGAGGCACAGAAAGGTGGGAAAACTGGGGCAAGGGAACCGTACTGGTGGGGTGAGTTGGAAACAACTAGACTTAGAACTAAGTACCTGTTATTGTTGCTGACTCTGTCCTGAGTCATTCAGGGTTAGAGCCAGGAAGGTCCTGCCTATCATCTTCCTTTATAGGAGGGGAACTCAGGGCATAGAGTTTGGTTAAGGTTGCAGAACAGGTCAGTGACAGAGTGGGCTGCTACCAGAACTCAGCTCTTTGGCTCCACTGCCCCACAATGAGATTGGGTGGTACTTTCTTGCTTGTACACGTGTGTAGCTCCCTAAAGCCAAAAAGCCAGAGCTTGAGGCCTCTTTGCATTTCCCCTCAGCTGAATCAGAGAGTCTGGTGAATGGGAACCACACAGCACAGCCTGCAACCCGGGGACCTTCAGCCTGTGCCAGCCACAGTTCCCTGGTGAGCTCCATTGAGAAGGACCTGCAGGAAATCATGGACTCATTGGTGCTAGAGGAGCCTGGAGCTGCTGGCAAGAAGCCTGCAGCCACATCCCCACTGTCACCAATGGCTAACGGTGGGCGTTACCTGTTGTCCCCTCCAACCAGCCCCGGTGCCATGTCTGTGGGCTCTAGCTATGAGAACACCTCTCCAGCCTTCTCTCCACTTTCCTCACCAGCCAGCAGTGGAAGCTGTGCCAGTCACTCACCCAGCGGGCAGGAGCCAGGACCTTCTGTTCCCCCACTGGTGCCTGCCCGTTCCTCCAGCTACCATTTGGCTCTGCAACCCCCACAGTCTCGTCCAGGTGTATCCCGTTCCTCTGAAAGTCCCCGGCTGGGCAGAAAAGCGAGTCATGAGAGACCTCCCAGCCCTGGTCTCCGGGGTCTTCTGACTGACAGTCCTGCAGCCACAGTCTTGGCAGAGGCCCGCAGGACCACTGAGAGCCCCCGCCTGGGTGGGCAGTTGCCTGTGGTGGCTATCAGCCTAAGTGAATATCCACCTTCTGGTGCCCGCAGTCAGCCCACCAGTATCCCTGGCAGCCCCAAGTTTCAGTCTCCAGTCCCTGCTCCCCGCAACAAGATTGGCACACTCCAGGACCGCCCTCCCAGTCCTTTCCGTGAGCCTCCAGGCACAGAACGGGTGTTAACGACCAGCCCCTCTCGACAACTGGTGGGCCGAACATTTTCAGATGGGTCAGCAACTCGTACCCTCCAGCCTCCTGAGAGTCCTCGCTTGGGCAGACGAGGTCTGGACAGTATGCGAGAATTGCCCCCCTTGAGTCCATCTCTATCTCGAAGGGCTCTGTCCCCGCTGCCAGCCCGGACTATCCCAGATACCAAGCTGAGCAGGGAAGTGGCTGAGAGTCCCCGGCCCCGGCGCTGGGCAGCCCATGGGACTTCACCAGAGGACTTCTCCCTGACTCTGGGAGCTCGCGGCCGCAGGACTCGGAGTCCCTCACCTACACTCGGGGAGTCTCTGGCACCTCGCAAAGGCAGCTTCAGTGGCAGGCTGAGCCCAGCGTATAGTCTGGGCTCTCTTACTGGGCCTTCACCTCGTCAGAGCCCTCATGCTCAAAGGAAGCTTTCTAGTGGGGATTTGCGTGTGCCCATCCCAAGGGAGAGGAAAAATAGCATCACTGAGATCAGTGACAATGAGGACGATCTCCTGGAGTACCACCGACGACAGCGCCAAGAGCGGCTGCGGGAACAGGAGATGGAAAGGCTGGTGAGCGGATGCCAGGGAGGCTGCCGTTGTCCAAGGCGGTGCATCTGCCAGGGTGTGGGCAGGCCAGCTGGCAGAGTAGTAGAGGCCATGTACAGGGTCTGGGCTTCTTCAGGATGAACATCGTGATAACTGACCAGTATCTTGTGATCCTGGAAATCTCAAAGGCTTTTCAATTTTTTTTTTTTTTTTAGCGTGCGTGCGTGTGTGCGTGTGCGTGCGTGCGTGCGTGCGTGCGTGTGTGTGTGTGTGTGTGTGTGTAAAAGCCAGAAGTTAGTGGATAGTGTTTCTTCCTCATTTCCTCTTCAGGCAGATCTCTGTGAGTTCAAGGCCAGCCTGGTTTACATAGTGAGTTCCAGGACAGCCAGGGCTATACTAAGAAACCCTGTCTCGAAAAAAGAAAAGTTTCAAGGCTGAGGCCCAGAGAGGAACATTGATTTGGCTTTCTCTGTTTATAGTGTTAGGCATTGAACCTAGAACCTTGTCATGTCAGGGCAGCACTCTATCACAGAGCTATGTCCCCAGAATTTTCTTTCCTACTCCTCCTCTTTTATTTTATTTTGGTTTTATGAGGAGGGTCTCTCTGTTTAACCCAGTGTGGCTACAAGCTTCCCATGTAGTCCAGGTTGGGCTCCAATTCATGATCTCTCTACTGCCTTTTGAGTACTGAGGTTACGCATGTGCCTGACTATGCACCACCACTACTGGCTATGTGTATCTCCAGATCCTCTTGCCTCTGCCCCCTTTAGCAAATCCTACCAGCCTATGCCACAAGAGCTGGTGGCTTCCTATTTTAAAGCATGTATTTATTGCCAGTATGTGTGCATGTGTGTGCTGATGGAGGGTGGAGGCCAGAGATACTTTCTGTGGAGACACTTTCCTTTCACCTTTACATGGGTTCCCAGAATCCAACTCCCGGCATCAGGTTTGCCCAGTAAAGCACCTTTACCTGGGGCTTGTTCTTTAGAAAAGCTCTCATCCCCTGTTCTTGCTTCTCTTTGGCCTCTGTGAGTGGCCCTGAACCACTGACTGTGACCCAGTGACTATGATACTAACGAAGAGGGGAAACAGGGTGGGCAGCCCCTGGCCTGCCTCTGTGGTTGTGTGATTGTATGTGTCTGTGTGTATAAGTGTGGTGCTGCTGTGTCTGGGTGTGGTTCTGGGCAGCTGTCCTAGAGATGGCATCTGAGCTGGGAGGGGGCTGGGATTCCCCCAAATAGCATAGGGAGCTCCAGGGGCATTGGCTGCTGTGTACATGCACAGACAACCACATGGATTCTCCCTTCCTTCCCAGGGCTTGGGGAGACGTTTGTCTGAGGAATCTGGGAAGAGGCTGGCCCTTTTGGGGTGAGGGTGTGGGGCAGTGTACTTGTGGGCGGCAGGATCCTCAGTCTTTGTTACATCTTATTACTGTTGTACTGTGGCTACCCTGGATCTTCATCCTGAGAGGGAGGATGAGTCTGGCACATCAGTGCTGGGCCCAACCTCCCCACCCCCAACCCCACACACAGGTATACACCTCAGCACCAGCCCCAACCTGCCCCACCTGCCACTTTAAGTCAGAGGCTGTGCCTGCCCGCCCGCACCCTGCCCCTCCTACCTTAGCCAGGTTGCTTATCTGGGTCCTAGGGCGGGGGTGAGGCTTCGGCCCAACCTCCTGGGTGCTGAGGCTTGGTTCCTGGTTTTTTTGCCACAGAACTGGGCAAACAGCAGGAAGGAAGCTGGGTAAGTGTTGTGGGATGGGAAGCTGATGCCAAAATGTAGGTGGTGAGAGATTTGGTGTCACAGACCCCAGAAACCCTGTCAAGATCTGGGCTTGAAGGTCAGGGCTGCCGTGTTAACTCTAAGTCGGACAGAGACCAGGAACATGCCTACCCTTGTTCCCTCGCTCCCTGGCACCTGAGAGGTGACCATTTCTGTGTCAGGGTTTAGCGTGAGAGAGCAGGTTGACAGGCCACAGAGTACTTGCGCACACCTGGCTAGCTTATGTTGCTGATACAGAGCAAAGGGTCCTCTGCCTGAGTGACTTAGAGCTGAGGCAGTGTCCGATTTGCTTTCCTCTCTGTGCCTGGACTGTGGGGTCCTGTTCCTGTGGTCTGCTTTCTGGCCTTATCAGTGTGCAGATGCCCACCCAGCTGTATGTAGACTATATTTATGTGTGTGCGTGCATGTCAGGGCTGGTGTTAATGCTGATGTACCTCCCAGGGCACATGGGGTGTCTGTGTATGTCTGTGTGGCAGGATCTGTGCGCAGTGAGCTCTTGTCTTTTGTATGTTCCTTTGTATGGCTGTGTCTCAGTATGGTCTTTAGGCTGCTTACCCCTGGTTCTCCTGAGTATTTGGATGTGTCCTTGTGTGACTATGAAGAAGCCTCATCCTAGGGTAGAATGAAAAGGGAAAGTAAACAGGATGAAAGGAGGGGCCAGCCACATGGACAGGTGGCACACTGCCTTATTCTCTTACCCACTTTTGAGGGACTCTCTTTCCCTATGCCTCCCACAGATTGTTTATAATTTAATTTATTTATTATTATTATTTTGGGGAGAGGGGTTTTCTGAGATAATGGTCTTTCTGTATAGCCCTGGCTGTCCTCGAACTCACAGAGATCTGCCTGTTTCTGCCTCCAGAGTGCTGGGACTAAAGATGTGCACCACTGCACTTGTCCTTACAATGAATCTTAAGGTTGGGACTGTCCTCATGATGCTGGGCCCAGAATCCCTAGTGTTCAGCACACCCTGGCTGGGGCCACACTAGGTCTTCTGCTTCTCACGCTCTGCCCTCTCCATTGTCCCTAGGAACGCCAACGCCTGGAGACCATCCTGAACCTGTGTGCTGAGTACAGCCGAGCTGACGGGGCACCTGAGGCTGGGGAGCTGCCCAGTATTGGAGAGGCCACTGCAGCACTGGCGTTGGCCGGCAGGAGACCCTCAAGAGCCTTGACAGGAGCCCCAGTGGTCTCTGGAAGGTGCAGTGAGGAGCCTGGAGGTGTCTCTCAGCGCCTGTGGGAGAGCATGGAACGCTCAGATGAAGAAAATCTCAAAGAAGAGTGCAGCAGCACGGAGAGCACCCAGCAGGAGGTAGGGGCCCGGGGGCGGGGCCGGGCCGGTGTGGCGGATGCTCGGGCCCTGTGAGGAGGGGTAGTGAAAAAGGATCAAGGTTTGGATGAGACTAGAGGTGAAGTACTGTGGAAGCAAGGAGGAAAAGGGAGGTGACCATGACTTTCCCATGCTATAAATGTGCTTTATGACCTGTTTTCCTTTGGGGCCCCACCCAGCTCTGGCACTCTGGCAAATCCTTTCCCTATAGCTGAGCTCTCTGAGTCTCCTGTTTTAGTCTAGTTACCCTTTTAAGCAGTTTGAGGAATGTGTGATCCACCCTTTTAGTCTGATCCTGGAAGGTTCTAGACTTCCTCCATGGGTGGCTCTCCTTCCCTCCAGCATGAAGATGCTCCTAGCGCGAAGCTTCAGGGAGAGGTGCTGGCTGTGGAAGAGGAGCGGGCTCAGGTGCTGGGCCGTGTGGAGCAGCTGAAGGTCCGAGTGAAGGAGCTGGAGCAGCAGCTGCAGGAGGCAGCCCGAGAGGTGAGCTGGCTAGGAGGCGTGCTTCCTGGAATTGGGCCCCGCCCTGAGTCCCCTGCCTCGACTAGGACCCTGGTATGTCTGTCTAGGCTGAAATGGAGAGAGCATTGCTGCAGGGGGAGAGGGAGGCAGAGCGAGCATCACTGCAGAAAGAACAAAGAGCGATGGACCAGCTGCAGGAGAAGTTGTTGGCCTTGGAGACAGGCATCCAGAAGGAGAGGGACAAGGTAACCCATACTTGACTACCAGTGGCCCAGAAGAGAAGGAGAGATGCCTTCCCTAGGGCGGTATCCCTCGACATCCATCCTGCATACCACATGGTCTCTATAACCCTCCAGGGATGGGGGGGCCTTATTCTCTATGGAAGATACAAGCTTGGATGGTACTGCCAGGGGCTGGGCTGGTGTTTGGGGTCTTACTTATCTGGATCTCTGTGCTACATCTGGTTGCCTGGGTGCCTGCCATTCTGGAGCCTGCGTGGTTCTTCTAGGAAGTGCCAAAGCCCTTTCTTGGGCAGTGTGCACAGCCTGAAGGACCGATGCTTCGGGGGTGGGGGGCATGATGGGACCCACCATGAGGAAAAGCCCTCCCTCAAGCATGCCTCAGGTACTTAGGATGTGGTCTTTGGGAGATGGCCCACAGGCCTGTTTCCAGTCATCAGGACCTGCAGTCTCCCATCCCAGATGGTCCCAGCTCCTACCCCTGCCCCTTTCAGATTTCCTGCCAGTCTTCAGGGCCTTCTCCGGCCCACAGGGATTGTGCCAGCCATGTCTAAGACACCCAACAGCGTGCCAAAAGCTCTGAAGTGGAGAGGGTTCATCTCTTTCTGGATTTGACAGTGTTTTTATAAGAAGTTTTAATTTTCCTTCTGGATTATTTTTTGAGAGTTGTCTTCGTCTTTTTTTCCTCAATTTCAAGAATCTTAAAAATTCATTGCCCCCCTCCTTTTTTATGGAGCATTGGCTCTGGCCCCCAAAACCACACTCCCAGATTCTGTGCCAAATTAACCCTATGCTTGCCAAGCAGGCCTGCACTAACGCCCTCTCTAATCACTGTCCTGGGCTCTCCGCATGCCCCTAACTGCCAGGCCACCCAGGCAGGGCTGAGTCATGCCAGCTTTACTAACTCCATGGGTGCCTTTGTGCCCCTGACCTCTCCCTCTAATGTTGCATCCTTCTTTTCTTGGTGTGGGACCCCATGATCAGAAAGGAACTGGCAGGAAGGCGCAGCTAACTTTTGCTCAGTGGATCACTGGCAAGAGGAGTACAAGGATGTGTGTGTTGGGGGAAGGTGTGCGTGGCCAAAGAGGGGCTCTGCCCATACAGCGCCTCCTACTGGAAAGGCCTGGGCTGCTGCCTCCAGAATGCTGAAGGGCAGGGGTTGGAGGAGGGGTGAGCTATTTGTCCCTCCTGCCTAGCTCTCTGGAGCTGAGTGATTAGGGGCCCCAGGTGTGGGCACACCTTGGAAGGCTTGGACAGGGCCTTTCTACCCACTGAGTGGCTACCCATTCTTGCTGAATTCAGATGGTCCCTTCCCTCCCTTTATTCCCGGAGGCCACCTAGAACACAGGCAGTAGAGTCTGGACTTCAGGACCTGGCTTGATCAAGGCCTTCCCTCTGTGTAGGTGGGTAGGTGAGCTGGGCAGGTGCAGCATGGGAGTATATTCTTTTAGGGGTAAGGCATTCCACAAGCAACCTGGCTAGCGTTACTTAACTGAGATTGCTCAGAGTCCTGGACTTAGCCTTCCCTCTGGTCCAGGTGTTTGAGGTGGTGATGGTGATGGTGAGCAGGTTCTCTTGACTTTCTCTCCCAGCTTCCAGCCCATGGCCCCACTCTGGCTTTGGAATCAGTAATCACAGTTTCTCCTCTGCCTGTCCTTCGGAGGGGTGACTCACCAACTCCTCCCCTAGTCCCCCTTTCCGCCCTCAGAGGTGTCATCTCGCCCCAGACAGAACCATCCACCTCCTCCCTGTATCCACTCCTGGGGCTCCTATTACCATGGCAACGGGCCGAACTAATTGCAACCCTCATCCCTACTGAAGTTCAGCCTGCTTTGCTGACACCCCACCCCCACTCTGGGCTGGAGGGGAGGGAGGCCGTGGGGGGTTGGGCAGGGGTCCCCTTGCTGCACCGCTGTAGCTCTAATATCTTCAGCTCCTCGTTTACTCTCAACTCCTGAACTTAACCCTTCCCACCACTCACATTTTCCCAGGGTTAAATTTTGGTCTCAGGACAGTGGGAGAGCTCGAGGCTCAAATCTTGCCATGATGCATGAGCTTTGACTTTGGTTTGGAGAAGAAACGGAAGGTCCTGTCTTTGGACCTATCTAAACATTTCTAAAGGGACCAACATTTCCACCCTGCCCCCACACCTCTGCCTTTGTTGCACCGCCCCGTCTGAGTCCCATCTTACTCTGCTCCTTGCCTCTCTCCTCTCCCACATGCCCTCCTTCCTCTCCTGCTCTCTTCTGTCTCGGTGCTTGCCCCCCACGCCCGGTGTCCCCCTGCGCCCGCCCCTGCCCCCCGCGCCGGGCCGGAGTTGAGGAGTGTGTGTTCTCTCTCCCCTGTGCCCCGCCTCCCTCCCCTCCCGCCGACCAGGAGAGGGCGGAGCTGGCCGCGGGACGGAGGCACCTGGAGGCCCGCCAGGCGCTCTACGCCGAGCTCCAGACGCAGCTCGATAACTGCCCCGAGTCAGTGCGGGAACAGTTACAGGAACAGCTGAGAAGGGTCAGTTCCACCAGCCCCCTCCCCCCGGCCCCCGTGGGCCACCACCCAGACTGAAGACAGGAGAGCGGTGGGACGGGACCACCTGGCCCCTGCAGTACCTGCCAGACACCAGGGTCGGTGCAGTGGCTTGGAAGGGGATCGGCAAGGTTGGGTGGGAATCAGCGCTACAGACCGCGATGTCCACGAAAAGGGCTCAGCCAACCGAGCAGAGGGAGTTGGGCGGTGGGGCCGGTTCCTTCCCTAGTTTCCCTGGGTCCAGCCCCCGTAACTCATGGCTCTGTGGCCTGGCCTTCCTGGCCCAGAGTGGTTTTGAGAGCACCACTCACCCAACCCCGAATGTCACTGTCGTTGAAGGAAGCAGACGCTCTGGAGACTGAGACAAAGCTCTTTGAGGACCTGGAGTTCCAGCAGCTGGAGCGGGAGAGTCGCGTGGAGGAGGAGCGGGAGCTGGCCGGCCAGGGGCTGCTACGAAGCAAGGCTGAGTTGCTGCGCAGTGTGACCAAAAGGAAGGTGTGCGCTGTTCACTCCCGCACAGCCCTAGTGACCAGGGGTTAGGGTTAGCCTGTAACTTTTTGTGTCCCCATTTCTTCGTGATTATCAGTAAAAATAAGTACTGCAGGGCTGGTGTGAAATTAATATGTAAAGGCAGAATAGAGTATAATGGTGAACAGGACTCAGTAAGAATAGTTAGTGGTTCTCAAGGGAAAGTAGAATTGGTTCACATGGGGTGCTGGCAATGGCTTGGCCAGGGAAAGAGAGATGGAAATGGAGGAGACTGCAAGGTGCCTGTCTACTACTCTTGAATGTCATCTTACAGTGTTTCCGACTGAGCCCAGGGCCTTCTGTATGCAAAGCACATATTCTGCCATTCAGCTATACCTCCATCCCTGTCTGTGCCCTTCTAGAGCTGTTGTAAGTGCTGGGATGCACACAGAGACCTAAGAGCGGGATGCTAGCCAATCTGCTTGACAATAAGAATATCCATCTGGGTTCCTGCTTTGGTCCAGTTCAGGCATGACTATATGCAAAGTGAGAAGATGGACCATTGTCTCTGGTCAACTCTGATTTGCTAAAGCTGTGGTCCTGTACTGGTCTCAGCCACACCAATCATAGACAGTGACAGGATAGGACAGGTGTTCAGAAGAATCAGAAAAGGTCATGGAGGATGACCTGGGTGATGTCCAAGTCTATGATGCCCATGCCAAAGACCTACAGTGATCATGTGCAGTTTCCTGGCTAGGCTGAGTATGGACGGTGAGGATAGTGTAGTCTAGGGAGTAGGGTTCAGATGCAGTAAGATGGGGGCTTGCCAGCAGGTAAGAGGGAAACCACTGGATATTGTAGGCCCAGATCCCTTGGTCCTCTCCCCAAGCTGTCCTGCCTTTAAAATGCACCTGTCAAGGGGACTGGAGAGATTGCTCAGTATTTGAGAGCACTGACTGCTTTTTCTTCCGGTCACCTCTAACTCCAGTTCCAGGGAATATAACACTTTCTCTGATATTTCCCAGCTCCCGTACATATATGGAACACAGCCATATACTCAGGCACATGCACACATAAAATAAATATATTTTTAAATGTACCTGTTGTTCTGATACAGGAAAAGAAGAAAATTAGTGTTTCCCAAGCTCATGTGGCAAATACCCTGCTAGGACCTTCCCTTGGGTTTTCTCCTGCTGTTCTTAGGGTGTCTAATAGATGGGCCCTTCCACTGTATAAGCTTCAGAGTCAAGAGTGGAAACCCAAGCCTGCTAGGCTTCAAGGCCCAAGGCATCTGTGCTATGCTACATATGGTCTGGGTTTGTGCCTATTCACTGTTCCCCCTCTTCACCTGGAGAGAATGCAGCCAGGAGACTTATAGATCAGTTAGCTGGTTCCATTCTTTGGAGATCTGAAGGTAATCAGCTCCAGGGACTGTGTCTCTCCTCTTTGTGGCCAGCCTAGGGCCTGGGAAGCCAGCTCAGCCCTTAACCCCAGGTGTGTGTGTGGGGGGGGTCCATGTGCGTACCTGTGTTATGCATTCTTTCCTGTATGCCCTGTGAGTTTTGCCTTTGTATCTGCAGAGTCCCCTCAGGCTCTGTCTTCCCTGGAGGACTATGTATCAGTCTACTATGGTTCAGAGTGGTTGAGAAAGCTGGCTTTGGAATCCTACAGGTCTGGTTCTAGTCCTAAGACTGCCACTAACTGCCCAAGAGATTCTAACTCCTAAACATATCCATGTTCTCAACTCTAAAATGGGCATAAAGGTACCTGCTTCATAAGGTTAGATGAAGGGACATATAAAAAACATCCAGCAGCAACCTTAGGCCTCCTCTGTTCTGGGTAAGTGGCAGCTGTGGCTGTGAGAGTTCCTGTCTGTTATTTCTGGTTTTTTGTGTGGGCTGACTCCAAGTTTAGGATAACTCCCTTCTTGGTACCGCCTCCTCCCATGTGCTACTCAGGAGAGTGGTGGTTTGAGACCGCCCAAGATTAATCCAACGTATTTTGCCTAGCTCTCCTCTTTTCCTCTCAAAATATTTTCATTTTCTTTTAGCACATGATGGCTGAGCCAGGTACTGTGCTAAGCCCTGTTGGGGTGGTAGCAAGACTGTTCTGCTCCTGATCTTACAGACAGGGTGAAGGTGGTGGAGCCAGTCACAGATCACAGTAGACTAATGTGAATGCATAGGCAGGAGTAAGGACTTGGAGTGGCAATCAAGGAAAGCTTTGGAGAGGACACCGGCTTTAGCCTGGCCCTAGAGGGGAAAGACTGAGATGGCCCTCCTGAGCCCAGAGGTGACAGATGAAGACTAAGAGTCTACAGTGGCTTAGTGTACAACATGGTGGAGCCATGGTGCGTGGAGGGATGAGCAGGAAGGGATGAGTTCCGTGAGCCCTTAATTGCTAGGTGAGGAGTCTGTGTTCTGTGCTGTGGGTAAAGAAACCCTGAAAGATTTGAGAAGACAGGTGATCTGGCCTTGCTATTGTCTTGTTTTGTTTTATTTTTTACGTTTATTTTATCTGAATGTTCTGCCTTCATGTGTGTCTGTATACCATGTGTGTTGGCTCTGCTAGGACTACAGTTACAGGAAGTTGTGATCTGCCATGTGGATTCTAGGAACTTACCCCAGGTCATCTGGAAGAGCAGCTAATGCTGTCTCTGGAGCCATCTCTCCAGCCCCACCCCCATCCTGGCCTGTTGAGTTTTTTAAAAAGTAACCGAAGAGCCAGTATTGTTGTTCACACTTGAGTCCTAAGGATATGTCCCAGTTTATCTGGTGACTGAGACATGAAGATTGCTTGAGCCCAGGAGTTCAAGCCCAGTCTAAGGAGGAGGAGACTTCATCTCAAAACCAAAGGAAAAGGTGGGATATGATGGTTCAGTAAGAGGATTGCCATGAGTTCAAGATTTACCTAGACTCCAAAGTCAATTTAAGGTCAGTCTGGACTTACAGAGTGGGTTAAAGCCACCCTGAACCATCTTGGATTATATAGCAAGACCGAAAACCAAAATCAAGCAAACAAAATTACTCAAGTAATATGGTATTCCTTTTAGGATGATGAAGAAATTCAGATAAGCAAACAAGGTTCCAAGGCTATTTTAGAAACCTGTTGTACCGAAATGTAGGGTAGACCTAGACTGTGAGAGAGATAGCAAAGGGCAGCAGGAAGTGGAGAACCTGCATTCCAGTGATGACTTGGGGGTGTGGTGGCAGTGCCACCAGGCTTTGGGAGCCATTGGCTACCCGGTGAGGGAATAGAAACTAGAGGATTGATTTCTGGCTAGCATGCCTGATGACACAATTGTCACTTGTGGGCGTGGCAGGGGGTGGGGGTAGACAGACAGACGGATGGACGGACAAGAGAAGGAGTTGACCTCTTTAGCCAGAATTCTTGGTTGAGTTGAGGCTAAGCAGGAGAGTGTGATGGTTGCCTTCGCAGAGCCCTGGGTCTTTGGACCTGAGAATCAGACAGGTTTTGGGCTGAGTTGTGTCCCTCCAGGGCTGATAGCATCCTCTGGTTTCCTCAGGAGCGCCTGGCTGTACTGGACAGTCAGGCTGGGCAGATCCGAGCCCAAGCAGTACAGGAGTCAGAGCGTCTGGCCCGGGACAAGAATGCCGCCCTGCAGCTACTGCAAAAGGTAACTGGCCTTAGGTTGGGAAAGAGAGATGGTGGGTGAGGGGAGATGAATACAGAGAGTTGGGATGGGATTGCCAGCACAGGAGCGGGTGTGGGTCCTCTCTCTTGCTCCCATGACTCTGACCCTGCTGTTCTGGCCTGCAGGAGAAGGAGAAACTGACAATTCTGGAAAGGAGATATCATTCACTTACAGGCGGCAGGCCTTTTCCGAAGACCACCTCTACCCTCAAAGAGGTAATGTGGCTAGGTTAGCCCCCTGCATTAGGCTTGGGGGATCTGAGAGACTCTGGAGCAAGGTATATCATCTTCATCCTGGGTGAATGAGTGCGGGGCACTTCCTGGAGAGATTTGAAGAAGATGGTCCTAGGGATTGATTGACCTTTTGGGTGGCTGGATATATGTGAGAGGCTCAAGTGCCCTAGGAAGTGTGGTGAAGAGCTCAGAATTTGGAAAGGTCCAGGACGTGTAGCCCACCCTTGAAGAGGAATATAAGGATCTAGGAGTCCTTACCCTGGGCGTCCTGGGCTTCTGTCTGAACCTAGGCTTTCACCTTGGAAGTGGGCCTTGAGTTGAATGGTTCTTTCACAAATCTTCACATCTGGGGTGGGAAATCCAATCAGGACATGACTGGTTTCCTGACATTTCTTTCCACTTCTTCTCTCATTGCCCAAATAACTTAGGTCCAGGGCAGGGAGGTGGGTTGAGCTGAGCATTAGGGTGAGGCTCCTCTCACCATGTGTCCTCTTGTAGGCTCAGCTACTCATCTCCGAGTCCTCAGAGATGGGGCTGGAGACCAAGCCTCTGGGCCCATCCCCAAGGTCTTCTCAGGCTGGTGCCTCCCCTGTTCCTTTAACCCCTCCTGCTTCCACTCAGCTCTGTCCCAAAGCACAAGAGGTAACCGCAGCTGACTGCCTGCTCCGCCCTCTGCCTGTCTGCTTGCTCACCAAATGCCTGCCTCCAGCTCCTCCCGGGGAGGGCGGAAGGGCATGTGGCATATCCTTTGGCTGGCAGTTTGAGAGTTTGTGTGAGTGTGCCATCATGTCATTTGTGGAGTGCCTGCCTAGGCAGCCCGTACAAAATGATAGCATTTGTTTGCATTTTAATTTGCTTGCAGTCTGCATGCCATTCTCTGTTGTTCACAACACACTGAACTCTCTGACTCATCTTCCTTTTCTTTGACTCCAGAAGATAGTCTGGCTCTGGGGCTAGATGGGGCACTCTTGGATAGACAGCCTGAGAATCCTGTGCTTTGGTGAAGCTCACTGTGGGTGATCAGCACCCACTTAATCTCAGGGCTTAAGGACAGGTGATGGAGTAGCATAGGCCCTGTCCTCCAACCCCAGTGAAGTGGGCTGACATCTCCCAAGTACTTACCCAGCCCATTTTCCTGCTGGAACAGAAGTTGCTCTCTGCTAATGCCAGGTCTGATTCTCAGAGCTTGTCTTGCTTAGGCCCTAGTGGTATCTCCAGTCCCCTGTTCTTATGAGTGGTCCTTGGGGACCTGTTCCCTTTCTGGGCAGTGCCATGACAAGTACTTAGTGCTGCATGTGTGTGCCCATCTGGGGATTCCCAGTGTGATAGAGGCCGATGGGGCTCTAGAAGCTGGGTCGTGCTTTTTACCAGGCTTTTAGAAGGCCTTCTCTGGGTGTCCTCACTTGTTCCCAGCCCACAGCCAATCCACAGATGGTTATGTTGGTTTTGCATGGGGCAGTGACTGAATGCTATGCTTGTTTCCAAGGTAGAGGTGGAGTAGAGCCTTTCACAGTCAGTTCTGCCTGCCCCTTTCAAGCCCACTTTCCCCAGTGGTTATGGCCATAGTTGGCTACTGAGTGCTCCATTCCACTATGATTCTGCATCGATGTGAAGTGATGAGTCTAGCCTGGCATGGAGTGTGGGGTGTTGAGTACTCAATTGAACCTGCTAACTTCTTCTCTGTCCCCCACCCGGGCACCCTAGGAGTATGTGAGCCTGGCTGAGGTTCTCCAGCTGCGCTTTCGCGTGGACCCCTATGCTTCTGCTACCTGCCCCAGCAGGCTCCCCCAGTCCCTGCCTGGCAATGAGGTATTAGCCACAGGGTGTGCCCATGTGTGCCCAAGGGCCTACATTGCCTCTCAGCCTGGGTGGGGGCCAGGGGAAAACAGGGTCTTCAGCGTGGCATTGAGGGTTGAACATGGTTCACTTTCTTCCATGGGAACTTGGGCGCTTCCCTCAGCACTTAATGGCCTAGGAGGGACAAACCCTGTCTCCTGATCTCCAAGGAGAGACTTTGCCAAGACGATGCGAGCACTCTCCCTGGGTTGGTCTTCCTCTGTGCTTCTGCGTCTTCCCTCCCCAGTGGTCAGGGCCGTGTCTTGGGTTCTACTCCCATTAACCTATTGTGTTCCCTCCTGTGGCTGGCCACCTCTCAAGTACGTGACGCTTGAGCAGCTTAAAGTGATGTGGGGCACCTCACCCACGCCCCCAACCCCTTCGCCAGGCCTGCTTTCCTGGGCTTCTGCCTCCCAGGACCTGGTTCCCATCACCTGTCTTCCTCCCATGCTGCCCTCTTCTTCCTTCGCTTCCATCAGGCCTTCATCTAAGGTTGGTGGTCTGTGTGTCCTTGCCACCCCCATTCCACGACTGGTGTGGACTGTGTGTGCGTTGCCCCTGTTCACTGGCCTCTGTGTTTTAAGCCAGCTGAGGGCCTAGGGCTATGCCTGATGCCTGCAGGTGCTGGCTGTTCAGCTGCTGACATAGCACAAGTCCATGCTCTGGCACTTGTGTGCCCTGACTGTTTCTCTTTGCTCTTAGCACAATCAGCGCCACTGTATCTCACTGTTTTTCTCTTCCTTCTCCTATGCTCTCTCTCCTCCCTCCCTCCCTCCCTCCCTCCCTCCCTCACACCTTCCTTCCCATTTCCCTGACATGGCTTCCCTTTACCTTCCCTCCTTCTTTTTCTTCTTCCTCTTCCCATCTCTCCCCTCCTGTCTTGGCCCTTTCCATCCTTGCCTTCCCCCCTGCCCCTCCAGATGGAGAAGCTGCTGCTCCCTGCTGTAGACTTAGAGCAGTGGTACCAGGAGCTGATGGCCGGGCTGGGGACTGGCCTCGCTGCAGCCTCCCCTCGCTCCTCTCCCCCGCCTCTGCCTGCCAAAGCCTCCCGGCAGCTGCAGGTAACCTTCACTGCCTGACTTCCCCAGGTCCTGTTCCTGTCTGGTCTGAGCACCTGCTGCCAACCCTTCAGGCACAATATATACCTTGGGTCAAGGGGTTACCTACCAGGGCAAGGAGGGGCCTGGAAGCCCGCAGAGGGCAAAGAGTCTTTTCCTGGGCAGCCATCTTGCCATCCTGGCACTTTGGGAAGCTGGGGATTCCGGCACCCTAGTCCGAGGGGATAGGGATTGCCTGACCATTGGAAGGGAGTTTTCTCCAGAGCTTCTCACTCAGACTGAGGCCTTGACATGCCCTTGGGCCTGCTACAGGCAAGACTGGTGTGACCTAGGGAAGCTGCCTGCATTTTGTTCTCCTGGTTCCCTCAGGGAGGTCCTACACTGGGAGGCAGGTTCTCTGAAGTGACAGCTGGAGGAAGTTAGGTGTGTGACCACCTTCCCGTCTGCATCTCCAGCAGCATGCTGGCGGTGGGAGGCGTAGATGCTTGTCTGTCTGCCAGCAGAGTTTGCTCCACTGCTAAGCCATGGTGCCTGTAATTCCCAACTCATTGTTCAGTGAAGGAGCTGTACCTCTGAGGCTGTGACCTCAAGCTAACATCCTGCTGTCCCTTCTGGAGGGTTTAATTCATGTAGCACATGGGGTACCTTTTGTTGGATACCCAGCTGGCTGGAGACTTTGACAACTTTTGATACATTGAATCCTTACCATAGGCCTTTGAGGTTAGATGGGGTTAGTGCTTGTTGTGTAGATCAAAGGTTGAAGCTTGGGGGAAAATAAAGTGATCTCACCATGGAGACCTGTCACTCCTGACTCCAAAGACCAGATTTGCTGCATGCATGTCAGCACTGCACTTCAAGGGAGTTAAGCCGTTACTTAGCCCAGCTCTGCTCTTTCCTTTACAGACAGAGAGTCCAGATGCAGGGCAGAGAGGTGTGTGGCTCAAGGCCACACAACCCGTTAATGGGCTCCACTCAGTCTCCTCCACAGCTGTCCAGCTGACACTAACCTCTTGCATGGGTCAGTTTATAGGTCCTTCATCAGATCCAGGGAGATTGGCTCAGGGAGGAAGGGCCTGGAAAGGAGACTGGGCAGTTGCCAGTAGCGTCTGCCCACTGTGCTGGCCCAGGAGTCTCAACCTTGTCTGATGGAGCCAGAAGGTCTCAGAGGTGCTGTGCCGGGGTAGTGCCTTGGATCACAGCTGATCTAGGTGCCATGATGTGGCAGCCAGTGGGGAAGCTGGGTGTTCACTGGGCAGTATCTTTCCCTTCCAGGTTTACCGCTCCAAGATGGATGGTGAGGCCACCAGCCCTCTGCCCCGGACCCGTAGTGGCCCTCTCCCCTCCTCCTCAGGCTCTTCATCATCCTCTTCACAGCTCAGCGTGGCAACCCTGGGTCGTAGTCCATCACCAAAGGTCTGAGGACATGTGTGGTGTTAGGGATGGAGACAGCCATGTTGGGCAGAGGCTTAGGCTGTCCATGAAGATGTTAGGGTGGGGTCTGCTGAGCCCCAGTCCTAGCAATCCTACATTCCCACCCCCCACCCCCCGCAGAGTGCCCTGCTTGCCCAGAATGGCACCAGCAGCCTTCCTCGCAACCTGGCAGCCACGCTGCAGGACATCGAGACCAAGCGCCAGCTGGCCCTACAGCAGAAGGGTAAGTAGCTGTAATGCCAACCTGCCCTTGCCTCCATTGCCTGGGCAGATCCTCTGTCACCTCGAGCATGCTCAGCCCACTCACAGATGTTTCCTGTCACTGGGATCTGGGCAAGAGCAGAAAAGAATCACATCTCATAAAGAAGGTCTTCCTGGGAGTTCTCAGAAGACCCCAGGACAGGGTCTGAGGGCTTGTGACATCTTAGAGGGCCCAGCCAATAAAGGGAAGTTTTTGTTGACCAAGTAGGGCAGACATTAGAAGCAGTGGGGTGGGTGTGATGATGACTTCCAGAAATGGTTCCCGGAGACACTGGCCCTTCAGACAGAAGTCCTGTAGCTGTGTGTCTCTCAGTTGTTTTGAAAGCCCATGCCTGTGCATCTCTCTCCTTTTATTCCCCTCTGTGTCTCTCTCCTGCACCCTCTGCCCTGGGCGCCCCCCCCACACCAGTCGAGTTACTTCCTGCCGAGCCCCTCCCACCCGACGAGCCAGCAGGTAGAGCATCCGTTACTGAGGACATTGCTTTGGCCAGGCAGCCCCTGTCCTGATGTTAGCATGATGTGGCCCGCCCAGGCTCTACGCCCCCCTGCACTACCTCTCCCCCAGGGCCTCACTGGGCTAGGGTGCCTGGCTGGCTTCCCTCCCTCCTTACCTCCCTATTGCCTTCAGCTGTGCTCTCCAGTCCCCTTGCCTTCCCCCTGCTCTGTGCTCTGGCTGCACTGTCCTCTGCATTGCTAGTGGCCCCCACTGTCTGTGGGGGGGTTCCCACCAGCTTCCCTCCTCCCTCCCCAGCAGACACGGTATGCATGTGCCCTGCTCCTCTATACAGGTCTCAGCTGAGAACTGGAACAGCTGTCTGGTGTGCTGCCTGGGCACCACCGGGCAGTTGTGGTGCCCTGTATGTGCTCAGGATGCAGCAAGAGGCCTAAAGTCAGACTGTAGATACTGGCCTATACAGCTACAGGGGCCACTGGCCTGGAGATGTGGGGGCTGTGGGGCAGGTGCTGCTCTGGGTTAGCCTCTTCCTGCTTGCCTGCTCTCTGCCTGTGATGTTCCAGTGTTCCCTCTCATGGTGAATGAGGAGCCCACTCTGAATCCCACTGTCCCCCCCCATGCAGGGCACCAGGTGATTGAGGAGCAGCGGCGGCGACTGGCTGAATTGAAGCAAAAAGCAGCAGCGGAGGCCCAGTGCCAGTGGGATGCCTTGCATGGTGCAACACCCTTTGCAGCAGGCTCCTCTGGCTTCCCTGCACTCATGCACCATTCCATCCTGCACCACCTGCCGGCTGGCAGGGAGCGTGGCGAGGAGGGAGAGCATGCTTATGACACCCTGAGCCTGGAGAGCTCAGACAGCATGGAGACCAGCATCTCTACAGGGGGCAACTCAGCGTGTTCCCCCGACAACATGTCCAGGTGCCTCCTACCTCCAGCGCTCGCTTGTGCCACATGCCCTTGGGCTCACTTGACAAGCCCTCTTGTCCCCTTCCCTCCCCCATTAGTGCCAGTGGTCTGGACATGGGCAAGATTGAGGAGATGGAGAAGATGCTAAAGGAAGCTCATGCAGAGAAGAGCCGGCTCATGGAGTCCAGGGTGAGGCTGAGTGGAGCCAGGAGGCAGCAGGTGGTGAGCACGGAGCTGCCTTCCGCCTGCTGGTACCTGCACTGTGCCCCGAGCCCTTCCACCACATTCACTAGACAGTGACAGTCTGCATTTCTCAGGTGTGGCATGGGAGGCTTGGGCAGGCTGCAGTGTCCCAACCCCGTGGAACACAAGGCGTTGTCACTGTGTCACCATGAGATCCCTAAAGGGGAACTTCATTCTCTCCCCCCCACCCTGTGGCCCTTGTGGGAACCTAAGAGGGGAACACTCTCCTTGGGGATGGGTAGGGAAAGAAAAGGAAAGTGAGCTACCTAAGTCAGGGCAGAGGTGTTGGCTGGGGAATCAGTCTCAAAAGAACCAAAAACAAAAGCTCTGTCAGTCTCTTAATTGAGATCCAGTAAATGGAACCAAGAAATCACAGGGGCTTTAAAAAAAAGGAGGAGGAACTTATTCTCTGAATGGGGGACCACTTAGAAAGGATGTCTCAGTGTTATTTACATCGAATTAAGGCACGTATAAAGCTCTCTTGGAGGGAAAGTTGGAGATTGTGCTAAGTCTTGAACTGTAACAACAACTAATACAAGGTTGTCTCTACTGATTAAGACATACAAAATTCAATTGTGACCTTAATCTCTACAGCCTTTTGCCCATGGAGTTTGAAATTCAACAATGAGTATTACATGTTGAATTGTTTTTATAATTTTTATTTATTTTTATTTTATGTGTTTCGCCTGCATTTATGTCTGTGTGAGGGTGTCTGGACTCCTGAAGTTACAGACAATTGTGAGCTGCCATGTGGGTGCTTGGAATTGAACCCAGGTCCTCTGGAAGAGCAGCCAGTGCTCTTAACCGCTGAGCCATCTCTCCAGTCCATACATGTAGAATTTTAAAGAACCTTATTAAGTTAGTGATTAGGAATGGACCGTATGTTCCAGCTGTCAGAAATGGTGGTTAACTAACACATGTTCTAGGAATTCAGATGAAACTGTAAGAGCCTGGGGCTGGAGAGATGGCTCAGCAGTTAAGATGACTTGTGGCTCTTGCAGAGGACCACAGTTGGCTCCCTAAAATTCACATCACACTTGCCTATGATGCAGATCCTAGGAATCTGACACCCTGTTGAAGCCCGTTTTTCTAATGAGATAGCTGAGGCTTAGAGAGTTTAAGGGATTTTGTAGAGTTGTGGGGTAGTGTGGTGACAGAAACAGTGATTGAAGTGTTTATCCTTAGCCAGGAGAGGGTGGCCTTTGAGAACATGCTTGCTCAGCCAGCAAGGTCCAGGGTTGGTGCCTCTGTAGCTCTGTCCAGGCTTGAGGGACTGACCCCTGGCTCTTTGGGCAGGAACGGGAAATGGAACTACGGAGGCAGGCCCTGGAGGAGGAGCGGAGGAGGCGGGAGCAGGTGGAAAGGAGGCTGCAGAGTGAGAGCGCCCGTAGGCAGCAGCTGGTGGAGAAGGAAGTCAAGCTCCGGGAGAAACAGTTTTCCCAGGTGAGTGGTTGGCTTGATGATGGCATGTGAAGCCGGACCCTCTGCTGGGCTGTGGAGTCTGTTCTCCAGAAAAGACAGCTGTGGGCTTAGAGCAGACAGCATTCTACCTGGGACTCAGTAGCCTTGAAAAGCAGACCTGCTAGGGTATGTTGAGGTATGTAGGCGTGTGCATGCGTGCGTTCGTGTGTGTATGTGTGTGTGTGTATGCGTGTGTGTGTGTGTATGTGTGTGTGTGTGCGCACGCACACGCACATGCATGCGTGTTGGAGTAGAGTGTGAAGCTGTCCCAGGCCTCCTGTGTATCTCTGGAATCAGATAGGATCTAAAGAAGAGCTCCTTTAGCAACTACTACAAAATCAATCAGAGAGACATCAAGCGGATTGCTAAGAACCAGGATGACTGCCTTGGCCTCTCCAGCCTTGCTGCACCTCCTACTACTGCCCATCTTAATGTGACACTCCTCTGTGTCTCAACCCTCTTCACCTCACAGGGCTTCACGGTCCATCGCCTGAGGACAGCCTTTTTCTAATGTTTAGTTTATGTCTCTGAGAGACACTGGCATCTCCTCAGGCAGCTCAAAACCAGACCTTACCTGGGAGATCTGAATAGGGGGAAGGAGAAAACATCTCCCAGTGTGCCTGCCTGGTCCCTGACCCTGTGAGAACTGTAAAACTCAGCCAGGCTTCTCCTTCTGACCAAGTCTCTATAGTCCTTCCTGTGCTGGGATCTCCTGGGACCAGCCTGCAGAGGTGACCAACAACCGTAGCGCCTGCCCTCATTTTTTGAGATGTGGCAACATGAAACTTTAGGGGCAGGACCCCAGACTGGGCTTTGACAGTTAAGAAACCTCCAGAAGCTAGGCATGGATGATGATGGTGTGTGCCTTTATAATCCCAGCACTCTGGAGACAGAGGCAGGTGGATCTCTGTGAGTTCTAGGACAGCCAGGGCTACAACTCATACCCTGTCTCGAAAAACCAACAAAATAAACCTCAAGAACGATAAAATCCTCTGTACAGTGATAAAGAAAGGAAGGAAGGAAGGAGGAAGAGAGGGAGGGAGGGAGGGAAGAAAGAAAGGAAGGAAGGAAGAAAGAAAAAAAGAAAGACCGCCTGCGGTGCTGGAGAAAGCTCAGTTGTTAAGAGCATTTGCTGCTATTGCAGAGCAAACAGGTTTTGGTTCCCAGCAACCACACAGCAGCTCACAAATAGCTGTAATTTTAGTTCTAGGGGAGCCTGGTGGCCCTCCTGGCCTCAAGGGGCAGGCACCTGTGTGGTACCCATGCATACAGTAGGTACAGACTGATACACATAAATAATAAGGAAGGAAGGAAGTATCAGGGACGCTGGAGTTTTTCCTCTGTTGTCTGATATTTGTCAGAGGACTCATCCCCCTTTCTGGTCCTGCCCCTACACCTCTCAGACCCCCTCCTCCAGCCTACATCTCTGAGGCCAGGGCCTGGTAGGAAAGGGAACCATCTTTGCATCTCTTGCAAGTTGTACATTTTGTGTTTTAAGTAATTTGTGACATTTCTCTGACTTGATTTTATTAGTTTAGTTTTTTGAGACACGGTTTCTCCGTGTAGCCCAAGCTGTCCTGGAACTCACTCTGTAGATCAGGCTGGTCTTGAACTCACAAGAGATCAGCCTGCCTCTGCTTCACTGCCCAGCAACATTTTAAGTTTTTTCTGGAAAAGCAAGAGTAGAAAAATATTCAGTTGGTGGAGAATTCTCATTAGTAAACAGATGAAGTAGACCTTAGTGATTGCCTAGTTTAAAGTCTTAATATTAAATATATGGAAACTAGAAGACTATAACACAAACAGATCACTGAGCAGATCTCTATTTTATTCATTTCTTTCTTTCCTTTTTTTTTTTTTAAAGTAGGTTCCCCTGCCTCTCTTTTAGTTCTATTATCTATTTAGTATATATATGGGGGGGTGTATACAAAGGTCAAAGGGTAACTTGAGAGTTTCTCTCCTACTGTGAGGGTCCCAGGAATTGAACTCAGGTCATCAATCTTGGCAGCAGGCTCCTTTACCCACCGAACTATCTTGTGGGCTCTGTTTATTTGTCTTTTGATGCTGGAGATTGAACCCTGGGCCTGAAAGTTCTAGGGTGGTGCTCCTCCACTAAACTCCATCCCACTCCTAGAGCACAGGTCCCCACAGGACTTGTCCCCAGAGTATGTTCACATGTGGCCCCTTGTTCACTCTGTCGGGAGGGAGAGGAGGGGCAAGAAGAAGACACAATGGCTGTGTCATTGTCATAGGTGGGAGAACTAAGGCAAGGAGCTGGTCAGCGTTTTGCTTGGACCTAGGTAGAGTCAGCACAGGCACGCCAGGTCTCCACGCTGGTCGCAAGCCCTGTGAAACCAGTGACAACCACAGGAGTCAAGGCGGGGCGATGTAAAGTTGTGGGAAGTTCAGGACTAAAGTAGAGGAACAAGAATGAAGGAACAATGAGAAATAACTGCCATCCCTGCCCTTTGTCTCCAGGCACGACCTCTTACACGCTATCTGCCCAACCGGAAGGAGGACTTTGACTTGAAGACCCACATAGAGTCCTCAGGCCATGGGGTAGACACCTGCCTACATGTGGTGCTTAGCAGCAAGGTACCAGCCCTTCTTGGCTCAGGCTGCGGGAGGAGGGGGGACGGCTGGGGAGGGGGACTTGGAATTGTGATCTCAGGCTGTTCCAGGATAGTTAGGACTGTCCCAGCACCTGGAGTGCCAGCCTGAGATGTTAGGATGGCCTCTGCCAGTGCACACAGAGGCAGTGGCCTGTACTAAAGGAACTGCTTGGGGAGAAAGGCTCGGGCTCCATATTTGTATAGTTCTTCAGTATTGCTTCTCCCCAGGTCTGCCGAGGCTACTTGATCAAGATGGGTGGCAAGATTAAATCATGGAAGAAGCGCTGGTTTGTCTTTGATCGGCTCAAGCGCACCCTTTCCTATTATGTGGGTGAGTTCCCACAGGCTGCCCTTGGGGCAGTCATGGCTGGGACCCCTGGGGTCCAACAGCTGGGTTGGCTGGTCTGTTAGAAGGAGGCCAAGCTTCCAAGTAGAGGCCCAGAGGCTCTGATGGGCTTTGAGTTCCCTCCCTTGAAAATGTACAGACTGTACCTGGTTCCCATCGATCCATCGATCCATCCATCCATCCATCCATCCATCCATCCATCCATCCATCCATCCAATCATGTATCATGAAGTTAGGCTCTGGTGACAAGATGCCCATGCTTTCTCCCTGGGTGCATACTGTCAGGAAGGCAGATGCCAAGCAGAGAGTTAAAGTAAATATAGGGAGTGGGTGTGCTGACAGGGAAACACCCAGACACTGGGTGTAACATTTGGACTGGGAACCGCCCCTTGGTCTCCCTTAGAAACTCCAGGATAATCAAGTAAGCAGTATCCAGGATTCTTGGGACCACCCAGGAACCAGGGACCTCTCTCTGCTCCTCCCTCCCTCACTGAGTCTCTGGCATAGACTCCTCCTATACTGGAATACTTGGTGCTATGTGGTCCTCTAGTGAGCAAAGGCTATATATACTGTGTGGTTATCATATGAGTCCCTTCCTGTGTACAACATTAGTTTGCTAGGCATTGTGAGCTGGTTGTCTCCGCTTCACAGTGAACCTTTCCAGAACATTGCTGGTCATATTAGCAGAGAGACAAGGGGTTTTACATTGACATAAGTGCCTCAGCTGGAAAGTAATATGCACCACATCTGCTTACCAGTCACTCAGCCCTACCACCTACAAAGCTGGAAGGGAAGGAGGGCTGCAGGATCAAGAATGCCCAGGCCCAGAGCCTTGCTTGCCCCCTCTCACCTTTTACCCACTTGGGGAGCAGTCCCTGATCACTCTGAGTCCTGGGTGTGGAGAGACAGGAGCCTAGGTGTAGCTAGGCTAGGACAGTAGAAGGACCTTGTCAGCCTGGGAAGCAGAGCTCCACTTCAGACATGATGAGGCTGAGGTGAATCCCGCTAGGTCCAGGGAAAGGCTAGGCTGTGAGGGAGACCCTAGTTGAATGTCTTGGAGGAATAGTTACAGCAGACGCAGTCCTGTTCATCAAACACTTGTATGATCAGTGCTCTGTATGCGTCCGCTCACCTTATTTTGCCAGAAGCACTACATTTACACCTACTTTATGTGTAAGGAAAATGGGGCTCAGAGAGCCTGATTGTCCAAGGTCTCACAGCAACCACGAGGCAGAGCAGAGGGAAGAGACAGCCACTTGTGGGGAAGAGGCAGGAAGACACAGACAGAGCAGAAGCAGAAGAGCAGGAAGCAGGGAGCTGGCTCTGACTTCGTGCCAGGTGCTAGGCTGGCACTTAGCAAATGTGATCTCGCTTCATGTCTATGAAACAAAAGGAGACCATGTTTAGGCGGGCAGAGGAAACAGAAGGAAGCTGGCCAAGGGAACAGACATTTGTAAACCCAAGGTGTTGCCAGCAATGATAGATATTGCCAAAAGGTCAAGAATGATGTGGCCCAAAGCCATTTGACTCCGACACTGAGATTTGTGGAAAGAAGACTTTCCACCACACAAGGAGGCAGAAGCCAAATTGCGCAAGACCAAGGATAGGTGGGTGGGACAGAAGTGTGGGCAGGAGCCTGTGACTATTTCCAGCAAAAGAAGGAGGGGGCGGCTGGAAGCTGGCCAGGTTTCTTATGTCGGAGGAGGAAATGTTAGACGGGCTTGCCTGTTGGGCCTGCACCCTCCTCCTTCCTATAGGAAATCACAACAGACTAACCTGGGTAAACCCCTGGATGCCCCACCTTATCTGGAGCGGTTCCCACCCTCTCCAACACTCCAGCAGCCATCCTTGTCTGCTGTGTGACATCAGCCCCGAGTGTAATGCTGTAGTGACAGATGTCGTGCTCTGTGCCAGACTCAGCTGGATGCTCTGTGCTCTCGCCGTTCACACGCTAACACCCTGAGATCTGGCCAGGCTCCCAGTCACATGGCAAGTGACTAGGTTGTGTGCCTGTACCTTCTCTCCGGGTTGTAGCTTCCTAGCAGAAGCGTTTGTGATTTCTTTCTAGATGCCAGTACCCAAGACTCAGTCATTCTTCAATGACTGAGCACGTGTTGTGTGCCTGGCTTCAGCACTCACTGATGGAGGACACAGGTGTAGAAAGCAGAGGTTCAGGTTCAGTGTGTCGTGCGTGCTGAGGATTCAGGTCTGCGTGTTCAAATGGTCTGCAGTGGCTCTTGAAGGTTGGTTAGGAGTTGGCCAAGGACTGGAGTGTGAAGAGGGGACAGCGAGCAGCACAACTGACTCCACAGAACTTAATGTGGCGGAGGCTGTGAGCCGAGCTGGAGGGATGCTTTGTCACCAGTCTGGGCCAAGACACACAAAAGAACTGTCAGAGAAGGCAGTGCCCTGAAACAGCAGGCTTGCTTCCAAAGCTCATCCTCAACATGGGGCAGAGGAGTGGCAGGGGCTGGAGGCTGCGACAGGACCTGAAATAATCTGGACTGTAGGAAGGGACCCATGGGAGGAGCTTTCCAATAGTCATCCTTCTGAGCTCAGTGATTAGCATTTTCATCTCCTACAGGACTGGTGCTGGTGGCTGAAGGTGTTGGATTGCCATCTGATCGGTGTTTTGTTGTTGTTGTTGTGTTTCGGTTTTTTTGTTTTGTTTGTGTCATGTAGCCCAGGTTGGCCTCAAGCTCACCGTGTGGTCAGAACTGGTCTTGAACTCTTCTTGCCTTGGTTTCTCAAATGCTGGGATTTTTAGCTGTGCACACATTCCAATGGGCATTCTTAGCCCCTTTTCATATACAAACAGTAGCAGCTAATACATTGTCCTGTTTGCCTTAAGGGATCTTAGCAGGCTTTCTGTTTCAAATGCATCTGCAACTGTATACTTAACACTATTTTGGATTTATTTATTTATAACACATTTTATGGATTTATTTTCGCACCTATACCTATATGGAATGTTTCTTGGGGCTGGAGAGATGGCCTAGTGGGTGGAGCGCTTATCACCCCAGCACAAGGACCTCAGGGCAAACTCTGTCTATGCCACGCACACCTGTTTCCCCAGACTGCAACAGTTAGAGACAGGAGGACTGGTAGGCTTTGCGGCTACCAACCCAACTCCAGGTTCAATGAGAGGCCATGTCTCAAGGGAATATGGTAGAGAGTGGCATCCTTCTCCGGCCTCTGGAGTATACACGGGCACACACATCGTCACACATGTTGCTATGCAACACACACAAATTCTGTATCCTATATAAGAGCGGGGATGTAATATTCCACCATGTAATACACTCTGATTTGTTAACCCATCTCCACTTGAGGGGTAGTTAGTGTGTTTGTAAAAAGCTGCCAGGCAGTGGTGGTGCACACCTCTGATCTCAGCATTCAGGCAGAGAGAGGCAGGTAGATCTCTGTGAGTTAGAGCCAACCTGATCTACAAAGTAAGTTCCAGGACAGCCAGGACTACATAGAGAAACTCTTGTCTTGAAAAACAAAACAAAAGGCCTTGATGACTATTATAAAATCTGTTATTTTATGTAAGTTATTTTTTGCTGTTACTTGTTTATTGAAGGGTCTCACTATATAGCTCTGTCTGTCCTGGAACTTATTGGGTAGATCAGGCTGGCCTCAAACTCAAAGAGTTCATTTGCCTCTGCCTCCTGGGTGCTGAGATCAAGGTCTTTCTAGTTTATTATTTGTATTTATTTTAAAATGTAATTATTACTTTAAAGGATTTTTTTTGGCGGGGGGTTGGTTTTTCAAGACAGGGTTTCTCTGCATAGTCCTGGCTGTCCTTGAACTTGCTCTGGAGACCAGAGGCCTCACAGAGATCCACCTGCCTCTGCCTCTCAAGTGCTGAGATTAAAGTCCTGTGCCACCACCGAGCAGCATTTTAGAGATTATTATTTTATGCTGACCTGGAACTCAGTCATTCGGCCTTGGCCTAGCAAATTGCTAGGATTCCAAGTGCCCTGCTTTGGAGTGATGTGGTCAGATTAGCCATGTTTGCTCTCAACCTGTCAATTGCCCTGACACTTCTTGTCAGAGGTGTGATTTTTGTCTTCTGGTCAATCACACCTCAGCAGAGTTCTGGTTTACATTACCCATGTCTTAAGGTTCCGTATTTTGGACTCGGTTTGGAGTTGTAGAAGCCAAGACTGAATGCCATTCCCCAGCTGAGGAAGTGAGCCCAGACTCCACACTCTGTCCACTCAATCCAGCCCTCATTCCTTTGCAGACAAACATGAAACAAAGCTGAAGGGGGTCATCTACTTCCAGGCCATCGAGGAAGTGTACTATGACCATCTGCGCAGCGCAGCCAAGGTGAGACAGCGAGGACCAGAGCCAGACTGCAGGGATGGCCACCAGGAAGGGTGTTGCAGTGGTGTTCTGGGCACAAGGCCTTGCCTGTCCTCTGCCCAGGCTCCGCTTCACCCTCACTCTCTTTACCAGTCTTCTCTTCCTTTCTTCCTCTCCTCCTCCCAGAAAAGGTTTTTCCACTTCACTATGGTGACTGAGGTACCCTGCCAATGCCTGTGACTAGAACTGCTCATATTAACAGCTCCTGTGTCCAGGGCCCCTGACCCCTGACTTCCTTTTCCATTCCTCTAACTTGCTCCAGGCCAGAGAGAGGAGGAAGCAAGGAGCTCCTGTGCCTTGAAGCCCGCTTGTTGCCTTCCTCTCTGGCCTTAGTGTAGCCCTGAGGGCGTGGGCGTGCAGCCAGGAGGGATGGAGGGGTAGGTGGGAGGCGTGCAGCACTAGATTGGAGATGAAGGATTGTTAAAGGGATTGTCACAGGCTGAGCTAGTTAGCCGCATGCAAGTTGCTCTGTCTCTTGCCAGCCCTCAGACCCCACCTAACCTTTACCTCTGCTCACCTGGGATCTGGATCAGCCTCCTACTTACAACCTTTTCCTGCCGATTTTTGGCTTAGAAAAGAATCGGGTTCTCACAGATTCTCTTGTAATAATTTTGGAACTGAGGTATGCACCCCTGTTGGGGTTGTAAGAGTTTAGTGAGCCTAATACTGCCATGTGTTAGGACAAAAAAACCTGTGGACCCCTGGGGACTAGGCTTTGGCCTTAGGCCAGATGGTGATGCACACCTTTAATCCCAGCACTTGGGAGGCAGGGACAGGTAGGTTTCTCTGAGTCTAAGGCCAGACTGGTCTCCAGAATGAGTTCCAGGACAGCCAGGGCTACACACAAACCCTGTCTTGAAACCTTTCCCAAGATGAAATCTTAAATCTGGGGCTTCCTGGGACTTTGAGGAGAAAGGCAGACAAGAGGCAGGTGAACAAGCTCAGGACATGGAGCTCCACCTTAGCACTTCCTGTCTTGCCTTGGCAGAGTCCGAATCCAGCCCTCACCTTCTGCGTGAAGACCCATGACCGGCTATACTACATGGTGGCCCCATCTGCAGAGGCCATGCGCATCTGGATGGATGTCATTGTCACAGGAGCTGAGGGCTACACTCAGTTCATGAACTAACTACTACGCACCTCCTGGGTCCCCAGGTCAGCCCCAGGATCTATGCCCTGCCACTTGCTGCTTAGCTTGTCCCTGGAGACAGCAGCACACTGGGCACTGGGCCACAAAGGATGCGGATGTAGTCGAGTACCCCCAGGGCTTTTGTGCAAGAAGGCAAATTGTTTTATGAAGAGTTAGGTGCTTGAGGGTTGGGCTTGGGTCCCTAAGGGGCGAGCAGAGAGGAAAGGGAGAGGCTTTGTTGCCTCTTGGGAGCCCAGAAGCTCAGGGTTCCCTACTGGGTCTGGCAGGCCTGAAGAGGTGCCCCAGAGCTGGGCTCTCAACTCTGTCCTGGCACCTGCTCACCCCAGCTTGTTTTCTCTTTGTAAAGGACAAATTATGGTACCAGAATCTGCCAAAGATCCCCTTTTCATCTTACCCCCTGTGCAGGGGCCTGGGGGCTACTGAGCAGAGCCATGTATAGAGTTGGGGAACAGCTCAGGTCTGTACTTGCCAAGCCCGCTCTGCCTCCTCATTCTCCCATATCCTTACTCTTCACTACTTTACCCAAGGACCAGAGACCTCAAGTGTCATCCTTGAGGTCCAGCCCCATCTTCCTGTTGCAAACCCATCACCATGGTCTCCATGGTGACTGCTTCATCACCATGGTTACACACTAATTGCCATGGCCACTCTGTGGCTCAGCCCACTGCTTCAGCTATGGGCCAAGTGAAGGTACGTGCCATCGTCTCTCCAACCCAGGCCTGGGGGCATGTCACCTGGCAGGAGGAAGTACCACCTTCCCGGCCGGGGAAGTGTCTCCAGCCCCCAGTCCAGCCCTCTCCCTTCCACTGTGCCTTGCTTAGAGCCAGAAGGGACGGTGTTTGGGGGTCCAAGTCCGCAGGAGCCGCAGCAGCATTGAAGGGAGAGGAAGCTAAGAGTCTGTCCTCCCTTTCTGACAGGACAGGTTCCCAGTAAGGAAGGCGGGTAGCTCAGGGCACCCAGAAGGACGCCTGAGCTGTGGGTGAGGAGGGTGGACACAGAGGCCCTGAGCTGCGGTGCTCTGCCTTCGGTTTCCCAAGGGTGACAGAGAGTGGAGGGTCAAGTCTCCAGCTGGCTGGCTTCAGCCTTTGCGCCTTAACACTAAGCCACCTTCCCTGTCTTCCCCAGCACTGGACCCTGGGTTGCTGGGCCTGGCTGGGTGTTTTGCAGTATTTGTAAACACTTCAGCAGAACAATAATAAAAGCATTTTGACTATGTACATGTGGTGGAAATCCAGGTTGTATGTGGCACCAGTTAGGGTACTTCAGCCATTTGGATCCCGTTTTCCCAAGAGTAGGGCTTTCCACCCTAGTGAAGGTTACAGGAGGAAATCCAGTTCCCAGTCTTGACCTCCTGGTCCCTTCCTGCCCCAGGGCACCATGAACAGGACAGCTGGGAGGTGGGAGCTTGAGGCAGGAGGAGGAAGGGGTGGAGCCAGAGGAGGAAGCGCACGTGAGGCCTTTTCTATCCTTGCAGTCACTGTAGCAGAAGGCTGATAAGAAGCACAGCCACTAGGCAGTGGAGTCCTGGGGAAGCTAACTGGGACCCTGAAGTCAGCTGGTCACCATAGCGATCCAGAAGCATCAGGGCCAGTCCGTTGGTCCAACCAAATCCTTCCTGGAGAGAGGCCAGATCCCTGAGGACCCCAAGCCCTGTTTGGGGATCCCCTGGCCCCAGGAGCACCAGTGATTACCACTCAGCATCTTCCCTTTTAGGCCCACTTACTGGGCATCTCAGACCTAAGTGGGGCATATTGTTCTGGGGACGGCTGATCCCAGGAGTTGCCTATTACAGTGTGTTGGCCAGCTCACCCTAGCTTGCTCACCTGAACTTCATACTCCCCTCCTCCACCTGGATGTCCACCGTTGCTGATGTCATACTAGGAACAAAAGCATGAGTTGTGGTGGGTACTGCCAGTAAGCCAACCACCCTAGCTATAGGGGCCACAGCCACTGAAGGAACAGATAGATGTACCAGGCTGCTGCTCAGGCTCCTGCAGTATCCAAGAATGGCCACTAGAGGCTGCACTGTACTGGCTGTGCTGTCTCAGGCCTGGCAACGCCTGCCACATGCCCCACTTCAACCATGGAAGATCCCGGATGAAACAGCCCAGCCAGCTGCTCACCTTCTCAAACATTGCTGACGTTTGGGAGTAGACTTTGAAGTTGGTTCTGATCCAATTCTGGGCCAGCTGGAAAGCCACCTCCTGAGTCCGAGGGGAAGCTGACTTGGCCAAACCTAAGACCCCACCCCAGATAAGGTCTGAATATTCAGAGACCCCATCCTGGATAGAACAGAAGCCTGGGCCCTTCCCCAAGGCAGGAAGGGGGTCAGGTCTTCAGATCTCGTTTCTGGACCTGGACTGGAGGGAAGGAGAGGCGGGCTGGGTCTATCAGCCGCCTGCTTTCCTACCTCTGATGACCAGGTCCTGCAGGGGGGCCCAGGCATTGGGCAAGTCCCATTGCTGGCCTGTGTTTCGAAGAGAGGTTGGGATCCCATACTGGTAGGTCAAGATGTGGTTGTCCTAGAAGGTTCCGGACATTGGTGTGACTGTGGGTGGCGGCTGAAGCCAGAGCCAAGGACACTGGGCCCTCAGGGAAGGCAGATCTGCCCCTCCTGACCCTTCACTTCCTGCCCAGGGCCGCTCCTCTGCTCCCAGGGACCTCAGCAAGACTTGCAGGCTAAGACAAGCTCTGCCAGCAGGGAAGGGAGGGCCCTGCCTCCTGGACGCCAGCCCCACCCACTGTCCTCTCACCTCCAAGTATTTCAGAGCCTTGTCAATGATGCTGGGGTCTGAGAAGCAGCCAGCCCAGAGCGGGGCGAGGTTGGAGGGATAAAACTCCAGGTTCTTCCTCCCTTTTTCCAAGTCATAGTCGAACCAGGCTCCCTTCTGCTCGTCCCACAGGACGGCCTCCATGGCAGCCAAGCGCTGGGACCTCAAGTTTCTGTACTTTGTGGCTTCGGTGTCATTCCCTGTGTGGCATTGCCTTTAGTTTTTACCAGGAAGGACACTGGGCACTGCCCTTGCGTCCCTGGCTTTAGAGATCTTTGATTTTCCCTTTCCATGTGTGCTGCCCACACAGGCTAAGAATCCTAAGGACAAGGACCATGATTCCCCAGGGCCCTCTAGAATCCATGGCTCCTTGAACTAATGACTCTACCCAGCTCACAGGGACTTGCGGGCCTGTCTCCTGAGTTCATCTTTCTGACCCTTGCTCAGAGGGAGCTAAGGAAAGCTTTGGGGGATGGACAGAGAGCTGATAGATGCTCCAGAGTGTCCCCTCACAGGCCCTAGAGTCCTCATGGAACACAAGGGGCAGTGGTATGAAGATAAGGGTGGACTCATTTTCTTTGTTAGAGTCAATGCCTCTAACAAAGTGAAGACTTGAGCTAGCTGGGGAGCCCGCCCTGGACGGTCTTCTCTCACGGGGCACTCACCTAATCTAGAGTAGAAGTTACTCATCAACCCTTCTGCTTGGCACAGGAAAGCGTTCAGGTCAACAGGCACCATTTTGCTGGTTCGGATGCTGCTAAGCAAATCAGGCTTTGGGCCTCCGACAAGCCAGCGTGACGAGAAGTCCCAACCAGACTCAGCCCCAGCCTTGAGCTCAGTCCACAGAGCCTCTCGGTCCCCTGTATGGACAGAACAGCAGCCACGGACCAGAACTGACTAGAGGGGCAAGCCGCCACAGATCAAACCCAGAAATGCACAGAGGCTCAGGACCGTCCCATCGGTCCTTCCCCCAGATCCTGCTTACCTTCTGGCACAGTGTTTGCCAAGTCTGCATCCTTGCTGTAGGACTCTGGCCTAGCAAAGGGAAGGACACCAGTGTGACATCAGTAGACACTAAGCCACTCTGCTCAACTGGAAGGCTCAGTCATCTTGCCCCAGCCCCCCATCCTGTCCCTCCATCCCCGACACACACAGCATAAGGGGCCTGAGGCTCTCAGGGTCACACTGATATGTTGTCACCCCCACTCTAGGTCATAGAGACGCTCACATCAGAGTGAGCAGACAAGGGACTAATGGCAGGCCAGTTTCTCACCTGGGTCCCCCATAAGGGACATAGTAACGGTTCAAGTTATAGCTTCGTCCTCCTGAGTTCACAGTGATAGTTCTGTTCACAGTCCAGAAGTCCAATTCGGAGGCTAGAGTTTCAATGTTCTGCCTGGGGTGAGACAAGCAACACCTCAGACCACGTACATAGCCACTGCCCTTGGCCCTGGGGAGTCTCCATCATAGGATGTGCCTGAAGGCCAGCATGGGCAGGGTACCCACTGTAGGAAGCTGACATCCTTGGTGTGAGTTACATATAAATCCATCATGAGAGTCAGGAGTGGGGGTTGGCTCCGTTGCAGGTAATACACGCGTCCACCATTAGGGATGTGACCATAGCTGCCAAGAGGGGCTCTGCTTAGATACTCCCTGGCCCACCACCAAGGCAAGCCCAGCTCCCTGCCTCTGATCTTTCTTACGTCTCCACCAGATCCAGAAAGTTCTGTAGCATGCCCTTCACTGTTGAGACCATCTCAGAGAGAAGCAAACCTTCCATCACCCAGTAGGAGTCCCTGGCAGAAGGAATAGGCACATGTCATCTTTTGCCCTGCACCCCCATGTTACAGGGTGCTGGCCCTGGGTTCCCCATCACAACTGCTGGCCTCTGTGAGCCCCTAGCCTCCCAGACGTGGACACTCACCAGTAGTAGAACTCGACAAAACGCCCTCCGGGCACGATGAAAGGGTGTTTTGAGTAGATCAGGGAGAACCTCTCAGGGTGGCTGAGAACCTCCAGTTTCATCTGGAGTCAAGAAAGAGGGCACAGGGGAGCCTAGCATCAGCCGAGGGTGGGGGCAGGGGGGCTGGTTCCATTGCTCCTTCTGTTTTGCTGTCTTGTCCAGCTTCTAAGAGTCTTAGTGTCCTGCCAGCCTCAGGGGTCCTGGCTCAACTTGGTGGTATGCTGAAGCATGGACCACTCAGCATGGAATCAGATAGGCAGCCACTGGCAGTATCCAGTGTTGTGACCCAGATGAGGCTGAGTGGATGAGGCAAGGCTATAGAAGCCAAAGAAGTGAAGCACTCTTCCAGTCCCCCTTCCAGAATGATGAAACCCATGCTCTTTCCCAGGGGCAGTTGAGGAGATCGGGAGGCAGTGAGGACTGGCATGAGGCCCCTTGGGTCCTTCTTCGACCCGTTCCTGCCAAGTGTAAGTGTGTTAGCAGGGAGCTCAACCAGTCTCAATCATGTCAGCAAACAGCAGAATGGGGAACAGGTGTGGATCTACTGGACTGGCTGGTCCTGGCCAACCTTAGGGCAGACCACCAGGCAGGCAAGAGAAGTCCCTCAGCTGAACGCACACTGGCCACATGCAACCAACATGATTGAGGCTGCTCCTAAACTCAGGAAGGGAGAGAGGCAGAGGACAAGACCCTTTGCCATGCTCCTCCAGGCTACAGAGGGCAGCATTGGGTAGCCTGCAGGTCTCAGGGCTCGTTTGCATGGGTGGCTCCCTGGAAGATGTAAGGGGTTAGGTGCAGATGTCCCCTTTGTGTTTTCTAGGTTTCTATTTAGGGATGAGGGGTGTGGGCTGTGTTCTTAGGAAATATCTGTGCTGTCAGGCACTGTGGGTCAACAGGTGCAGCTCTGTCCCATGCCTGGAGCACTCAGCCAGGCCATGAAGCAGGCCCAGGCCACTGCTACCTTCTTCCCCAGCTTTTTCCAGATCTGGTGCAGTTGCTCCGCCCAGGCACGCAGCTTGGCATCTGAGATCTTCTGCAGGAACTGAGGGCTAGAAGAGATGACCCCACAAGGTTCGTGGAGGCAGCCCCAAGAAAGGGACCCTGCCCTTTCTTCTATCCAAAGTGTCACCTGTCTTTCCAGTCCTCGGGGACCCAGGGCTCCAGCTCCTGCCCCACAGGCTGGAAGTGCCTCTGAACAAACTCCTGAAGCTGTCCCCTGGGGATGCTGCTATTGTGTGTCAGGGCCAGCTTGCTGAAACTCTGCAGGACTTCATCTGATGAACAGGTGACATCAAGGGATCAGCGCGGTACCCTGAGACATACCTTGACCAGGGAAGCCCATGCTGCTCACACATCTGCCTACTTTGGGAAGAAGGTCAGCAGAAGGCAAGATAATTTTACCTGGAGATGTGGCCAGTGACATATCCACAAACTGCTTGTCGTCTTGGTAGAGCTTAGCCATCTGAATTTGGTGCAAGAGCTCCCCATGGCAGTAAATCTGGCTGCAGACAGTAGGGTAGCAGAGATCAGTAGATGGGGCTGGAGTATGGGACAGACAACAACTTCTTCATGCGGCTCTGGATGTCTTGGAGTTAGATATGTAGACCAGGCTGGCCTCGAACTCAGAGATCTGCCTGCCTCTGCCCCCGAGTGCCAGGATTAAAGCCATGGGTCCCTAAGCCTGACTGTGGAAACACCTTAATAAATCTTTCCCAAGATGCATGTGGTGACACATGTCTTAAATCCCAGAACTCGGGAGGCAGAAGCAGGCAGATCTCTGAGTTCCAGGCCAGCCTGGTCTACAGAGAGTTCCAGAACAGCCAAGCTCCCGAGAGAAACCCTGTGAGAAAGGAGGAGGCACTACCCCTCAAAACTTTCTATGATACAATCATTTGTTCCAGGATACACAGCTTGGAATTTCAGGAGGTGCCTATTTCATCTATGGGCAAGGAACTTCCTTTCCCCAGGGTCATCTCTAGACATCCCTGGAGAAGTTTAGTCCTATGAACAATTTCTATGACCCACAAAAGTTTACTGGGCTTAGAGGTGTTCACAGGGTTCCTCTGGAAGGCCATATCCTATGCTGATAAGTAAGTGGTTTGGGAGAAGGTAAGAACAGTTACTGGTATGGTCTGTGCTGTTGGCCTCATGATAATAGCAAAATCAAATGATAAAAGTCCATATAGCTGGGCAGTGGTGGTACACACCTTTGATCCCAGCACACAGGAGGCAGAGGCAGGCAGATCTCTGTGAGTTCGAGGCCAGCCTGGTCTATAAAAGCTAGTTCCAGGACAGCCTCCAAAGCCTCTTTAAAAAAAAAAAAAAAAAAAAAAAAAGGCCCTATAGCTAAAAGGAAGACACTAGCCATCAGTCTCTGGTCTCACACACATCTACATGCAGAGAGGTATGTAAACACACACACACACACAATTTTTTCTTCCTTTCTTTCTTTCTTCCTTTTAAATCTTTTCTTTTTTGCTTTTTCCAGACAGGGTTTCTCTGTGTAACAAACCTGGCTGTCCTGAAACTCACTTTGTAAGACCAGGCTGGCCTCAAACTCACAGAGATCCACCACCAGCCTTTGCCTCCCTAGTGCTGGGACTAAAGCTATGTACCACCACTGCCCAGCTATAATTTTTCTTTTAAAAAGTCTTTACAGGTAGTTTTTAATGATTCGTGGCTGGCAGATGGGCAGTGACAAACTGAACTATTTTTTTTTTTAATATGGAAAACATTTAATTCAAACTGAACTATTAAATCCCTTTCCAGTAATCACTGTAGATATTAAAGGGGGTCATGAAAGCAGCTGTTCAGACTTGTATGCAAATGAAAATGCTCAAAACTACAAAGGGCTGCTTTGGGGCAGAAAGTAAGTGCTGTGCCAGCACAGAACGCTAGGGTATGTTTCTTGTCACTATTTGTGGTGGCTTACACCTGCAAAGCCAGCACTGAGGCAGGAGGACAGATGAAAGTCTGAGGTCCCCCCCCCCAGGTTACAGAGTGACACTGGAAAGGAAGGGAAGGAGGGAGGGAGAGGGGCGGAGGGGCTGGAGAGATGGATCAGCAGTTACAAGCACGTTCTGGTGATGCTGAGGTCTTGAATTCACTTCCCAGTGTCCTTTGCAGGCAGCTCACAGCCTCTGGTAACCCAGGGGATCTGATGGCCTCTTCTGACTTCTAAGGGCACTGCACTCACATTCACATATACATAGAATTCTTCAGTTAAAAAAAGAGAAGAAGAAAGGGAGAGGTGTGGGGAAGGATACAAACCCCAGAGGCCACCAGCGGGACAAGTGATAGCACATCAAATGGACATCCTGGGAATTGCACCCGAGTTCTCTGGCTTAACTAAAGAGCCTCCTCTCTAGTTTCTTGTTATTGTCTGTGCTTAGTTTTGAAACAGGTCTCACTATGCAAACTAGGCTGGCCTTGAACTCACAAAGACCCACCTGCCTCTGCCTTTTTGTTTTTTATGAGATGGGTTGTTACAGTGCAGCTCAGGCTGGCCTCAAATTCTAGATCCTCTTGCCTGAGCCTCCTGGGTGCGGAGATTTACAAATGTGTGCCACCAAGCTCGCTCAGCCTGGACTTAATGAGAAGTATCAATTAGTATTAATTAGAGCAAGCAGATCTCTCCCAGGAGGGGGCAGAGGTTGAAAAAGTAAAGAGGAGGATAAGGTCAAGTCCATGAATAATGCTAGATAATGCCAGGGTCCAACCCTGGGGATGGGCAGTAGTGCACTGCCCCAACAGGACCTCGTGCTTATTTAATGAATATTGATGACGGAGACTTACTCCCAGAGCAGAAGACACACCCGTTGGGACACTAGGAAGGGATAGAAGGGATAGCTACTCTTTTTTGTTGTTGCTGCTGTTTTTGGCTTTTTGTTTTTTGAGATAGGGTTTCTCTGTGGCTTTGGAAGCTGTCCCCACTGTTTAGGGCGAAGTCTAATAATAAGACTACCCTGGTTTCAGATGCTGGTTATAAATTTGAGGGCCCTCAGGCTGCTGATAGTTTGAAGCAACTAGTTACAAACTGCTGTCCCGTGGGGATTTTACATGAAGGCTGATGGTCACAGCTTCATTTCCTGCTTGGGGACAACCGCACTGGCCCCTGGCACTCGTAGCCCAGTCCTGCTGCTGGGACCATGGCATCAGGTAAGAGTGAGCAAGCTCAGGTGACAAGAAGACAACAGCTGTACTGTTCCCTTCCCCCACAAGAAGGACTGGCTCGTCAGGATGCTGAGTCCTCAGTTCCTATACTCCAAGTCACCCAGAAAAGCTAACAGACCGTCCCTCAGAGCTCCTGGAACCTGAGTGTGAGCACACGCGTGTGAAGGTGTGCCTGTTCTAATTCCTTCTTCATTCCGGGTCTTATGCATCCTGGAGTGGCCGTAGGGTAGATATGGAATCAAGGGTGACCTTGATCTTCTGATCCTCCTGCCTCCACTTCCGGAGTTATGGGATTATAGGAATGGACCAGCCTGCCCCGTTTGTTCAGTGCTAGAGATTAACTTCCTGCATGATAGACAGGCGTTCTACCAACTGTGCTGTGCCCTCAAACCTTGAAGGGGAATATAATTATCTTTCCATTATCTTTCTGCCTGACCACTAAGAACCAAGCCATTAGCCCCTGCTGAAGAGTTTGTGAAAACCAAACTCAACGGCAAAGAGTCTTCAATTCAGCCCATGGAGTTGATTTTTTATTTCCTTGAATCAAAACAGCATGTTCCATGTTCACCTTGGAATAGACTTTCATAAAACAGTGGGTCCATTGAGGGAGTCCAGAGGGCACAGACCTGCCTCTGATAGCATCATTCTAACATTTCCCAGGATGCCATAGTCTTTCAGGTGTTCGCAATATCTCATTCCCTTTAGTTTTAGGGGAAATATCAACTAATATCTGATAGTAAGCTCCTAATTACCTCACCAGCTAGAAATTCTCCAGTCCAAAGTATCAGCAATTGTGCTGGGAAGGTGTCAAAGGCCGCCATGCCAAGATCCGATCTTTGCCCCACAGGAGGTGAACAATCCCTTTGGAAGTGGTGGTGCAAGCCTATAATCCCATTCTCAACTGGGTGAGGCAGGAGGATTGAGAGTAGGAAATCAGTCTGGGCAACACAGTGAGAGTCAATGAGCCATCTCACCAGCCCTAGTTTAGTTTTTGAGACAGAGTCTCATGTAGCCTAAGGTGGCCTCCCACTTGAGATATTGCTAAGGATGATGTTCAGGCTGATTTTGGATTTGTAATTCTCCTGCCTCCACCTCTAGAGTACTGGGATTAGAGGTAGGTGTCACCCTGCTTTGCTTGAACAGTGTTGGGATCAAACCAGAACTTCACTCATGCTAGGGCAGGCTCTTCACCAGCTAAGCTACATCCCATGTCCTGCTTATGTATTTATAGTCTTATTTTTTAAAGATTTTTTTAAAGCCAGGCAGTGGTGGCACACACTTTTAATCGCAGAACAAGAGAGGCAGAGACAGGCGAATCTCTGTGAGTTCCAGGTCAATGTGATCTACAGAACAAGTTCCAGGACAGCCAGCGCTACACAGAGAAACCTGTCTCAAAAAATTAAAAAAAAAAATATGCACATACACATGGCAGTGGGTACCCAAGGCATCAGAGAGGGCATTGGATCACGTGGAGATGGAGTTACAGGCAGGTGTGAGCTGCCAGGTGTGGGTGCTGGGAACTGGACTCCAACCCTCTGGATTGGTGTTAAACGCTAAGCTATCTCTCTAGACCCTGCTTTTTCTTATCGGTGTCCTTTGCCTCATGTACCAGAGAGTCAGTTCCCTGGGAATTGATTCCATCATCTCAAAATTCTACCACTAACTTACCATAACACAACTATTCTGTTCGCTTGTTTTCTGGTTTGTTTGCTTGTGAGACAGTTCTCTCTTTGTAACTTTGGCTATTCTGGAACACACTATGTAGACCAGGCTGACCTGGAACTCACAGAGACCCACCTGCCTGTCCCTCTTGAGTAGTGGAATTAAAGGTGTGCACCATAATTGGCACAATTATTCTTCAGTTCCAAAGGGAGCCTGTGGTCACCCAAGAATGAAAACTTCCTCATCTCTGACTCATATTTTACGTATGAGTACTCTTCATGTACTATTATAGATGGTTGTGAGCCACCATGTGGTTGCTGGGAATTGAACTCAGGACCTCTGGAAGGGCAGTCAGTGCTCTTAATGGCTGAGCCATCTCTCCAGACCATCACCTGACCATTTGCCCTTCCTTTTTCCAAACAGTCCCCTAAGGAGTTGGTGCCATTCTCCTAAACCATACACCAACACCAACTGAAATCTGTTCTGGGGTGGGCCATCTAGAGATCAGATTCCACACACTTTAAGGGGACGGCCCTTCTTTTATGAAGGGGGTAGCCATAGGCTTAGGGGTCCTCATGCCACCTGCACTTCTGGCCAACTGTGCATAAATGTGGAGCTTCCATGGCCCCCTCAGATTCCATTACTTATAATCCAGGAAAGTGCTATGTCTGTGATCATAGTTTGCTTTTGTTTTAGTTTTTTGTGACAGGGTTTCTCTGTGTAGTCCTGGATGTCCTGGAACTCACTATGTAGACCAGGCTGGCCTCAAACTCAGATTCCTGAGTGCTGGGGTTAAAGGTGTGCACCACCATCACCCACCTGATTATTCCTGAAAATCAGGATGAGCCAAACAAAGACACACAGGAAAGTTCGGGGAGATGCCTGACTCCTGTGACGTTCATGATGCTTCCTCTGCTCTCCCAACTCACTGGTGTGTCTCCAACCAGTCTCACCAGAGTCTGGGATTCAGAGTCTGGGTCAGTGTCTCATTACAAAGAGCACAAGTAACTGAATCACTGGTCATGTGATTGAATGCTATCAGGAACCTTCCTCTTCCTAAAACTCAAACGATATCCTGTGACCCAAAGGTCCAAGTCTCTAAACATATTCTTGTGTTTCTGGAGTGGCTGTCCCCATCCAGAGTCATCCTAGAAGCATGAACTGCCTGGGCACATGCCACAAGTCACCTTATTTTCATAAGTCGTGAAGGCCAACGATAAGCAACAAAGACAGTCTTATCATGTGAGAAATTGCAAGAGCTTAGAGATAGCCTGCCAGGAAGCCAAGAGGAAGACCCTTCAGACCGTTCATCACACAGCAGAAAAGCTCTGACTGCGCAAGAGGCTGAGTCCCCACCTGCGCATCACCAAGTCCCCAAGCCACCGGAGAGAACAGGGCTAAGACACCAGAATGTGCTGCAGGGTGAGTGTTTACCTGGGACTTGGAGCACACTGGCTGTCTTAGACTAATGCTGTGATTTATGGTGGGGGCAACAGGCAACACAATACCAGTCTAACCTTTGAAGACCTGGAGAGGTCACTGTGAGAGACCCCAAAAGACACTCAACAGGGAGTCAGGGAGCCTCCTGGTTGGCAGCCCTTCCTGTGCACGTGCCCTGGGAGACGACAGTTGCAAGGTTGAGTTCCTCCTCTCCTGGACTCTGCCCTATCCTTCAATGGCTCCCATCCACAAGCACACAAGACTGTCCCAGCAGAGCACTGACATGCCAGGGACAGGCAGCAGGCACTCATGCTACACATTCTGCAAACAGCCTGACTTCCTTCCCTTCTGTACTCCATAACTGGTCATCAACAAGTCTCAACTCGTCTTTAAAACGCATCCCTTATAGACTCTGCCGCACCCAGTCCTGCCACCAGAACATGAACACTGGTCTCCTTTGCCCTAGAGCCATCTCCACCTCATGGCCTAATCGTACTTCTGTCCTGGCCACCCGAGACTGTGTGACCATTGAAAGACACCTAGGAGCCTTTGACTGCAGACTCTTTGCCTTCTGCTCATGGCTCCTCCCACAGTTCTGTTTGTTCTTTGCCTCCTCTGAGCCCCGCTCCTTGTAACACCCTCTCTTTATTCCTTGCTTAGCTCCCTGCTTCTCTTGGATTTTCTCCCTCCCTAGGCTCCGTTTTTACCCTTCTTGCAAGAGCTGGTGATGTGGGAGTGGCGTGAGAGTTTCTCCAGTCCGTGTGGAAGAGGGAATGGCAGCTCCATGTCCAGGAGGCAGGATGCCACCTCATCTTTGTATTTGCTGGGAGATGCTTGGGGCCAGGAGAAAGGTTTGACTTGCCCTGGAGCACAGAGAGCAGCAAGCAGGGTAGGCTGAACCTCACAGGTTCTGAACAGGCCCCTCACACCAGGCTAGGAAAGTTTGCTCGAACCATGGAAGGAATAGCCCTGCTCAGTCTAAGGAGTAAGCTTGGATGGTGAGCTCTGGCCAGTAGCAAAGGCAGGCAGGCTGTGGTCACTGCTCTGGGGTCACATACAGACAGGCTGCTTCAAAGTCTCAGCTTGTCCCAACGCAATTGGTTTGGTGTCTGGCACAGGACCTATCCCACAAACCCAGCTTCCTTTCCCTCTGAGAGGCTGGTCCTCAGAGGGTGAGCTCACACCCCAGCCTTCCACCCCTGCCTTCCTTCCTACACTCAGCTTCCCCAACTCCTACCTCTCACAGGGGGGTGGTAGGGCTTCCTGGGACCCCAGTCCCAGCCCCAACAGAAGCAGCACGTGCAGCTCCCAGGTCATCCTGGGCATGGTGGCTGTGGCTGGAACCGAATGAGCAGGCCCTGGCACCTCTGGCTTGCTGATCACAGCCTGCTTCACCTGCCTACCCAGGTAGGCAAAGTCCAGGCCCTGAGGTGTGGCCATGGAGGTGGGATATGTGCTTCACTGTTGCGTGGGTTATCACTTCTGCTCTTCAGTCACAGTGGCCACTACCCCAGCAGCCACCAAATGTTTGTTTCTTCCGTTTCTCAATCCCAGCTGACGACGTCACAAGTGCAGGGACTTTCATCAGAGTCATATGGGTGGGCGCCCAGAAGCCAGGGCCACAGCTGAGGACACCCATGTATGAGTTAGACACCAAGTCTGCGTGTGGCTCCCAAGTCGCTAACATCAGAAGGGACCACTTATTTTAACATTTTAAATAGAATGGCTCTAGTCTTCTCCAATGTGATGTCCAATCCAGACCCTCACTGTTATCAACAGGGTTTACTGTGGGGACGCAGAACAGCCTTTTGGAAGATGGGTCAGGAAGGCCCACCACAGGATGATATCTGCAGTGAGTTTTGAGGAATCCAGTCAGGATGCTCTTCCTCCATATGGGGCATCCAGAGACTTGGCATCAGTGCAGGGGAGGTGGTGTGACAGGCTGAAGGGACATGTTGGCACCAGTGAGTGAAAAGGTTTTGCCAAGACACAGAGGCCTTCCATTCTCCAAAGAGAACCAATGGTAGCTATGGGCTGAAGCAGCAGGGTTAGGCTTTTAGAAGCTCATGCCTCCCCACGGTGGCAAATGGGGGGTGAGGAGGGGAGAGGTGTGTTGGGCAGCAACACAGAGCCCTTGGAAGGCTGCTCTAAGGATACAACAACATAAGCCATCCAGACCTTAAGTGGGGGTGGGGAGAGGCGCAGGGAGGAGGGAGGGGGTTACAGGAGGAGTTTATTGGCTGTCACTTCTGAGCTCTGTGGCTGGCATGTCCTTTCCTGCAGGGCTGAGGCTGGCAGCCATCTGAGTAGTGTTTGTCACTGCTAAAAGAAAACCCAGACAAATTACATTGAGTAGTGTTTACTTGAGCAAAGGAGGGATTCAGGAACCAGGTGGCACCTTGAGGCCGTGAAGGGTTAGAGAGCTTTAGTACTATACCTGCAAGTAAAAGGAAGTGACGTCAGAGACAGCCCTTACCACTGGACTTTTGCCTTCTGTGGACTGGGAGCACTTCTCAGCCTGTGATTGGTTGACAGCTCGGCAGCTGTGTTTGGCTACCTGTAAGGCAGTCCCCCCCCCCCCCCCCAGTTAGACTCCACTGATTGCTCACTAAGTTTGCTTATAGTTTACAGGGGTGCAAAGTAGCTTTAGGCCAAACGTAATTATTCAGCCTCTCAACTTTAAGAGAGTGACTAACTCCTTGGACCCCGATATCACATTTTGTCACCACCCTAAGGGACTTCTTTGGCTTTAGTATGGAATTCACAATTCACAATGGCAAGTTAACTGGTTCATAATTCTTCCTTGGGATTTTGCTCTTCTCTTTAGATAGGATAAAGCTGGAATGGAAAAGATGGCTGCCAAGGAGCTCTTAGCACTCTGGAGGAGAATGGGACACCAGAGAAATTAATATGGTGGACGTCGGGAAGGTAAGGCCAAGAAGCTGAAGGGCAGTCATCAACGGGACCTATCTCATCAGAACCAAGCAATTCAAAAGTGCAGACACTGAGGACAGCTGACCTGTATCCTACTAGAGCAAGTCACAGTCTTTGTCCAGGGCCTGCTTGTGATTAAGGGCCCATGGTTTGCTGTAAAGTGGTCTGAGATGATGAGCCATCTTGTGCTTGGTCTGATGACACATCACAGAGACCCTGTGTCCCATCTTTCTGCTTTGGATCTGAAATGGTCCCCAAGCTCCTGTACTGAAGCCTTGGTCCCCAAATACAACTGTGTTCAAAGGTGCAGCTACTCTTGGGAGATGGTTGGATCAGTGTTGTCATGGTTAGAAGAGCTTAACATTTGGAGGGGATGGAGCCTGTAAGGTGGGACCCAGATGAGGAAGCAGGGCACAGGGAGTGCATCCATACGTGCATTTATTTCCCCTTCCAGCTCATCCAAAACAACCTGGCCTAAAGCATTTGAACACATGTGCCAAAAAGAAACCTTCCCTCCATTTTTTTTTTTTTTTTTTTTTTTTTTTTTGGTCTCACTATGTAGCCTTGGCTAGTGTGGAACTCACTATGTGGACCAGGCTGGCCTAGAACTCATATAGATCCATCTTCCTCTTCCTCCCAAGAAGGAATTAAAGGAGTGCACCACATCTCCCCAAAACATCCTCCTTTGCCAGGCAGTGATGGCACAGACCTTTAATCCCAGAACTCAGGAGACAGGTGGATCTCTGAAAGTTTGAGGTCAGCCTGGTCTGCAAAGTGAGTTCCAGGTCAGGCTCCAAAGCTACACAGAGAAACCCTGTCTTGATAAACAAAACAAACAAATGAAAAAGTCCTCCTTTAAATTGAGTGGTTCCTGGGGCTGGAAAGATGGCTCAGTGGTTAAGAGCATTGATTGCTCTTCAGGAGGACCAGGGTTTAATTACCAGCACCCACATGGCAGCATACAACTGTTTAACTCCAGTTCCAGGGGATCCAATACCTGTGGCAAAACAACAGTGCACATAAAATTTTAAAAATTAATTAATTAATTTAAAAAATTGAGTGGTTCCAGGGATTTTGTTACAGCAACAGGAATCCCACTGCCACTAAAAGATGCAGAAAACTTCAGAAGGGAAGCCAGACCTGGCATCCAGTCTCAGCTATGTACAAAGTCTGAGGCTAGCCTAAGCTACATTAGACCGTGTCTCCAAAGGAAAGAGAAAGAAGACTACATGGAAGAGCCAACAAAATTCAAGTGGAAGAGTCAGGCAGGGTGCCTGCCAACCAGCTCTTAGCTGCTCTCAGAAACACTTCATGTAGCCAGCCAGAGGTGGCGCAAGCCTTTAATCTCAGCACTCAGGAGGCAGAGGCAGGTGGATGGCTGTGAGTTCGAGTCCAGCCTGGTCTACAGAACTAGTTCCAGGACAGGCTCCAAAGCAATACAGAGAAACTCTGTCTTGGAAAACAAAAAAGAAATACTTCATGTAGAGGCTAGAGAGATAGTTCAGTGGTTAAGAGTACTGACTACTCTTTTGGAGGACCTGGGTTCAATTCCCAGCACCCACATGGCAGCTCACAACTGTCTGTAACTCCAGTTCCAAGGGGACTCAACATCCTCACACAGACACACATGCAGTCAAAGCACCAATGTACATGATAAAGAAAAGAAACACTTCATGCATCCAGGTCAGAATCTCTGTGAGTTTGGGTCAGCCTGCTCTACATAGTGAGTTCCAGGACAGCCAGGGCTAAACAACGAGACCCTGTCTCACAAAACAAGCAACTTCTCATGTTTCCTTTCTTCTTGAGAAATTTCCTTAAGAGATGTAACTACTTTTTTTTTTTAAGGCAGTGGGTCAAAGCTGACAAGCCACATGACCTGAGTTCAATCCCCAGAACCCACTTGGTAGGAGCCAACTGACCTCTCCACACATGCGCACAAACTGAGAGCACTTAAGCACACACATGCATACATACATAGACATTAAATAATTAAGAAGTTGAAATTTAGCTTTTTATAGTAATAAAACAAGGGTCAAGGTAAGTCTGACATCAGTCTTGTTCTGACTACCACATGCAAACCCCTACCATGGGCAAAGGGGAGTTCCACTGCTAAACACTGCTCCGTTCCAGGTGTTACCAAGCACAGATGTTCGCATCTGCCTTGTGGAGACCGATTTCTAAGTAAGCTTCTGAGGGAAGGGGGCAGTGTCTGATTGGTTACCAAATCCAGAATTTCCCTAATTTACAGATTCAATCCTGTTTTACTAGGCAACCCGGATTGGCCTTGAACTCAAAATTCTCCTGCCTCAGTCTTCCAGCTGCTGAGACTATAGATGTCACCATGCTGGGCACTTGACTGATGTGAGTTCCACACCTAGCCAGCACCCCACTAGCAGAGATTGCTACTGACTTTGGTTGTTGACTGAGCATCAGCAAGGGCTGAAGCCAGGAGAAGGCAGAAGAGAGTGACAAATTCCTCCATAGCCTCAGGCGGGCCTCAGAGACGGAAATCAGAGCCACCTAGTGGCTTCTGAGCAGAGCTCGGTTTTGTTTGTTTTGGATCTGTGTAGCCCTGAGCAAAGTCTAGTGGGAAACTCGACTTTTCTGTCTTCCTTTCTCTGTGACTTTGGAGCCTGTCCTGGAACTTGCTCTGTAGACCAGGCTGGCCTCGAACTCACAGCCATCCACCTGCCTCTGCCTCTGAGGGCTGGGATCAAAGGCATATGCCACCAACGCCTGGCTCTTTCTGTCTTCCTCTCTTACTCGCTCTGTAGAGCGGGCTGGCTTCAACCTCAGAGAGAAGTACCTGCCTTTGCCTACTGAGTGCCTAGATGAAAGGTCTGCAGAGTTCCATCACCTACCAGCAATTGTGATTTCTTAGTTGCATGCTATAAGGGGCATTAGGTCTATGAGTTGAAAGAGGCTTTGTTGGACACAATACGATGACATCATATAAGTAATTACCCATACCTATATAAGTAGTCCCCAGGTCATGAGTATTTGATGCCTGGAAGAACAAAATACCTTTTGCAAGCATCACTAGGACAGGGTTTGTATATTTGATAACAACTAGATTAATAGTAGAAAATACCAGAGTATTGTATTCATCTATTTTGAGTTACTCTAGTGAAATACTTAAGGCAATTAACTTGTAAAGAGAAAAGTTTTCTTTTAAGTTTTATTTATTATGTATACAGTGTTCTGGCATGTACATGGTTGTGAGCTGCCATGTTGGCACTGGGGAATTGAACTCAGGACCTCTGGAATAGCAGCCAGTGCTCTTAACCCCTGAGCCGTTTCTCCAGCCCCTAAGAGAAAAGGCTCTGTCTTATGGTTCTGGAGTGACCCAATCTTTGGGGCCATTGTGAAAGTCCAAAATTAAGTGGCAGGACCATGTGTGGAACACAGTACATACACCATAGGCCAGGCAACAGCAACACTGA